TGGTGGAATAAGGAAATAGAGCTATGAGTTCAAGAGAAGAAGCAAAAATATCTGAAATGGTTAACAACAAAACATGGACAAGACTTTGAAGTTTATAAAGACACAAAAAGACAACCAAGAACGTGCATCACCTTAGCTATAAGAACGAGTCATGGGATAAGAAATGTGAAGAAATTAACCCCTACATAGGGGGAAGGAAATGCTCAGAGGTATGGAGATTTATATCAAATGTCAAAATTCCAGGAAAGGACAGAGCTAATATCCAGATTATTAAACCAGAGCAATGAATAGAACACTACAAGAGTCTATTACAAGAAAGTAGACAGGAATATATATAATATTCTTCAAGACATATTGAAGTACATGGAGAAGTAGTTGAGAAATCTGAAGAAATAGTAAAAAAGACTGTAAAGAATCTCAAGTCAAGTGAGGCTAGCGGCCCAGAATTGATATACCCCGAAATGCTGAAATCGGGAACTGCTAAATTCTTTAAAGGTCTAATATGTATTATCAATAAATGCCTTAAATGAACATCATGTTCCACAAGACTGGAAAACGGCTTTTAAAAATTTCATTCCTCGGTCTACTAGAGCTGAAGTTTGAAAGCATCAAAATTCTATTCCTGGGACTCCTCTTGGCAAAATCTGAACTACACAAGTGTAAAACTGGTTTTTGACCATTTAACAGTTAAAGTTGAGATAGGAGCGGTTCAAAAAGTTTAAATAAGACCTTCGTAGAGCTAAAGTTCAATAAAAAAAAAAAGTGAAAATCTCATTTCTTGGTCTGCTAGAACTGAAATTTGAACTGGGAAAGACATCAAAATTCTATTACCGGCGTGCTAATATGTACCAAAAATTGAGTTAGAGAAGTGTGAGTTGAAATAGAGCCGTTAAAAAAGGGGAGCCAAAATTTAATGGGAAAATTGTGAAAATGTCATTCCTGGCTCTTCTAGAAATAGAGCTCCAATTTAACCCTCACAGAGCAAAAGAGTATATTGGAAATTTCAGTTCGAGTTCAATTCCAAAGTAATGACATCAGATTAATGGAATTAACATCATTATTTTATTTCATTTCAGGTGCTGAAGTTCAAGAGCCTAGAATAATAGACAAAATCCAGAGCGAAAACATTTAAAAATTCACTGTTCAAATCGTATTGTGGTAGGTATATTATAATCAAATAGGTACATTGACAGTGGTACAAACTATTTGTTTTAGTCTAGCAATAAAATACAATACAAAGGTATAAATATTTATTTTTATTTTCTTGGCAGAAATGTTTGGACAGTGGGTACGTGATTAAAAGACAGAAAATCATCGTAAAACTAAACTTAAAACAAGGTCTCTTAATTTTATTTTTAGTTTTTCCGGAGAGATATAATAAACAACGCAAACTGGCAAAGTGACAAATAACAGAGAAGCATAATAATGGATTGCTTTTTTGATAACTGAGGAAAATGTTAAAATAATTTGAGAGTGAGTATGAAACATTTTCATTGTTGTCAGATTCATCATCAATCAATTTACCTTGTAAAATAAAAAGTGAAGTTAAATCAGGGTTTAAAATCTAATTAAGTCGATTTTGTCTTTATTTTTCGTTAAATTCCATATCTTTTGAATGTGCTTGAAATTTTTTTATTTTTTGTTATTTTTGTTTGTCTGATGACAATTTTGGTATTACAGAATTCATTATGGCTTTTCTAGGTTTTTATCATTGTTTAGTAGGTAGTTTTTTCACGATATTTGTTTTGGTTTACTAATAATGATTATATTTATTATTCTTGTCTGTCATTTTATAAATTTCTTTATTTTTATCCACTATTCTTATAATTTTTCTTTGTCTACAATTTTGTTGAGATTTAGGTAGTTACCTATACGTACCTACCTATACTCTTTTCCAGTTATTTCAATTTTTCACTATGTATTTTGATCATTTTTTCTACTATTTTATCAAGGTTTTTTTCGACATTATATCTACAACACTTTCGTCTATTTTCGAATGTTTTTGCCTGAACTTTATGCCAACAAAGACCCATTAATTTGAAAAAAATTGTGCATAAAGTAGAAAAAAATCGTTACGTATAATTGTAGACATCAGCTGTAATATTGCCATTATACCAGTTGCATTATGCAACTATGGGTGTAGGTAAAGTGTATTAATTGTGTGTATTGAATGTGTTTATAGTGTTTATTTATATGTTTAACTAGATTATTATAATTATACACACATTCTATTAATACACATGCTGTAAGGTATAATTCTACAAACAGAAATATAGGGGTTACACACGAATCAAAGACAAACTAGTGTTAAACATTTATTAGACATGCCTTATTATAAAATATGTAAATATGTATATTTAAAATTAGACAAGATGCATTTTTATATTATAAAGTTAAGTATATACAATAAAAATTTGTACACAGATTAAGTAAAACACATAAGAAAAAAAAAGTGTACGTGAAGAGAAATTAAAAAAAAAAAACACCCATCATCAATGCTATACCTTGGCTCTATCCATCACGGAATGATTTTGTAGGTTAGTTGAACGGACCCGAAATCGATGTAAAGCTCTAAAACATGACACAAACCGACCGATATTTCGACGAGAAACAATGTAAAATAGTGTCCGGCATCGTCGTGTTCTATTGTTTCAATGTTATCTGATGATTTTCAGGGAGAGGAACGACGCACACGGATAAGGGGTTTATAAATAACTGAAGTTGATTTTCCTAGTTTTCAGGATCCTGCGGTGTTGTATCCCAGCGCCCGTCGCGGAGAAGAGTGCAACTTTGGGGAGGGAAAAACTCAGCGACAGGGCGCTTACTTAACGGAAAGGGATGCAATATTATTGAGTGTATGATGTACCGTGACTACGTAAGAAATTGATATACTTGATGATTATTGATAGAAAAGATATAAGCGTTATTGGATAATCGTCTGAGGATGAATACATTAACATTTTCTCTAGGTTGTGGGAATTTTGCACACTCTGGCAACACCGTGCTGGAGATGATCACAGAATTAAGGAGCAAGGTGGATACCCTTGAAGTTCAATCTAATAAGGATCTAGAATTTCAAAAATATAATTTATAGGTACAATAAGATTGGAGATTTGACACATGATAAAGATATTTTGTTAAATGATCTTAAGAAAACAAAATATGAGCTGATGAAGAACAGTGCTGAAAATCAAGCATCCATTTATGCAAAAAATTTGTATGCGACGAAATTAGAAAAACAAGAGGATATTGTAAAGGCTCTTAAAGGAAGAAATCGATAAGCAAGTAACTGTGAATAAGGCGGAAGAGTCTAGAAATAAAAATCTGAAGGTTGAACTTATGGAACTTGAAACACTGTGCCGTGAAATGGTATCTTCCATTCGCACATTGGAATCGGAGAACCACAGACTTTCAATCGAACAAACGAGAATTGCAGAAGATATCCAACAAGTAACTCTCAACGATGACTCTAATGAGGGAGTGATTTCAGGGGTTAAGACTGTCTTCCCTAAAAAAGACTTGTGCCGTAAAGTTTTAATTCTATAGGTGACGAAAGTGGAAGAAATTGTGGTCCAGTTTTGAGAAACCTACTTGATGGTTTGTCCTTCCGGGTTTTTAGTTTCATTAAACCAAATGATCCACTGAGGGAAATTGCTAAAGACATATTTAGTCTAACACAGGATTATTCCCATAACGATTCAGTTGTAGTATTCTTACGTGTTAACGCATAATGATTATGTTTTTAATAGTCCCGTGTATGCAAGGATATACGCTCTTATTAGTTATTGGTACCTTCACCAGTAGAAATAACGTTTCAATTAGAGTAATAGATAACTTTAGGGTGGGCGGTGGTCACAGACACAATAGCTCTACGTTTGGCAAATTGTTGGTCATAATTATGTCACTAACTCGTTGCATATAGTTAATGTGTCTGTATCCCATAGGAACATGATCTCAACTGACAGTCATGGTATTATGAACAATCCCAGTGGTGGTACCACTGAGGAAATTTGTGTGAATGGTCGCGTAGAGAGCGATTCCGTTTTGGTAAAAACAGTTGGCATTGGTTCTAAGGCTGCCCCTGGGTTGGAGGATCAAAATTTTTGGAATCCAGTAATTTCACTGGCCTATCCCTAGTTCTTCCTAATGTACAGTCGGTAAGAAACAAGGTAGATGAGCTAAGTGTGTTTTTGGATGATATGTGCTATCCTAATGTTTTGCTTTTGTCAGAGCATTGGCTAAGGTCGGAGGAACATTTGGTGATTCCCAATTATACTGTAATTTCGAACGACATTCTGTATAGGCTCGAAATTCTTTTATTTCAGATATTTGATTGATTGATTGATCAGATTTTTAATCTATTACTGGCTCTTCATGCTTGATTGTCTTCAGAAACTTATTCAGCTCATAGAGAGACGGTAATGATCAAATAAATTTGGACTATCACCCCGGCTCTTTTGGTGCTTTTCTGGGAAATTATCCAAAATATCAACAATCTGTAGAAATAAACATCTGGACTATTTTCTGTTACTTTCAGAAAACTTGTCCAACAAATCAAAAGCCGACAAAAATCAAAATTGGGACTCATTTTGGTTCTCGATTACCTTCAAACTGTTCAACAAAAATTTGGACTATACATTTGGTTTCTTGATCGTTGTCAGAAAGATTATCCCACGAATCAGGAGCCGGTAATAATTTTTTTGGATTATTTTGATCTTTTCATTGTCAGAAAAGTTATCCAGTCGATAAAGAGAAAATACACCCAATGATTAAAATTTGGACTATCACCGGCTCTTGATGTTTTTTCTGGAGAATTTACCAAAATATCAACAACTGCGTAGAAATCAAAATCTGGACCACCAAAACTTTTTTTCAATATTTTCTACAAATGATTCATAGATTCGACAAATTTTTCACTGCATACAAGGCTATATTATAATCCAATGGCAACAACAATCAAAATTGATAACAAGGTCAACAGTGAAATCTCTCCTTTGAGCCCATTCATAATATCGCGCTTCGTTTAACTATACATTGAACTAAAATGCGTGAATTATTACTCGATAATCCAAACAAAACTGTAGAAATTCTACCAAATAAATGCGGAAAAAACGACTTTCTCAAAACAATTCTACAATCAAATCAAAAAATATCAGTAGAACTGTCTCCAAATCACTCATTCCAATGTGATATTCTACAAAGGATTCGTCCAACGTTTGTGTCCATAACGTGGCTTGGAAACCTACATCTAGACCTTCCAGTTGAGCAAATTCCTGCTGTGATTTTAGCAAAGCAATTTTGTGATCAAAACTATTCAGTGTTGTTGCATTTGACTGGCAGAAATTTAAAAAAAGAGCGGATGATGAAGATTTTGGAGCATCTCAAGGAGGTTGGTGTCAAGAATATTTTGGCCTTACAAGGAGATAGACGTCATATTCTAGAACCAGATGATACTAAATGTGATTTTCCTTATGCTTCTGATTTGGTAATGTTTATTAAAAAAAAATTTGGAGATGATTTTTGTGTAGGAGTTGCAGGATATCCTGATGTTCATCCAAATAATCACAACTTAGAGGAGGATTTAAATGTTTTACAGTGCAAAGTATCAAACGGGGCCGAGTTTATAGTAACTCAAGCCACATTCGACTTTGAAGCGTTAGAAAATTTTGGCTTGGCTTGCAGGAAGCACAACATTAATATCCCAATAATACCTGGAATTTTTGTAATAAAATCCTACCAGACATTAGTTGCAATGCAAAAATATTGCGAATTTAAAATAACTAAAAATGTCTTGGATTTTGTTCAAGAGAATCGGGATAATGATGAAGTTATTGCCAATTATGGGGTTGATTTCGCGATCGATTTTATCAAAAGATGTTTGGATAGAAAGGAGCTTTTTAGTGCTGTGCATATGTTTTCTATGAATAATATTGAGGACTTGGAAAAAGTTATTTTGAGATTATAATAATGTCGGCTTTAAGGCAACACCTTATACAAATTTTGATCTTTACAGTGTGTCAATAAGTTATATTGGAAATGAATTATAAAACACGTTTATTATATACAATTTGCTTTATTTTTATTTTCCTTAATCCATTGATTGATTTGAAAGGGGATGAGCCTTTACAGGCATCACGTAGAAGCGTTACTCTTGATGCAGCCCTGTCTTACCTAAGGAGCCCGCAACTGTTAAGAAGGGTGCAGACCCGCTCAGGCCAGATATGCTCCAGGTTCCAGGAAACTGTACCAGAGTGACAAGGGAGACCCCTGCCCTTCCCTTAATCCATCAAATAATAACTGTACAAAATAATAATTATAAATTTACGTTTAGACATGCAGAAAATGAGAGAACCAATCCAAGAAAACTGGCCCTAGTCAATGGAAACCTCTTCATAAAAAAAGATAAATTGAAAATAGATAAATGACCATCAGTCTGCTACCATAATCCTGAGAACTAATACTGAAAACAATATAAATACTGACCTTAAAGGTTTTTGGAAATGGTTTAATTCATTAAGGTCAAAAAACGGCATCCCCTCTACCACGAATCTCAACAATGTGACAGTTTCCAAATGGTTCTGATATTTCAAATCTTTTGGCTACTCATTTTTCAAACTGTTATAGTGATAACTCTAACACTGATTTTAATATTAATGATACTAATATAACTGAAGTTGTGAATATCGGGCAAATAAAATTTAATTTACAATCATTGCCTAACAAAGTCAGCTCAGGTCCGGACAAGCTACCACCTTTTTTCTTAAGAAAATGTGTTTATTCTCTTGCTAATTAAGCCTCTGCATTTTCTGTTCAAAAGGTCATTATCAAAACACAAGTTTCCAGTAGTTTGGTTGTCTAGTTACGTTTTGCCAATATTTAAGACTGGGGACAGACATGATATTAAGAATTATCGGCCAATAAGTATTTTGTCGTCGGTTCCCAAACTTTTTGGAAAGCTCCTAATATACCCTATCTACAGTGGCATTGTAGGAGTATTATTGATCCATCTCAGCATGGATTTGTACCCCGTCCCCAAAGATCTACTGTGAGTAACCTTTTGGTCTACGACCAAGACAGTCTTTCATCATTGGGTAACTTGTCACAAATAGACCCAATATAATATACAGATTATAGTAAGGCCGTGTTAACCACTTAATTTTACTGGCAAAGCTAAAGGCAATGGAGTTTCCCACATACTTATTAGAATGGCTTAAAAAGTTATTTGTCAGGACAAGTGCAACTAGTAAAAATTCATAATTTCTATTCACAAGAAATTTCAGCTACGTCAGGTGTGCCTCAAGGGTCTCATTTGGGCCCATTACTTTTTGTACTATTCATAATGGTCTTAATTAAATAAATACTTTACTTTCTGTAACCCTTTATTTTTTGCTGATGATCTCAAAATATACTCAGAGATAAATAATGTAGGTGACTGTTTTAATCTCCAGCACGACTTGAATATGCTGAACGGGTGGTCCGACAGTAATGACATGTCGCTAAACATTGATAAATATGTCACTGTATAACATTCACTAGAAGTAAAAGTTCAATACTTTCAAATTATAATATAGATAATTCATCTCTTAATAGAGTAGACAAAATACCTGATTTGGGAGTTATTTTCGACAGCCAAATGTCTCCGATTCCTCACATAAATACGCTATCATCCAGGGCATTCACTTGGTTGGGGTTTGCTTTGCATAACTGTTCTGATTTTCCTATTCCAACTGTACGTTATTTATATATTTCTTTGGTGAAAAGTATACTAAATCATGCCTCTCCAGTCTGGACCCCTATTTATCAAATAAATAATAGACAGGCTTGAATCTGTTCATTCTATTAAGTCTCAAGTCTGATCGAATTTCTTGTGACCTTTGTACCATTTTCAAGTTAGTGTCTAGTGATATAGACTGTCCGGAGCTACTCGAACAGATATGCTTCAGGGTTCCTTCACGGAACACTCGTAGTACTAATTTGTTTCACATTCCATATAATTCTAGCAATTATACATATAACAGCCCTGTATCTAGATTCTCTAGACTAGTAAATACTCACAATTTTGAGGTAACTGGAATTTCATTTCCACAGTTTCGCCGTCAGTTCAATCCCGTCTTGTAATTCTCCAAAGGAGTGACGTTTTGGTGCCTTTTTGTAAGGGAACCTACATTGTACCTGTCTCTTAGTGTTAGTGTTAACTTGTATAAATCACACCACTGATACTATGTTTTAATCTTTTGCATGCAATTAGCCTATAACTAGTGAGTTTTGTAAGATTTTGTTGATCTTGTTAGTTTTATTCTTGTTAGTTCTAAATTTTTTGAAATTCTGTTAATAAATATAATAATTATTGTAGTAGTAATATTTTGTAATAGAGGGGGGAACCCGTATATTGAATAAATAAATAAAATAAAAAATAAATAAAAATAAATAATAAATAATCCACCTAAATTACTATCCAGAATAATCATAATAACAATTTGATGAATACCTCGAGTAAAATGTACTCATTGACTTTGTGAATTACACCCTTTACAATCTTGCTAAATTGATATTGAAATAAAAGCTTAGAATCAAAATTTATGTCTCAGAATTATGAGACGGAATGTCCACATAATAGTTATTGAAACACAACAACCTGTGGAATTAAAAGAGCATTAACTTTGCTAGAAATATATTACAATTATAATATATATTATTGAAATCAAGTTTTGTTTAGCAGAAATCATTTAAAAGAAAAATATCTTTCCAACAAAAAATTACACATTTTTTTTAAATTTTAGAAATGCTTTATTTATAAAAGAATTTAATTAATGAAGCAAAATAATGAATAATTAATTTTTGCCCTTATCAGCTTAAGTGAGAAATTCTTTGTAACTGATCCTTGGCCCAAATCCAACAGCTGAATAGGTACCTATTCTGATTTAATGTATTGAACTTATCCCTAAAACAAGGCCTTTCTGCCCAGATTAACAGCTACAAAAATGTCCTCTTTAATAGCAAATAACAATAAAAAATACAACCTATAATGGATCAACTAAGTATGTACAAAACTTTTCAAATTTGAGCCTTGAAAGTTTGCTCAAATTTTTGTATATCACAAACATATTATATTGAATTTTGGCATTGACCAGCTTTGTAGGAACATTTTCATCAAAATGTGGACCATAAATTGTTACATAAAAGTCAAAAATAAAATATGAAATTATACTGCAAAATTTGATATTTCTCTTACATATGAATAATTATAAAATGCAAAAATTAGAAGCATAAAATAACAATATGAGAAAAAACATTGGTCTTGGAAGATTTAAAACTCTGGCCTTCTCAATATGAGAAAATTACCTACGTAAATGTTAAAAATATTTCAATAATAGTTACATAATAATATAAAATAGTCACTAACACCCGTTTTCAAAATGAAAACGCTTGTTTTAAAAGTATTTTTTTACATTAGGCTGAGGTCGTAAGTTTTCTATAAGACTAGCATTAGAAATGTCATTTTTTCTTCAACCTATTCGTTATCCATTCTAAACCTTGATACAATCTGAAAAATAAACTTAATAATTTCAAATTTCACACGGGCAAATTCTTACCCTTCTCCTGTAAGAGCACAACAAGACTGTATATGCCACTGTTGCTGTTTTATCGACGTCAAATCTAGCACTTTGGATATTTCTGAGGCAGACATAGAGCCTTTAACGTCCTGTTTGTTGGCATAGATCAGCACTCCGGCTTTTGATAGTTCTTCGTGCGCTAACATTTTACACAGTTCCTCTCTGATAATTGTAAGACGTTCTCTGTCTGTCGAATCCACTACTACTATCACAAACTAGAATCAAATAATAATTTAGATTTTATAGAGTTATTGTCATCTACTCAATTTCCAAATTTAATTATTATTACTTATATTCACAAGTAAAAAATATCTGTCTTAAAATTTGACCCAGAAAACAACCGGAACAAGAAATTTCTAATCTAATTACATTACAAGTCAGCAGTCTGGTGAAATTGAAAGTATTCAGTGAGGTCATTCAATGGGCGACTTATTTTTAGTATTTCAATTGACTTTTGGCTACTTCCTTTACAAAGTCTATAACATCAATAAATTTGTTATTGTTAGATTATTATCATTCAAGGTAAAAACGTTCCACCTACAAGTTGAATGTTATTCTCGAAATTAATTCATCATATAATTAAATACAGGTTTACATTTGTTATTGGTCAACAAGGTGTTGAACAAATTTAAAAAGATGTTTTGTTGGGACATTATTTCTAAGTTTTATGAATGCGCACTGGAGTCTATAAGCTTTTTAGATTTAGTTGTCGTGAAAAAATTGCTGGTTACTAAATTAGTGCACTTAAAATTTTAATTTATTAGGCTTGAAACAATAATTTTGAAGTTTACAAAATAAAGGTTGGAAAATGTATTAATCTTATCAGTTTAATGGCTGAACCTGCTTTGGAATTGACTGAGTCAAACAATTCAGCAGGAAAATAATTGTTTACCATTGTTTCAGCAGACATCAAATTTCTTTTTTGTTATCAGTTATCAGCTTAAAAAACTGCCTCTAGAAAGTATTTGTCGTTTTTGGATATCTTGAATAATAAGGAAATTAGAAAGTCTTTTAAAATTGGACAAAATTTGAAAAGTGCCCTGTATTTCCTAAACGCATCAAGTTAGGCGTGATATGTCTTCGTCATTGTTATTTTCTCAAAAAAAGAGCTCGAGAATGTGCTCTCAGATTTTTGATATCTCTGCTGGTTTTCGATATAGCCCATTAAAACATCGAAAATGGGCCACCCTGTACAGTCAGCCAACAACATGTTCCTAATTGAAAATTCATCAATTAATAGAAGAAAAAAAACTAATGTTTGAAAAATAAGGAAGAATTCTTTGATGTTGCATTTTTGTGCATGATAGACATAACTTGAATTTGACTCCTGAAAAGTTATACAACTTACATATAGTGAATTTAATAAATAAATTATTTTTAAGGAAAAATTGAAACCAAATAATCAGCAACAGGAACTGTGGAACCATAGAAAAACGTTATTAAAAAATAAAACAAAAGCATAGGTATAGAAATTGTGGAATTGACTGAGCAAAAATAAAATATTTAAAATACATGAAAATTAAAAAAGGTTAAGAATGTATGATATTTAAGTTATTAATATTAAGTATATTTTATTTATTTATAAATATAATTTCTCTGTAATAAACTGAAGTACCTAATATGTATTATGCTTGGGAAATATACTGTTTTATGTTAACAAAACCATAACAAAACTATTGGCTGATTAGGATGTTAACACTTGTTGGATTTTGTTTATTTCAGATATAACACTTGTATAAACAGAGATTGAAACAGAGATCCAAGCTTCTTGCATTTAAATATCCAAAATATGCACTTATTATTGAAGAAAAAAAAAAGGTTTCTAGATTGCTACAATGAAATTGTGAAATCTAGAAGCTTTTTGGTTTCTTCACAAAATGTGTAATGGATTTCCATCAACTAGGTAGGTATCTCTTAAACTACCTACCAAATTGATTGTAAAATTTTAATAGGTAATACATAATATTGGACACAGGGAAAGCTTCAATTAACTAAAGTGTTTTAAGTAATAAAAATTATCAAGCTATTAGTAAAAAAACAATACCTTGATATATAACTACAACGTTATGTTGCTGATAAGGTCAATGGGGAGATAAAATAATGAAAACAAAATAATGCTATCCTTGCTTATTACTTACCTCTGTATTACTGTAGTAAGTACTCCAAGCTGCTCTCAAAGACTGTTGCCCTCCCAAATCCCACATAATAAAATGTATATTTCTCCAAACAACTTCCTCAACATTGGAACCGATTGTTGGACTGGTATGAACCACTTCGTTCATCAAAAATTGATACAATATTGTAGTTTTCCCAGCATTGTCTAGTCCCACAATGACTATTTTATGTTCTATAATTTATAATATACGCAATAAAATATCCTTATGACAATAATTTAAATTCAATTACCTTCGTTTCCAAATAAGTTCCACAGCTTGGCGAATAATAATCCCATTTTCTGACAAAGGAATTTATGTTTTAAAGAGTCTCGATTTATGTAATTACTTAAATGCACTTTAAAATTAAACAATCTGGTTGGTTCTTGGTTTGCAAAGCATAATGAATTTTCACAAGATTTTCAAGTAGCAGATATCGAAATGCGGAAGGAAATTTTTGTTGTTTTTCTATGAAATACTTTCGTGACAAATTGTTTAAACATTCCAAAAGGTTTTTTACTGGATTGACCTCGCTCTAGTCACTTCTCAGTTCTCACTTTGTTAAAATTGAAAAATAGTAAAGTGAAAGCTAATTGTCAAAGTCATATGGCTTTGTGTCAATAAATGACGTAAGCCAGTAGAGGCGATTTCAAAACGTTTTGGTTCAGATCAGTTTAGTTGCACTTCGAGTACCCAGATATTTCAGGCCAGATTTGTTTTTAAATGTAATTTTAAATAGGAATATAGAATTTTTAATACCTTTTTGGAATTACCAGTCTTTCTAGTGACTTAACGTACGTCGCTATTCTAAATAGGTACTAAAAAGTAAAAATACTATAGGTATTGGTATTATCTATTCCTATTCACAATCTGTAGACCAGAGGTACAGGTGAAATTGATTCACTCATACTCTTCAGAACATGCACAAACAAACCTGAAAACCCACAAAAGAAAACTTGTGCGTGGGTGTGCATCTGCCAATGCACCCTCAAAAGAGTCACAAATGAAAGCGACAAAATAAATAAGTAGGTACAACGATTATAATAAGGAACTTAATACAGAATGATTCACCTTAATTAAACTTTGTGAACTTCTACAGTTTTAGTGCAAAAGCAACCCAAAAAAAAAAACTACAAAAGAATCCTAAACAGAAAGGGAAGAATTTTTTATATTATGTAATAACTGTTACCTAACCTCATCTAAGAATGACAAGATAGGATTTTAAATGTAAATGTATTTTCTTGTAAAAAACTGATGATAAAATTTACGGGGTTGATTGAATATCCATTCTTGAAGCGCACTTTTAAATACCTTAATCTACGTCGGTGTCATTATGACACATTTAGCATTGTCATTTGAATGTCATTAGGTCCTTCATAATAGCACTAGTGCGTTTAAGAATTCATAATAACACCCAAATTTTGAAATGAAAAATATACAAAAAGAAAGTTAGTTGCCAGAAGAACCTTTTCAATAATGCTGTCTCTATATTCGAAGAGACACTTTCGAACTCAGAATCACCAATAATAATATTATTTTCCACTATAAAATTGAATTTATGGCACAAAAATGGACTCCAATATTGAAGCTGCCAAAGTCAAAATTCTAAAAACCAACAAGCAGGTTCTCGACTAGTACGGGCACCTGCTAAATTTCAAATTTTAATTTGAAAAGTTTTTGCTATTTCAAGGCAAATCAAATCTATTTGGACCATTGTAGATTAAATTTTGAATGATACACGTTCGATATGAACTTTATTAATGAAACTTGTGTAACTAAACCACTCGGCTAACGCCTCGTGGTTTAACGTTGTTGAAAATATAACTGTCTTGGGTCTAACAAACCAGTTTCGCGATACAAGTCGTCACTTGGATACATGTACTGTTTTTTATACATGGTTTTCAAGAGCCATTTTTGTGTGACCTCTAGCTTCATGTAAATAAAGAATTAAACGTCATTTATATTATTTTACATTGTTGACACGTTGTCTACATTGTCTACACGTAAAGTAGACAATGAAAGTCTACGGGAAGACGCACATCCCTGCTGGCAGCACAATAATTACTAATTTTGACCAGCCCTGTATAATGTAGAACAAATTTTCTTGCTCAAAAGTAATATGCAGGACCTCCCTAATGGCGTTTCCAATTGGTAGATTCAAGGCGCACTGAGTGTATTTGCATCCTTTTAATCGACCTGTAGAGGAAAAAGACAGAAATAGAAAAAATTGCACTAGTTCCGCACTGGTAGATCTAGTGCGGAAACGCCAAAGTTATCTCCAAAGTTTGAACTTTCTACGAATCTCAGTGACGTAGTAATACAAATTTAACCAGAGCTATGTTTTGATTGATAAGTCGAAAATCACTGGAGATAGGAGTTAGGTTGGGAGTTAGGTACCTAGGTACAGGGCAATTACAGATTACAGGGTTATTGGTTATAAATGTCACCCCCCTCTATCTTTTTTATTTGACATTTTGGAAAAAAGTGTCCCAAATGAAAAATGTATGATTGAAATTAATTGTTTTGCAAAACTCACTTTTGCATATACAGGGTGTTTCAAAAAAGCTGGTCGTGCTCCAACTTTCTTATTTTAAATTGAATACCCTGTATATTATTATTCAATATTGACAGTTGAAAATTGACTTTTTTGCAAATTTGACAGGCTGTAAAACCTAAACGGTTAACTTTTGAGCAAAACCGATCTTACGTTTTTTTCTAAGATTTTCACAAGTTATCATTTGACATTTACTTTGAATTTAACCGAAGATTAAATTTTATTGGAATTTTCAATCAGGGATTAATTTCAAAGTTGATGTCAAATATTGGTGTCAACTGATAGTTTATAAAAATCTAAGATAAAAATGTAAGATCGGTTTTGCTATAAAATTAACCTGTTAGGATTTAAAGCCTGTCAAAGTTGTAAAAAAGTCAATTTTCAACTGTCAATATTTCCAAAACAGTTGAACTTAGGTATAGGGTTATATCACATGAAATCTGCTCAGAATTTTATGTAGAATCCGAATATCCAATAATATACAGGGTATTCTATTTGAAATAGGAAATTTGGAGCACGACCAGCTTTTCTGAAACACCCTGTATATGCGAAAGTGAGTGTTTCAAAAAATTTAATTTGAATCATAAAACTTTTATTTGAGACACTTTTTTCTAAAATGTCAAATAAAAAAGATAGAGGGGGGTGATATTTATAACCAATAACCCTGAACCCTGTCCCACAAGCGTCTGCGGATCACACGGGGGCAACGCCACGAATACAGCGCCCATAACGTTTTTGCTGTTTGTTTTTTGACGCCTCCGCCTCCTTGTCCTGAATCCTGATGAATATTATTGTTATATTCTAGGTTTGCAATTTCCATTTCATAAAATATCGATAATATTTAACTGAAAATTTTAGAAAAACTAATGAGAATTAATTTTTTCGGGATGGGGTATCAAGCTGGGACCCGGGTACAAAAAAATAATTGATAAGTCAGGCGGAACAATCCAATGAAACATCGCCCTTCGCCCTTCACAGTTGATTTGTAGGCTGTATCACAACCAAGCTGTTTCTGTAAGATTTTGAAAGGCACAGTGTTCAATCTAGATTGTTGAATAATAGCTATTTATATAAATAACATTAAATAACAAGTACAGTACAATAAAGAAAGGATTTATTGTACGAATAATTTTATGACCGAGCGAGCTTGCGAGCAAGGCTATTAAATAATAAATCGATATTCGATAAAGCCTGTTTATGTAAGCGTAATACCTATACGTAATGTGAATTTAATGCGTTTATGTAAATTTCCATCTCGGTGAAAAATAAAATAAATAATTATTGTACCATTTTTCCTTTCAACAGTTCCATATTTTATAAACTGTGCTGTGATAGTATCTTGCTCTAATTTTCTTTTCCACTCAAAAAAGTCTTCCTTATTATTAAATGTTAAATTCTTGGCTTGGGGTCTAAGTTGTTACCGTGAAAATTTTTGTAATATGTAAAACAATAATGTCTTTGCTGTCGGTAATAAAATCACAGTTTAATGGGCATCTTATGGACTTCATTATTTTTGTAGATGTATTTTTGTTGTGAATTGTGTTTTCCATGTGTTTTTTTGGGTGAGACTTTCTCGAAAACTCCCTTTCATGTCATTGATAATAAGAAAAACTATGGAATTATAATTAATAATTTTGTGCCAAATAAATAAAGAGACGGTAAACAAAAATGCTAAGGAGCCGCCGTTTGTCTCGTCGCGCCAAATTTTAAAAGTTTCGTTCGTACACTTTCGACCATATTCGTGGCGTTGCCTCCGTGTGATCCGCAGACGCTTGTGTACACTTCTTGGCCAAATAACTGGTACAGGCAATATAATTATATTGTATAGGACATTTAGGATAATATTATACAAAAATAATCAGAAAGTACAAATAGCGGAGCGAAAAATGCAATAATAGAAAGTTCTCATGCCTCAGACGCTACGCTAATACGGTACCGCTAACAATACGGTATTCTACATGGTATTTTATAGTTCTCGGACACGAAGACACAGAAATCCTCTAATCCCTTATTCTGTTGTTTACATTTTGACAGCTAACCCAACTTTTTTTTGCTTGTTTTTTAACTTTAATCTATCCTAATGATTCCTGAATTTCATTAATTGGTGTTTTTTATGGAGGAATTATTAGAAGTTGCTTTTTTTTCAGACATAAATAAAAAAAATGCAACGTAAACTAATTTTGACATAGCATAGCGTTACGGTAAGGCATCCGCTAAGTCCCGTTAGGTAGCGGGCTCCGCTAACGCTAATACGGTAAGAACTGTCATACTTGTCATATAACGTTACGGATTTGGACAGCACGAGAACTCTCTAGTATACAAGGTGTCCCATTTAAAATATCAAACGTTTATTACTTTTTGATATAAGCGGCATAACGTCGCATCGTTGAAGGAGAATAACTGGGGCATGCAAATTTTCAAAAACATCCAACATTCCGTTTTCCATATAAAGTGTCTAACATTACCATCGACCATCAGTCACCCTGTATACCTACTGGAATTTTTGTTTTCACAAAATTCGGAAAATTTTGATTTTCCATTTTATGGGGTATAGAAAAGGACCGGAAACTCCTGGAAAAACGGGAAATTAAGGGGAGAAAAATGGGCTCCGAGATGTCATTGGTTCCGACATTTCCCTGGACCTCGATCCTCTATGACGTAGTGAAAGAAAATCCGGTAAATTTTAACTATTTCTTGGCCGAAAAAAAAAAGCAAGGCAAACCCAGTTTCCTGTTAAAGGTATAGGGCCAAAAATTAAAGTCGAAATTTCATGATGGCCATTTTGTAGAGGAAATCCCAAAAAGTCCCAAAACCAATTTTTTTCCCTTAACTTTTCCGATTTTTCATGAATTTTCACCATTTTGTGGTGATTCGAGTGATTCAACACTGCTTAAAAATTTTAATTGTAATCTCGAGACTCCGAGACTACGCGGGACTCTCGCCGAGTCTGGTCTCGTCTCGTCGAGACTTCACGAGACAAGACCAAAAGCCAGTCTCGTCTCGGAAAACCCTATTTTCGATGAATCGTAATTATTAGTTTCACCCCCTTCAACCGGTCAAATTTATTTGCAAGTCTTTTTAGGTACCCTCAACGGTGTACTGCCTATAACTTCCAGTACCATTTGTGCCCGAGACTAGGGTGGAAAAGTCCATATTTTCACAAAAACCCTTTTTTCGATGAATCACAATTATTGGCTTTACCCGCTTAAAGCACCCTCAAAGTTATTTGCAAGTCAAGTGAGGCTCCCAATTTATCGAATTTAGTGTCAGTTTTCAATTAATCTACCAAGATTTGGTTGTCAAACACAACTTCAAGACTTTGGTGATGTTTCCCAGGAAGCAAGGTTTCCAGATTTTTCGCCAATTCGTTTGAATTATTTTTGTCAACACAACTCCATGTGAAAAATAAAAAGAGAATTTGAGTTGCAACTGGATCAATGATTTACCAATAAAAAAAGCAAATTCAACAAGAAATACTAATTTATTTGGTAGTAATTTGAAGATCAACTATTAGCAGAATTATCTGTTTAAAAAAAAAATTAAACAGACAAAAATTAATTTTATTCAATTAGGTAATACATGTGAGTTTGTTTAAATTTTTGTTGACAAGAAAATTCTAAACAATCCCTAGGTAGGAATGTAAATACATAATATAACCAACTCATTTAACACAAGTGTAAGGCATTTCTCTTTCGCACCTCATTCTTTGAAAAAACAGTTAAATGCTAAAAAAAAACATCAATAGAGGTGCCCATCGCCCACTTCCCACTGGATTTGAACACAATAATCAATTTCAGCTGGATTAATAATACTTTTTTTTTGTTCAAAAAATTAAATAAAAATAAATAAATTGTCCTAGGGCAAATTTAAAAGTTAACATTCAGAAAAATTCCCGTTGATTTTTATATGCTGTATGTCATCCAGGCTCTTTTTGGCTTTCTGGGAAATGTCGTCCATTGACTTTTTCGCGCTAGTTGTTAGATCGTCGAAGGATTTTTTGGTGTTGAGTAAAATTTCGTCTGTACTTCTGCTGAGATCTTTGACTTCGTCGTTAATTTTGGTTATTACGTATTCCATAGCTTGTCTACCTTTACCTGCATTGTTCGAGATCTTATTGGTTAGAATATCTTCCATGTAATTTGTGAGAGGAACACCTAAAAACGGAAATATTTTTATACCTGTTTTTGTTTTAGTTAGGATTTTATTTCTTACCTTGTACAGTTACCACAGCTTCTTGCGTCAAAAGCGTCTTGCTAGGATCCGATGGATGGGGCGTGTACTTTAAAGTTTCATTTACTGCAATGTGTCGACAGAACGTCAGATTAATCGTTTTTAAAATCATGTGCCTGGCCGAAGGGTTTACTTCTGAGTGTTCAGCTGCGTAACATACTTTTGCTGAGCCAATGAGCTGTAAAGAACAAGAGGTTAATTATTTTAGAGGTTTTAAACGTGCACGCATGTTCTGGCATAGAGCCCAGAATTGTTAGCATTTTCAGACTCAAGTCGCATTCGAATTATTCGATAGATAAATTTAAATCTACATTGAGGGGCAAAAAACTGGAACACTCAAAACTTCCATAAATTGATGATGATTTTGTGTGTATTTATTTATCACAACATTTAAGCTGTTTTTTTGCTGCCAATTATAATTTTAGTTTAATAATGCTTTGAGAATTAGCTGATCCTACTAGAATAATCACACAGCTCTTTGTATTAAGATCTGCTGTCCATCATAAGAACAATACAGCGATATCTCCAGATATAGATTTGGCTTCAGGTTTGTCAAATTTTAGCAATAGTCATAATGAGTTTTTGAGCAAGAATAATAAGAAGATGTGTCATACTTGAGAGCAAGAATTTATTCAAATTTGGAGAGTCGAGTAAATACTCTGGATTCGAACTCAGATTTCCACAAAGACCTCCCAATAGACAAGAAAGAACATTAATACTTTTCATCAATTGGTAAACTTAATTATTAAGCCCTATAATAGCAGATTTCCAGGAAGTGGTTAATTCAAATATGTAATAACGTACTGGCTTAATAACATATAATAACAAACAAAAAAAATGCGCCCACACGTGCATTTTGAACAAGCCAAATTAATGACTTTATTATTGGTCAGCAACTATTGGCGTGATCAAAGGAATTTGGCAATATTGTGTGGAGCATGCGACCAATATTACGCTATAGAAATGTTTGGAAGTTTAAATTTTTGTTTCAATGCATTTTAGATGTAAAGTATTATTATAAAATGCCAATTTAAATAATTTACCATTTTGTTTTTAACTCAAATTAAAGTTAAAATTCTAGAAAAGATTAAACTATGTAATTGCAAACAATATGCTTATGCTTTCAAGTCACGACAAAACATTTGCCAAAAATGATAACACCAGCTAGCCTTTTGATAAATATAATATAGGATTTTTAAAATAAATAACCATCAGACATTAAACATTTTCTCATCAAATCTCTCTAAATTACTCATTTATGGTAAATAAGTAGTTTTGATAATAGTATTTCTGCATAATTATTAATGACAGTCTTACAAACAACTTTGTAATTGAACAATAAATTATGCATCTTTGAAGTCCCAACAAGTTTTACAACTTTATAGAGTTCATTTAATAAAAATAAGAAAAAGGAGACTTTTTTGTGTTGAAAGACCACACCAGAACTCTGACGGATGCAACAATAGTTGTTATAGTTTTATATGAAAAGTTGAAGTGCCAAACATTTCTAAATAAAAGATCATGAAGCTCCTGAAGGTGTACTCTGTTGTGTTGCCTCATTTCTAGAACAAATACCAAATATTCCATTGACAAAAAGAGGCATTTTGTCTGCTGCGCAACGTGTATTTGATCCAATAGGTTTCACTAGTCTAGTAACACTCTTACCAAAGATAAAAAGTTGTGATCATGTGTCCTTACCGATGTCCTTACATATTTTCTGTGATGCTAGTAAAACAGCTTATGCAGCTTGTATTATCCTAAAAGTTGAAATAAATGAAGAGACTTACATCATTTTGTTACTTTCAAAGTCAAGAATCATGCCCATACAAAAAATTACTTCACCCCATCTCGAGTTATTGTCAGCTTTGATAGCTTGTAGACTATAGGTATAGATCAGTTCAAAAAATACAGTGTTTACAAAGCTTTGACGCTTATTTTTGGAGTGAGTCTAAGGTTGCTCTTACTTGGATTAAGACAAGATCATATTCGAACACTTTTGTAAACAATAGAGTTGAGGAAATCTGGAAGTATACTGATTTGAGAAAGTAGAATCATGTGGCAGGTATTTCGAATGCAGAATGCAGCAGATATTTTCATCAAGAGGTTGTAGTACCCAACAGTTGATAAAAAATTGTTGGTGGGAAGGTCACGATTGGTTGAGCAAAAATATAGAATATTGGCCGATAACATCAATTTTTTAATGAAGAAGTAGTCTATATGTGACCAAAGAAAACAACGATAGTAACAAATTTAATTGTAAACAAAAACGCTACCTCTAAGAACTTGCTTTATTTTTCTAAGTATACTCAAATTGTTCGTATGGTTGCTTGAATCTATAGATTTTATGTATAAGTATCTCGAGAAAATATTAAGAGTACCAAAAAGCTGTTAAGTGAAGAAATTGAAAAAGCAGAGAAGAGGGGTTGTTGTTCTTTGTTCTAAAACTATTGTATGCCTATTTTCATTAAAAAAAGTGGTGAATGAAGTTTTTACAACTTTGTCCTTTAAATAGATTTCACCTTTTTTCTAAAATCAAGGTTAATTGTTACATCAAGAAGTGGAATCTATTTTTAAAACCAGAAAGTATTTTTAGTGAACAAACGTAAAATAAATTACGAAGTTTTTTTGTTTTGCTCCTACGCCTGAAACCCTTCAACTTTTAATCATAATAGCACATCAAACTATACAGAGAAATTGAATAATGTGAACATTTTTCTAAGATGCAAAAATCAAAGTTCAAACTTAGTCTCTTAAAAGTTCAATGTTTGCATTGCACACAAAGCACAATTTAAAAGTCTAGTTCATGACCAAAAAAGATAAGGATTTGAATAAATAATTGCAAATTAATCTTGACGTCATCTATTGAGGACTACTTAGAACTTTCATATTATATTATATTAAAATAAAATTGATTGATTAATAATAATAATTACCCAACTTAGAAACTGTTCCAAAGACCAGAAACATAAAGATTCTTGTCTAACCACCATAACATTTCAATACACAATGGGATTCGACCTTTGGACTATAAATTAATTCTAGAGGATTTCCTTCTTGTGTGTGTGTATGGAATTTTTCGAGGAATTTTTCTTGAAATTAAAATGAAACTTTCCTTTCCTTTATTTTAAGAAATAAATGGACATAACCATAAATTCTTAAAACAGAATATTGAATAAAAAAATTAGTTACAATTGCCAAAAATTATGACTCGTTTTATGATGCAATTAAGTTTATGGAATATTTGGTTTTGGCTTGAGAACAGACATAAAAATGTACAGCAAATTGTTTAATTAAAATATCAATGTATTCGCGAGCTTATGCAATTTTTAAATATTGCTTCAAATAATTATTATTGAAATGTTTGTTGGTACTTACTGCTTGAGCCCATTTGGGAAAATACCATATAGAACTAACTAGTCTTTGGGTATGAAGTACTCCATCGACCACTTTTCGTTCTACCACATCGGTACCAATAACGGCAGGGTTGTGTGGATTAGGGTACTTTCTCCAAGCTGCTGTAGCCACCGTCTCCCAGGGATGACTGCAAAGTACAAGTTTTTAAAAAGCACAACCCCCCAAGTCAAAAAAACTCACTTGAATGTATGTTCACTGGTCCAAATTTTCATTTTGTAGGATTGTGATGACACTTAACTAGGAATTTTAGAAAGTGGGCCCCCTGCGCTTGGAACGGGCAAGCCTTTCCAGGAAAAACGTCTGGACGCGTCGAGTGAAAACGATAGAGAGCACAATTGAACTCAAAATTGAGATAATTAATTATTATCCTTTTGAAGGCTGACACATGGACATTGGAATTGAATGACGTCTAATATGGATTCCATGACGTCACAAGTTACGCAATTTCTACGTCGTATGATTACAGATTTCTCTTTTATTTATTGCTATGTTGGATTTTAGGTTTAGGCATATTTAGTTAGCACGCTATAAAATCATAGATGGCGTTCATGTTGTTAATTTGGAAGTATTTCAAACTTGAGTTGTAGAGGGTGCTTCTGTATTTCGTGCTTTTTAAAATGTGGCGCGTTAGTAACCGAGTGTAAAATTAATGGACTGATTCGAAAATTAATTTTGGGTTTTTAGTAATTCTACTCTGACTGTTCCATATGCACTGGCTCTTTTTGATCTGTTCAACTGTTCGAACTACCTTGGCTGCGTTCACCAGAACCAAAACGGGCTGAGAACAGTTTACAAATACCAGCAGAATAGTTGGATAAACTCTTGATTCTGCAGAGTCTTTATTCTTGAAACAGGGAAGCAACTTTCCCAGGAGAACGAGTGTTTTGTCTTTCTCAATGATGCAAATGATAATAGTTGTATTCCTTTCAAGAGTTTAAAACACCAAAGCTACTCGCTCCGGTGTTACTCGACCGATTTGAAAGAAACAGATGCGCTGGCTTTCATGCATGGTTTGAGGTTAGATCTTGAGTCGGGCTCAATGAACTATAGCTAAAAACTGGAATGCGCACACATTGCCATATCTGCCAAAAAAATGAAGCCATGAAAGACAGATGCCACAAGGGGGAATGTTGTTTTTTTCTGTTGCTCGCTGTCATATGACGTTTTCAAAGTTTTGTCATATTTCCCTTCACAGGTTTCATCGATTGGAATACGTGTTGGAAGCAATTTTCGCCATTTAACATAATGAGTGCGACAAAAACAGGTATCCCCTCCGCAGCAGCTGCACTAGGCTTCACGTTCGTCCTTATGTGTTAGCATTCCAGTTTTTGGTTATAGTTCATTGGTCGGGCTTGAGCACTCAGGTGCAACAAACACTTTTCGAAAGGAATAAGCGCGTAACGCCCCGGAGCTGTTCCGGAGCTCCTCCCAGGTGTGAAAGAAATACAACTAATATAAAATCTGTTTTTTTTTTAAAGATAAAAGTCAAAATGACATTATGTTGGCAATACCATGTAAAATTATCAATGCTTTCAAATTTTTTATGTAGAAAAGGCTTGTGTTACCCATAGTAACAAAGACGGAACACTCGTTAGCCTAAAAACGCTGCTCCCCTGTTTCAAGAATAAGGACCCTTGAACGATTCAACTTTTCAAGATAGAACGTCACCTTCTGAATGCTGAATGTCATGTCACAACACATTTTCATGTTGAAAATTATAAACAGTCATATAGGGTGTTCATTTGTACTGCTTTTCTTGCTTCAAGCAGATCTCAGCAGTAATTCGGCGTTCACTTGTCCCAAATAGAAGCTCATAAATAGCAGCTCCTAGCAGATCTTTCTGATTTTTTGAGCAGGTAGAGCAAGTACAAATGAACCACGGATGATACACACTACTACTACAGGATTGCCTATCCTCATAAGGCCTGTGTGCAACAATTCCCCCTCTCCCCTTCCCATCATCACTCCCATAGCCAAAATACCAGTTGTGACGTAGGCAGCATGTTATTTCTCGCCTTGACGTAGGCTGTTTAAACAGCTGACGATTTAGGGCCAAATTACAATATATTTGCATCTGCAAATTTGCAGTTCTGCAAATATGGCCGACTTGCATATGTGCTCTATTTGCAGAAACGAGCAAATTACAGAAAAAATCTGCAATTTCGTCATATTTATCGGAAAAAAGTGTTCGTGCGCTACTGATTTACCAGTTTTAAATGTCAAAGTTGTCAAAGTGATTGCAAGGACTTGCGGGACCGTTTCACCATGCGCAAATTTGCAGGTGACTTGCAAATGCATTCTGCTTCTGTAATACGAAAAGTCAGACTTGCAGGTCCTGCATTTATATCTTGATGTTGCAGAGCTTCTGTAATACCGGGCTTAGTTATGACGTCGGCAATGGTGGCACACCAATATGGCGGCGATTACCAAAACGAGGCCGATAGGCACTCCTTAGAGTCTGTATTTTGCTTGGTTTTCACAAACCATTTTAGAGGGAAGCCTAAAACGATAAGTATTTTTAATCCATTATAGCAATAAATCCTAGAAAAAAAATTTTCATGCAATCTTAATTTACTGGCATAATGTACACGGCGATGACTCGACTCTTCCAATATGTACTGTTATCTGGCATACCTACACATGCATTTTTAATTCATTTGCAAAACGTACATGACTATGACCCCGCAATGGCAAAACTTACTGCTATTTGGCATTAACGAATCGGAAGCGTAGATACAGGCTATTTGCCATATTCATGTACGAAGTGCTTATATGCGGTCGGGTGGCCGTATTAAGGCCAAAGTACCAGTGATGACGCAACGACGTGTTGTTTCGCGCCTGACATAGGGTGTTTGCACCACAAATTATAATTGCGCTGATTTTTGCCATAATGGCGTTTCCGATTGGTTAGAAATTACGAAAATTCTAACATTTTTTTGAATTTATTATTAACCCCCGCCCATGGTCGGCACATTGACAGTTAACTATTTGCAGCTAACTTTACACCGATGTATTATCAGCTGTGCTGTCAGGGGCAAACTTCACCCACCACTCACATCTATTATTTTCCAATGGAAGAGAAGTTTTATATAAATATATTGAAAAATAATGTTATAATATGTGTGACCTTTTTATCAGTCCTTGATCTTCTCAATAGTGATAACAGCGACAGATTTCCACAACACAACGGTTTATTAGTTCAGTAGCCAAGTGAACAGAAAAATAAAGTGAAATGTTTTCGAAAAAAACTTAGGTCTGTCCACAAACAAACCACCATGGCCTATCTCGTACAGCACAAGCAGCTGGACAAGCCTGGCAAAGAGTGCATCCATTCTGGACAGTTTATGGTGTCCCAGTTTGAGGCTGAAGAACAGGACGACGAGGACAACGTCGCTGTCCCTATACCCGAGGTTATCGATAACAAGGCTCTGGTGACTGTTAATCCGTTTTTTCAAAGCACTCAGTCTTCGAATAGCAAGAAGACTCAACAGCAACTGTTCATAGATCAGAGCCTTTCCAAGTTGTTTCATTGTATGTCGCTGGCCTATAGGTAAGTAATTAAGGCCTTAAACTTTAAATAATAAAGTCAGGATACTCAGAAACAAGTACGTTTTCTTTGTGCATTATTTATTTACCATTAAAAATTGTCTCAAAGTATTTTGTGTAGTGGTATGGACATGGTATGTTGCTCTCATTTTAGCAAAGGCAGAATTTTACCAAATACAAAATTTTGGCTTGTATTTGGGTTACTAATTAGCCAGACTAGGATGTTGATTTTTTTAATGTTATGTGTACATAAGTCAGTACTTGAACAATGAAACTGCTAGAAATAATAACTTCTTAAAGGCTTATAGTAGGTATTATAAAGTTTATCAAATATTATGTTAAAATTTTGCAAAATAATTCATTTTTGTATACAGGGTTCAGGAGAAAGGTGCCAAATTGTGTGGGTATATTTTACTTATAAAAAATTCAAATGTTATTTAACTTTTATTTGTTTTTCTACTGACGTTTCATAATACACTTATTAAACATTAAAATCTGGGGTCGTATTTTCGAATTTATTCGAGTACATTTCGTATACGAAATTTGATTGATAGCAATGTAAATTCAATGGGGAGCCGATCCCTGTTTCATAAACCGCGTGTGGCTAAATTCAGCTGGTGTAGGCACCATGGTGGAATGATATCAGGGGGCGGATTACGAACTCTCGATTCGAACCGAAACCGCCATGGATTTTGAACGCACTCCATGCAAATGCATCAGAATGCGTTCGAAATCCATGGCGGTTTCGGTTCGAATCGAGAGTTCGTAATCCGCCCCCAGGTCTTCAAAAAAAAAACAATCAAAGATTGCTTTGGTTACGAAAACGTACGTCGCATTATTGTTTCTTTATTGGTCAGGATTTTTGACATGATATTTTGACAATAAATTTCGTTGACTGACATTGTCAAAATTAAAGAAAAATATTGCTAAGACGTACGTTTAAAAAACCATAGCAATCTTTGATTGGTTTTTTTTTTGAAGACCCGATAGAATAACCAGTGTTATTAAATTAAACAGGGTTTGACAAGCTATGGTTTGGCATTAGCATTAGTGAATTTTAATCATGAATTTAGCAACACGCGGAATCAACTCATTATGATACAGCGAGTGATACAGATTTTTCAGCCACTGGAATCGAGTTATTTTGAACATGAACAATGTTTATATAAAAATAACAGACTTGTTCTGGATTGCTTCTTTTAGTATTTACCTCGGTATTTACCAAAAGAAACAACAACAAAATTAGTAAATCGGGTGCGGAATTTATGCCCAAATGACTTCTACTCAGACATCTACGTCATTCTTAAAATAAATACATATGTATTTGTTTATTAATGGAAGTAGAAAAAATAGTGTATGCAACTCTTTGCATAATATACTATTTTTCAGGTTTAAAAAAAGCAAGATAAAAACGATTTGTTGCATTTTTGCTTTTTCTCCTCTAAGGATAATATTAATGTGTGTTTTTTTTTAAAGATAAAAGTCAAAATGACATTATGTTGGCAATACAATGTAAAATTGTCAATGCTTTCAAATTTTTTATGTAGAAAAGGCTTGTGTTGCCAACATAGTTATTAAATTTTTGACTTGGGGAATTATCTTTAAAAAAAAAACGGACTTATTATCATTTGTTGCTCCTGGTCACAGTTGAATAGGTAGTACCTACATCTACACCTAAGTACTGATATATATTTAAAGTAAAATATTTCTTGAAAATATTCAGTACATTTGATACTTTAGTTGGAATGTAATATATTGATTTAGGTACCAATTTCATTCATAATTTAGGTACTAATTATCCATCCTTATTTATCAATCACGAATCAGAGGAAATAAAAAATTACCAACAAAAACGAACGTCGATTGCTAATACGTCAATTTCATGTAAAAATAGGATATTCCTCACCTAATTTTATTTGTGTGTTCAAGATGTGATATACGTTAAGTCACTAGAACGACTGGTACTTTAAAATAGGTATTAAAAACTCTATATATATCTATATTTATTTTTCCAGCCATAAGTATGAATGATGAACTCTGTATACAGGGTGGTCCTTCGGGAATGACATCGATTGCTTATGGGAAAACTGTGAAAGGTAAAAATTTGAAAATTTGGCAACATAGCAATGTCGATGGGGGACATCTAGGTAAAATATTTTCAAGATGGCGGCATTTCCGGTCATACCGGAAGTTGATACCAACTCGGTTATTTTAAATAGAACACCCCGTATATAAATGTATTTTTGAATTCTACATAAAATTCTGAGCAGATTTCATGTAATATACCCTATACCTAAGTTCAACTGTTTTGGAAATATTGACAGTTGAAAATTGACTTTTTGCAACTTTGACAGGCTGTAAAACCTGAACAATTAATTTTAGAGGAAACCCGATTTGACATTCCTATCTTAGATTTTTATAAACTATCATTTGACATCAACTTTGAATTAAATCCATGATTAAAAATTTCAGTTAAATTTAATCTCCGTTTAAGTTCAAAGTTGGTGTCAAATGATAGTTTATCAAAATCTAAGATAGGAATGTGAAATCGGTTTTCCTCTAAAATTAACCAATTAGGTTTTACAGCTTGTCAAAGTTGCAAAAAGTCAATTTTCAACTGTCAATATTTCCAAAACAGTTGAACTTAGGTATAGGGTATATTACATGAAATCTGCTCAGAATTTTATGTAGAATCCAAAAATACATTAATATATGGGGTGTTCTATTTAAAATAACCGAGTTGGTATCAACTTCCGGTATGACCGGAAATGCCGCCATCTTGAAAATATTTTACCTGGATGTCCCCCATCGACATTGCTATGTTGCCAAATTTTCAAATTTTTACCTTTCACAGTTTTCCCATAAGCAATCGATGTCATTCCCGGAGGACCACCCGGTATAATAAACCTTTTTTTTGATTTTGTTTTGATTTAAATTTAATTGAAATATTAAACTTCAGACATTCATAAAATATGTACCTAAAAACCTTGGAACTTTCAAAGTTTTCAAAAATCTAGGTAAATCATAAAGCTTATGATAACCTTAGTACTTACTAAAATGATGAAATTTCAAATTTTTTTTATGTTGAGATTCTGAGTTTAACTTGTCATTTGGGTCCTCCCAAACTCCATACACCAAATTATTCTGAAATTTGAAGCCCAAATCTTAGAAAAAAGGACGACAGGAAATGGAAACATTAAAGAATTCACCCCACATTGCTTAACGCGATTTTATTTCTGGAACTATAAGTCCAAATGGGCTAGTAAAAGTTCTCGTTTTTCTTCCTCCTTTACCTGTCCTCAATTCCGTGCAAAGTCCCATATGAATGACAAACTCTTCCTTGTATCAAAAATCCATTGAGTATGCAAGCATTATTTTTAAAATCAAATTCAGACTAAAAATAGGTAAATTGCATTTTTTTCCAATAAACAAGTCGAGGTTTTTAAATAATATGGATGAAAGTATAGGGCCTAAAGAATATAGAAACGTTGGGGTGTCTATTTTTTTTCTGGCATAACTATTGGGTTGACAGGTTTGAACAGGTGAGTCGATACTAGTAATTTACACCCATCTGTTTAATGTATAAATCATACACCACTCTGTCGCAAAATTTCGCTTTTCAAAGCTCGCCAACCGTCATTCAGGCCAGATTTTTCGCCGACAACCCTATATCATCATGTTCGCAATAAAATTACTTTTTTTTTGATGTAAGATTTATTCATTAAACAGATGGGTGTGAATTACTAGTATCGACTCACCTGTTCAAACCTGCCAACCCAATAGTTATGCCAGGAAAAAAATAGGCAATCCAACGTTTTTATATTCTTTATGTCATACCAATACATTATTGTGTTTTTATACCTTAGATACCATCTGCATAATTCATTACTTTATGCCCGTGCGGGCATAAGGCCCGCGCGGGCATAAAGACGCAAAAAACAGTTTTCAATTAACTTATTCTTTATTAACAAAATATAAATTTACGCTTATAAACATATTATTTTCGTCAAATAATGATGATGTTTGCACACTGATGACAATTTGCGATGTGACACTTTTTTTCCCAGGTATTTATTATTCACAACCAACTGGTATGACATAAAAGTTTGTATGCACCACGGGTACTAATAGATATATATACCCTCGGGCGACTTACGAACCCTCGGGCCAGAGGCCCTCGGCTTTGTAAGACTGTCGCCCTCAGGGCATAATCATCTACTTAGTACCCTTGATACATAAATAACTATTAGGCCCTTTAGTATGGAATTTGTTCGTTAAACAAATGAGTGCAATGCCTTTAACAATTATAATTTTTGAATTATTTATTAATAATAGTCTGGCCAGGAATTTTTTAGCCAACCCACACCTGATATTTTTTTTAACATACTAACTTTGATATAAAATAATTTTTATCCAGTAAACAGATGGGTGCAAATCCTTTCCTATTCGGATCTTAGACTACAAGGCAAAACCACTAAAAATCTCTTTACTTAATGATGTAAAAACAATTCCATTTTTATTGTTAAACAAATGCAATATGGCTAAAAATAACTGAATACTGATAAAAATGGCTATTTTTAATTACAAAGTGCAATTTATTAAAGCAGTGTTGAGGGTCTTGGCGACATTGTTTATTAAATGATTCATGCAAATATCCAATTGGCAAAGTTCAGAATACAACAAACAATGATAAAAACAGATGTGCATTAAGTATTTATTAACAAAGATTGTATACAATGTTCTAATACGAAGTAATTTTTCAAAAAAGGTACATAAAATGTAGTTATTAGAGTCTCAAAAAAACCTATTTTGTATGGATATAGTTGATGAGATCCACAACTCTGTGAGAATATCCATATTCGTTATCGTACCACGCAATCAATTTAACAAAGTTATCATTCAAAGAAATTCCAGCCACAGAATCAAAAATACAACTTCTACAATCACCATTAATGTCGCTGGAAACGAGCATTTCCTCAGTATATCCCATGATGCCTTTCAACTCTCCCTGTGCCGCCGCCTTAACTGTCCTCTTGATGTCATCCATTTTCGCCGGTTTGCCTAATCGGCAAGTCAAATCCACAACAGATACGTTCGGAACTGGAACTCGAAAAGCCATGCCGGTCAGTTTGCCTTGCAACTCTGGAATAACTAGCGTTACAGCTTTTGCAGCTCCTGTTGAAGCAGGAATGATGTTCTGGCCAGCGCCACGTCCATCTCGCCACATTTTCCCTGAAGGTCCATCCACTGTTTTTTGTGTGGCTGTAGTAGCGTGCACAGTAGTCATCAGGGCTTCTACGATTTCGAAATTGTCGTGTATAACTTTGGCCAAGGGAGCTAGACAGTTGGTGGTACATGAAGCGTTAGATAAAATGTGCTGAGAAGCCGGATCGTACTTGTCCAAATTGACCCCGACTACAAAAGTAGGAGCGTCCTTCGACGGTGCTGATATAATTACCTTTTTAGCACCCCCTGTGATGTGTTGAGTTGCCTTTTCAACAGTCGTAAACATGCCTGTACATTCTACAACGTAGTCAGCTCCGACGCGGCCCCAAGGAATTTGTTTGGGGTCTTTTTCATTGAACACTTCCACTTTGTTTCCGTTGATGAAAATTGCCTTTCCGTCGGTGCTAACGCAACCTTGAAACTTTCCATGGGTGGAGTCGTATTTGAATAGGTAGACCATGTAACCTGGATCGAGGAATGGGTCGTTTATTGCCGATACTTTGAGGCCTTTTTCAATGGCTATTCGTACTACCAGTCTTCCGATACGGCCGAAACCGTTTATACCGATTTGAGCCATCATTTTTTAAACTACAAGGGCAAAATTCTGGGTTTGAAATGTTTGAAATGACAAGATGTTTGACAAGGGGATGGTTTTTCTATTATTGGCGTTAACTGGTGGGTGTATTCTTTGACCGTTACAGTATTTTTAGATAATTTTTAAATCCTGAAAGCTGAAATTTTCAGGTATTGTTGTCCTCTATTCGGGCAAGATCCCCGGACAAGATTCCCTGGAAATGTCAGCTTCCTATCTATAATAGAATTGGGGTTGTGATTTTCCAAAGTTTTAAAAAACCCAAATCAAAAGTCCTTTCCCTTTCCCAATCGATAGAGCGGGTCAATCAGTCAAAAAAATCCCCTAACATCATTTCCAAATGACCAATTCAAAAAAAAAAAAAAAAATGGTTCTGAATTTTTTTTGGTTAAGAACAAGTGCCCATATTTCCATTAAAATTTGAAGAAATCAAAATAAATTAGACACTATTAGAAAGAGCATTAGGTTCTCTATAAATCCGTGCTAAATTGAGTTTGATAGCTCGAATACTTTTTGAGCTATTGAGCCGCAAAGTTGAACATTTTCAATTATTAATCACAAATTTCCAAACTGTTGCGTCAACCCTTCTTTGGGTGAATTAAAAATTTAACCTTTTTTAAAAAAAAATCTTTGAATTGTAGGTACATTAATACAAACATAAAACCTCTGTCGGTGTTACAACATACACATATTTAGATTAAAAAGCCAACACTAAAAGAAACCTTGTGACGTCAATACGACAATCGCCTTGGGCAATAAAAAAAAATGCAGGAAGCCATTCGATTGATTGTTCAAATCAATTCAATGAAAAATTCATACATAAGTACTTCAATGCTAATTAAACATTAATCAGTAGATGAATGTGTTTACAAACGAGCAATGTGTTAAAATTAAACAGAAATTGCCTGAGTATTTTAATGATAATTGGCTTTGAAAAATGATTATTCACATTCAGCTGAATTGAGGTGAAAAATTTTTCTCCAACAACATAATAATTTGATAAGAGAAAACACTTGTTTTTGGTCGAAGCAAATTTCTTACGCAATTACAATATTTGAACTGGTCTTTTTTTACAGGAATATTAGCATTTTGATATTAATACACTATCTAAATTCGTATATTAATCAGGCGTAATTTCATCATCTTTTCTAAACTGGTAAATAACGATTAACATTAGCTTATTTACATTTAAATTTGTATCTAATTTAAACTTCTCGTATTGGGGGGCACTCCATATTTGCCGTCTGATAATATACAAAGTAATTCTATTGTAGACAAGAGGTCGCAGAATTCAACCTTTTTATTAGGGAAATGATGATAGTACTAATCGGTTGACACACAAGTTATCAAGTATTCATTTTAATCTGATGAAAAATTTGTTGCTTATTTCAAGAAAATTCTCCATTACCCAGAGCCTTTTTCGTTTGGAAAATATTACTTTTTGCAAAGTCAGCAAATTATAAAACTGAGACATTTCTGTAATTATTATTAATTTGTTTCAGGCAAAAATTAACTTCACCCAAATGGAACAGATTCCGTGGTATCAGATTGAGGTGGAAGGACAAAATCCGGCTAAACAATGTGATATGGAGGTGCTGGCATCTTCAATGTAAAGTCTCAGACAAACAAAAATATTAATATAATCTAACTTATTATTTTTCAGTTATCAAAAAGGAAAACACCCTTATTTGTCAGTTTGCTTCCCCACTTGATGTAGATACGCATAACAAACCTGAGGTAAGGAATTTTTAAAGGAGGAAAGTGTCTCTTTGAACCTATAGAATATTTAAATTTTTCTACTACCCTCTTAGTTAAAATCATTTTAATATCCTACCAGTACAATATTCAGTAGACTGAAGCTAGAGGGAAAGCAAGTAGATGTTTCCTCTCTGAAGAAGGAAATTTCCTACTTTCTACTCTCATTTAGGGGCAAAATCGGGTAATATTTTAATTTAACTGTTCCACAAGCTTATTTTCCTAATTGGTTATTCTGAATTTTCCTAGAATAAATCCCACACAGCACTCAGTTGTTGTTTGGAAATTGATTAAAAGCACCGTCATTCCATATTGTACTTTTATCTAAATCCATGTTTGTTCAATTTGCGTAATATTATTATTACAACGGAATTTCGGTTTGGCGGGTACAAATTGTTGCTTTTTTTCGAAAATCCCCGTACAAGGCGAAAATAGATTTGCCAGAAATGGCAAACTATGTATTACAATCTGTCGGTTGCTTGTTTATTTGTCCAATAAATAATGGAATATTTGTGATTTCTATTAGATGTTTTTGGTGGTGGAAATTGGGTTTGAATCAACTGAACCACAATTATTATTGTTGCCATAAAATTGGAGTGACAAAATGATCTATAGAATCATCTGAGATATCCAGCTATATTGATCAAAAATCTTAAGATTTTATAATGCAATCACTAATCAATATGCTATAAACAATAAATTTGAAATTCTAAAATAAATTTCTTATCAATAGGAAAATACTAATACATAATAATAATTTTCCTTTACATCATTATTATCGTTTCATATTAGCAATTAATTTGAGTTTATTAGCATTTTACTATGTTTGTTATCACATTTTACATCTGCCAGCCTAATCTCATCAGTAATAATGCCACTTATCAATTTGAATATTTGTCAACGTTGTTTATATGGAGACATGTGCGGGTTCACTTCATTCGGTTTGCAAAAATTGCAAAATCAGTGTAATCAGTCAATATTTATTAAGAGGCTAAGATAAAGGCGAAAGTCGCATTACATTTCCTATAGTTTAGCGATTTTGATTGGCTTGTTTTCAACCAAATAGTATTTTTTCACTTATTAAGAGCTTTCTGAAGTCTCGCCGCTTCCATATAGTTTTCTATTTCGTTGCAGTATGTCCTCCAGGCATCTCTTTGTTTTTGTCGTACGACTTTTTTTATATTGGTTGAGTTGATACCTATAAAGGTTTCAAGATGTTTAAACTTAGAGAATTAACATCATACCAACTCTTAATTATTGGCAGTTCCGAGTTTATCATTTCCTTAAGATTATCACATGTTTTCGCATGCCATAGAAGAGTAGTGTCATCAGCGAAGAGAGTAAATTTCCCCCGAATATTAATCATCGCAAGGTCACTAATATTAAAAAAAAAGGTCCCAATACGGATCCCTGCGGCACACCATACTGACATACCAGGGGTGCTGACTCATCACTGCCAACTCTTACCACCTGGACCCTCTCCAAAAGATATGTTCTGAACCATTGATTAGGTGGTGGATTCAGGAACTATTTTTTATATATAATAATTAGGTGTTTTTTAGGTGCTAATTACGGCCTCTAATTAAAAATTAGGTGCTCCTTTAGTTTCTGAAAAAAAAAAAACTAAGGGACTGCTAAATAGTCGAAGAAAAAATAGAATTGATTAATTATTAACTGAGTTACAGATTTTTTTTTTAATTATAAGGGGACTGCTGGCTTTACGTTTACTTGTTGGTGTGTCAGAATGGCAAAAAAACTTCGGGATCTATATAATAATTAGGTGCTTTTTAGGTGCTAATTAGGGCCTCTAATTAAAAATTAGGTGCTCCTCTAGTTTTTGAGAAAATCCAAAAAAAACTATAGGGGACTACTAGCTTTCATAAACCTAGCAATCCCTTAGTTTTTTTTTATTTTCTCAAAAATCAGAGGAGTACCTAATTTTTAGAGGCCCTAATTAGCACCTAAAAAGCACCTAATTATTATATAGATCCCGAAGATTTTTTTCCATTCTGACACACCACATGTAAACGTAAAGCCAGCAGTCCCCTAATAATTAAAAAAAAATCTGTAACTCAGTTAATAATTAATCAATTCTACACTCATCAAAATAGTCTAGGGAACAAGAAATATCTGTCTTTCAATTTTAGGAAAGAACAACTTTTTAAAAAAGATAAAGTGAGTATTATTTATTGAACAAATCTTGTCAAACTTACCATGTCGGCTTTTTTTTGCAAACTTATTTAGTTTAAATATTTTAAAAATAAAATCAGCAAAAATTTCTGATAAGTATAGAAATTATCTTGTTCCCTAGACTATTTTGATGTGTGTATTTTTTCTTCGACTATTTAGGAGCACCTAAAAAGCACCTAATTCTGATACAAAGAAAAAATTTGAAAAAATATTTTTTACCATAGGGGACTGCTAGCTTTTATAAACCTAGCAGTCCCTTAGTTTTTTTTTGATTTTCTCAGAAACTAGGGGAGCACCTAATTTTTAATTAGAGGCCCTAATTAGCACCTAAAAAGCACCTAATTATTATATAGATCCCGAATTCTGATACACCAACAAGTAAACGTAAAGCCAGCAGTCCCCTTATAATTAAAAAAAAATCTGTAACTCAGTTAATAGTTAATCAATTCTATTTTTTCTTCGACTATTTAGGAGCACCTAAAAAGCACCTAATTCTGATACAAAAGAAAATTTTGGAAAAATATTTTTTACTATAGGGAACTACTAGCTTTCATAAACCTAGCAATCCCTTAGTTTTTTTTGATTTTCTCAAAAACCACCTTGGGACTGCTAGATTTATAGACCTTGCGTGCCTGCCTCTTAAATCATTGATGATAACCCAACTTGCTCTTGTTCTATTTCCAGCTTTTGAAAAGCGATGTTTATAATATAGATCCTTGGCATGCTTGATGGTTTTTCTGTAAATCTGTCTATATGAATTAAAATAGGCTACAAAAAAATTGTTGGTGATGTTAAATTTACGAATATAGTGGAGACAACGCAAATTTCTAGAGGAGACTCTTATGCCAGATGTTATCCATGGTTTATCTCTTTTAGATTTTAGCTTTTCAATAGGAAATATTTTGTCAAATAGGTTAGTTAACTCATGGTGAAATGCACTTAGTGGATCAGGAGACCATGCAATGTGCTCCCACTGTTTGGCTGCGCATTGTTTCCCAAAGTTCCTGAAATTTTGTGTTCTAAATATTCTACCGATTTTCTGTTTCTCCCTCATCTGGTCAAGTCTAAGTGGAAACCCCACTAAAACAGCTTCATGGTCAGATAGCCCCACAGACAAAACAGTTACAGCATCCAAATCAAAGTTTGTACATAAATAATCCAAAACTGAAGAGCAACTCTGGGTGATGCGCGTTGAACTGGTTACATGCATTGGCAAGCTAAAAGACCGAAATATATTGTAATGTTTGAGTATGTAAGGAAGATTTATCATTGTAGTCAATATTAAGGTCACCCCCAAAGTCAGTCTAGAATGACCGGGAAAAATGCACAAAAGACTGTCAAGTCGTTGGAAAAAAATTGTCAGATCACAGCCTGGAGGTCTATAAATACACAACACATACATATTAAAATTACTTACATAAACTATTAGAGAACTCAAATTCTTTCTCTACCAATAGCGAGTTATATTTTGTTATTGGATTAATATTATAATTATCACATACATTTTGCTTGACTAGAATCGCAGTACCACCATGAATATAATTTTCACAGGAAAAAATATAAACCGTTACGTAACCAGAAACATAAATTGGCTCTTTTGGTTTTAGCCAATGTTCAGTAATTAATAGGATCTCTGGTCTAAAACAAATATAGAAAATTCATCTTACTTATTTCTAATTGACTGAATGTTAAGTAATAGTAAGAAGAACAAATTTGTATTTTTTAACTTAACTGTATGTTGCTTTGAAGAAGCAAACTCATCGCACCTTGCTTGTTTGTCAAATTATTCTCTGGTTGCGAATTTTCTGATAGTTCTGAATTTCAGTTCTGTTGGACATGTATCCAATTGCAATGAGATCTAGCATTAGATTCAAAACCAGATAACGCATTTTTCAGAATTTTTGCCAATTTAGATAAACCTCTATTTTTTAAGTAATATTTATTGTTTAAGTACAAAATCACTAAATTTAAAACACTTGCTTTAATCAACAATATCAAAATTAATGTTCAATCTCTTCAAGTTGGTAACATATCGAATTATATTATTATTTCTTCTGATTAGCCCGTCAACTCTGGATTTAACCAATTTTGAAATTTAATATCCATTAGGAGAAGTACATTAAATTCAATTAACATGATTATACAACTTACTGTACATTATTCCCATATGACACGAGAGGCTTGAAAAGTGATAAGCCTGTTGGGATTATATAGCAAATTCTATTATAGACACTTTTTTTAAATTTTAAAGTATTGAAGTTTAGTTCGTTGTATAACCTTCTGAATACAACTTGCTGTTTCAGGATCAATTAATGCTTTTACCTGATACTCAACGCGTTACCAGCAACAGTGTTGCTGCGTAACGCGTTTCGTGACAGGTAAAAGTATTATCCGGTAATCCTGAAACCTCTTGTGGTATTACATTCGAGAATTTCATACATCTGTCAAAACTGGTATTGCAACAATAAATTGACATGTTTTGATTGTTTGAATTGATTGAACCAATCAGATTGGAATTACGTGATAATTTGCACTAGTGCAAATTATCAGATAATTGCATAGTAACTGGGGGGGTTTATTTGAAATGTGCAATTCAAATACGTCTGACTAAGTCGCAATTTTTGCCGGTATTTCAATGCTAAAAAATGCGACTTAGTCGGACGAATTTGAATTGCACATTTCAAATAAACCCCCCCTGGTGCGAAAACTGGTGTTTTGACATTTTTTGACAAAAAATTTAAATTTTTGATTAATGAAATTCTCTCATTAAATACAACTCGTGCAGTGGAAATATATTTATAACTTTCGACAAATTTGCACTCATGCGTTTTTAACTGAAAAAGGCACTCGTGCACTACGTGCACTAAAGGCACTCGTGCACTACATGCACTCGTGCTCTTTTTGAACTAAAAATGCATTCGGGCAAATTTCCCAAAAATTATCAATAATTTCCATTGCACTAGTTATATTACTATTGATAATTATTTATTTGTCAAGTATGTAACATCATGCAAGGAGTCTGGGAGATTATATGGATTAACAATCATAATGACAAAGTCATTTTCTGAGAGATCGTTTATGTGACACTCCAAACTTGAGGCTATTTCTTTAAAAGAGGCTCCAGGCTTACACACTATTCGTAGAGAAGCAGTGTCAGTCATTTGATTTTTTAATGAATCATACAGAAATCATCATTGGTGCACATTTAAGGTTTCAGATTAAGTGTATTTATCAGCTATCGGTTTCAAAGTATGGGAATCTTTGAGAATAGTTTTCAGATCGAGGATTTCGGACGAGAGTACTTTATTTTCTGCCTCCAGTGTTTGCATTGTTGTTATCATGCAATGTTTTGTTTCATCCAGCTCTTTTATTCTGTTGCTTGCCTCCTCTAGATCTTTAGAACATTTCTCCAAGGCTTCCTGTAGTATCTTATTCTCATCCTTCAGTCTAGTTAACTTTTGCTTTAATTGAGAAACATTTTGCTGATATTCTCTAATCTGTCTTTCGTATTCACCTTCAATTTCACATGCACTATCCTCTAAATCTAATGAAAATTTTCTTTGTTTTCGAATATATGAGTTCTTCTGAATTAGATCAACCTTTAACTTCTCTAATTCTTTATTATAGTCACTAATTCTGTTTTCATTCTCGCAGTCTTCAGCCTCACATTCTGAGGAGCAATAGATCTTATGTTTAGTTAAAAAGATATGATGAAAAATATGAAAAACGCTGAGACATCTGACACAAACCCAGTTACTGAAGGCCTTAGAGCAACATTTGAATTACGTTGGATAAACAAAATGAGGGATAATAAAATAAAATAAAATTGAATTGAATAAAATATTCAGTTCGGATCTGGCTTTTTATCTACCTGCCAAATGCCCAGTCAATAACAGTAGCCCAATGTTTATCAACAACAGAATATTTGGGAATTCCTAACAATTTTTTTCACTTATCATCACATTGCTCTTTTATGGGAGAAATTAGTATATTATTCAACGAGCGGGTAATGATGGCTATTACTCACGAAGGATGAAGTTTGCACTACGAGCCGCAGGCGAGTAGTGTAATCATCCGAGTGAGTAATAGCCATTACCCACGAGCAGAATACTATACTTTTTCTATGATTAATAGATAATGGGAACGAGTTATGCGGTTTTTTATTTAATTTTCATAACAAAATTAATTGACAATTCTGACAGCTGGAGGACAAAGTGAGGTTAGGTTAGCACAAGTCTTGCCTAAATTGGCTGTCAAAATGATCAATTGGAAGGTTGAAGTATGTTGTCAACTTGTCGAATTTTCTGATTGGCTCTCAGATAGTGGAGTAATGAGACCAGGATATTTTCATTGGTTGAAAACAATTGAGTAATGAAAAAAAACTCACTGTATGAGTAATCATTCACATTGATCAATAGAAAATGGATGTATATTACGCATATTATTCAATACTCATAGAAAAATAGATTTCCTTGATATTTGACCGTTTTAGACTTTTCAAGAATGTAAAAACACACACAGATACTTCGGAATTTTACGCACCGATTTCAAATTTAGTTTCAATTATATACTGTTAAAAAAATGCGAACTAATCACGAATTTGAAACATTATTCAGCAGCAAGGATTGAAGCACATCATGCTGAGCATAGTGTTATATCTATTACAGTTTAACTATGGAGAGTTTAAGAAAGTTGGTATTGTACCGTTATTATAAAGTAATACAGAGACTTACCTCTTGGATTTATATCCTGACTTCTCCAGTTGATGGTGGATGCTGTCGACGACGACTCGAGAAGAGTATCCAAGGTTGCATCCATGGCCTCCGTGCCGCAAGCACTCCCAACTTATACATTACTCAATGTTAATTATATTTTCTTGTTTTAGGCTATAGTTCTCGAAGGAAAATACTGGAAAAGAAAACTAGCTGCTGTTACAGCCGAATACAAGAAATGGCGCATGTTTTACCGAAACCACCTTTGCGGGCACGTGCCCAAAGAAGATATGGACATGGTGAGGGCTGAAAAATTTAATCAGTTTATACACTAACATTTCAATTATAGCTCAACGATGTCGACGCAATATTGGGCGATTCCAACAGCATGGACAATATGAACATGATGATAGACGAGGACTATATGGGACTGATGAGCGACACGTTGTTTTCAACTATAACCAATCAACCGTTTGCTTTTCCTGATACTAGAGAACTTGGTAATAATTTATATTATACAGGGTGAGTTACTAAGCGCGCGGTGGTCCATATTTCCTATACTAATGGAGATCGAAAAAAAAATTAAATACAAAACTTGTAGATAAACATGAGTACTACATTCCTAAATTATTTTCCAGTATACAGGGTGGCCCAATAAGTAGTGGTGATACAAAGTTATGTTTTTAAGTGACTCCCCTTGTATATTATGACATTTCTGGATTCTGTGGAAAGTTCTAGACATATTTTAGTGCAATGTCATATACCTATCTTCAACTGTTTCGGAAAAATTGACAGTTTAAAATTGACTTTTTTGTATCTTTGACAGACTGTAAAGCCTCATCGGTTGATTCCACAGTAAAACCGATTTTACATTCTTATCCTAGATTTTCATAGGCTATTTCACACCAATTTCGAATTTAACCGGAGATTAATAATTTAAGCAGAATTTTTAATCATGGATTAAATTCAAAGTTGGCGTCAAATGATGATATCAGGTTTTACAGTCTGTCAAAGATGCAAAAAAGTCAATTTTCAACTGTCAATATTTCCAGAATCCAGGAATGTCATAATATACAGGGGGAGTCATTAAAAAAAACATAACTTTGTGTCAGCACTATTTATTGGGCCACCCTGTATACTCGAAAATAATTTAGGAATGTAGTACTCATGTTTATCTAAAAGTTTTGTATTTAATTTTTTCCTCAATCTCCGTTAGTATAGAAGATCTGGACCACCGCGCGTTTAGTAACTGTATATATAATCAATCACTAATGTATAATAATTATTGTTTTACAGCTAAATCCGGTTTTGCCGACTTCATACAGCCCAGTTTGGGACCTCTACAGCCTAACTTGGACGATTATATGGATACTTTTGATCCGTTACAAGGTATTATTAATAATTGAAACTCCTGGTTATTGATTAATTCTAATTTAAATCTAGAATTATATTTAAACAACAAGCTACCAACTGTACCTGAAGAGCAACCGCAATCCGTTACTTGGGTGTATAGAGATTACCCTGATGCTATCGACTCAGTGCCGAATTCCGTTCAATATCAGCCACAGCTGCAAAACATTGAAGTCAAATCAATACAAAACCAAAACGTCGCTTTCAGTGACGTGATGCTACAATCCACAGAGTCTTACGTACAAAACAGTAGTTACCCTATTATAGCAAAGGCCAAGCCTACTAGAGGAAAATTGAGCCAAAGTATGCCTTCAACTAGTTACGTTTATAACCAGCCATCTGTTAACGAACTGGCTATTATACAGGGTAAGAATTTATTAAAATACCCGAATTTGTTTTACAAAGAAATTTTCTAGTTTCAAAAAATCAAGCTGTGGATACGTTTGTTCAGCAACAATCGGGTTATAAGTTTGCGGCTCCGAGTCGGCCCAGTACGAAATTTACATCACAGCAACAAAATATGCCACAGGTACAGACGCAAATGACGCATCTCTCGATGCACGTAGCACCACAAACTTCTCCTTATCACTCTAACTTTTCTACTGTAGTAAGTTTGGATTTTGGTTTTAAGTTGTGTATTGTCCTTTAGATTAAGATTTGTTTCGATGGTGGGCGGATTGGACATTTTCAAAATATTCAATCGATAAGACTTCATTTCAGTAGTCTTATTTTTAAGAGTAGTGTTGCAGGGCACTTGAGGCCAATTGAAGTGCTACACAAAATCAAAAAGTGACTTCTATCTTTATCTGTGTTACAACGAAGGAAAAAGGCCAGATAATTTGTTTCAGAAATATTAAGAGATAGTTTAAACGAGTTCAGGAAATATTCCATGAAATTTTGCTTCATTTCAAGTTCCACCTACGAGGAAGTTGATGTAACCTGACTTTAAATTTGGCTTCCAAGTTTCAGTTTCAACCCTTCATTCAAACATGGTGAAATATCAAATTTTCCCATGTTGAGATTTTGACTTTAACTGGGATCAAAATGAAAATTTTCTGGGAATTCTTTTATTAAATTTCCTCTCTCGGTTTCTCATTTTTTCGGTCTCAATTATTCCAGGTTCTAAGATTATAGATTTGTCCTAAATTTCTCGATAAATAAATTCAGGAGTCTGGAATAGGGAAAATATTTATTTATTTATTTATTTATTAACGGCAAGGCCAATGCCTCCTTGTGTCTTTTGCTTTGCTAACCCCTTTTCATTGTTAAACTTTTAGGACAAAAAGAGGAAAACTAGGAGCTCATCATATCAAAATTTCAAAAGTTTCTAGTTGCAACAAGAAAAACTCAATAGCTTATGTTGAAAAAAAGCTGAAGAAAGTCGGAGAGTCTATGATAGAAGACATGAACGCATTTTTTTCTCAATTTTTATTAAATTTCCTCTTTCTTTTTTCCATTATTTCAGTCTCAAAGCTTTTAGAAATTCAAATTAAAGGACCCTCTTTTCCATCAAAAATGTTGAAATTTGGGACTTTGAAAACTCTACACTGTGAATACAAATGAGCTGGAACAACCACATTGTACAGCAAACTAACCCTAGTCCAACCCCCCAGAAAAAGCATCTTAAATCATGCTGGGAAGTTTGCTAGAAAATTAGAGCCATTGCAGTCTAGATTTTTTTAGAAGAAGAACTCCTCTCCAATATTCTTACTCATGAAATGAAATGTTGTCTCAAATTCCAGAAAAAAAAGGTTCTTATTATTTCATGTTGGCCTTCTCTTTCCTAATACCAAAAGATGGTGAAACTTCTGAAGTATCTTCTATTTGAAGTTTAAGTGCAAGCCAAAAACAAGCTAAGTAATGCAGAAGTTCAATAATCATAGAAGAATATTTTTGAAAATGTCCAATAATTCTATTTTGCTTGTGTGTAGTTTCTAAAAGTAGGTAGCTATTTATCTTTCATGCACTTGTAATAATTGTATTTTTACAAAGCCATTTTCTAATAATTTCGAGTTTGTTAAAATAGCAAAAAGATGACAGCAGAACGGAAAGGCCAAGAGTTCGAGGTGCCCCTAGGGGCAGAGGCCGGTCAAGATCAAACACTAGAGAACCCATGAAAAGGCCCCCTTTGCTATCGGCCGCCAGCGAACCTGTACTTTTAACCCAGCTATTAACTACAAGTAATTTATTTTCAGTTTTATTATTACTAGTATTTTAATTTTGATTTTTTTTTAGGTTCGCCACTTAGCGAAGCCGTCCAAGCCTACAACCAAAGCCAAAACCTGGGCTCGTCCCCAGATCTATCTCAACACAGACGCATAAAAGAAGAAGCAAGTCCCATTTTAGCTTCGCCTACTCTTTTAACTCTCACCAATGGCGATCCTGTACGCAAACCCATAATAATAATAATGTTTAATAATAAAAACACAATTCTAGCCCTACCTTAGCCCTTATAGCAGTCCGTTGGACTCGCCGGTGCCGAATCTTCACTCGCCCACCTCGTCGCAGGGATCGATCGGATCGCCGGGACGGGAGGGTTCCAGTAAAGATAGGCGGGTGGGTCACATACACGCCGAACAGAAAAGGAGGTGCAATATCAAGAACGGGTTCGATATGATCCATTCGCTTATACCGCAACTGAATCAGAACCCGAATGCTAAGGTAACTGATTAGGAATTTTCAAATTTTATTTATTTAGTTTTTCACAACTGAAAGACACTTCATAATCAAAAAGGGTAATTGTTGATATTTCCATTAAAATTTGAACAAATCAGGATAAATTATACACTATGAGAAAGAAGTTTGGGGAAAATGTAGAGGCTCATTTTCATTCCTTGTGTTGTTATTTTCCACTGGAAAAATTTGAAATTTTGGGAAAATGAACCTCTAACCTTCCTCTTCGCATGCAAAAAGTTTCAAATTTTCCCCTTTACTAGTTTTCCAGGAAAACTTTGAAATGTATGAGAATGTATTTACACTTAATTCAGTTATTGTAGGTTGATTTCCAAGATTCTTCATGTTGTTGAAAAATTTGAACTTTTGGGAAAATGAACTTCTAACCTTCCTCTTTATATGCAAAAAGTTTCAAATTTTTGTTTTCATTAGTTTTCCTGGAAAATTTTGAAATGTGTGAGTCTATATTTTCAATTAGGTATTTCAGTTATTATAGGTTGACTCCCAAGATTCTTCATGTTGTTATTTTCCAGTGGAAAAATTTGAAATTTTGAGAAAATGAACCTCTAACCTTCCTCTTTATATGCAAAAGTTTCAAATTTTTCCCTCTTCTAGTTTTCCAGGAAAACTTTAAAATGTGTGAGAGACTGTATTTTCAATTAATTCAGTTGTTGTAGGTTGATTTCCAAGATTCTTCATGTTGTTATTTTCCAGTGGAAAAATTTGAAATTTTAGGAAAATGAACCTCTAACCTTCTTCTTCATATGCAAAAAGTTTCAAATTTTTCCCTCTATTAGTTTTCCAGGAAAACTTTGAAATGTGTGAGAGACTGTATTTTGAATAAATCAGTTATTGTAGGTTGATTACCAAGATTCATGTTATTATTTTTCAGTGGAAAAATTTGAAATTTTGGGAAAATGAACCTCTAACCTTCCTCTTCGCATGCAAAAAGTTTCAATTTTTTCCCTTCAATAGTTCTCCAGGAAAACTTTGAAATGTGTGAGAGACTGTATTTTCAATTAATTCAGGTATTGTAGGTTGATTTCCAAGATTCCTCGTGTTGTTATTTTCCAGTAGAAAAATTTGAAATTTTGGGAAAATCAGCCTCTAACCTTCCTCTTCACATGCGAAAAGTTTCAAATTTTTTCCCTTTAACTTGTTTTCCAGGAGTACGATTTTTCTCAAGCGCGTCCTGAAATATTATACCATTTCTCACAACATGCTTGTATACATTTTGGGTACTTTTGAAATCTTAATGAGTACAAATTATAATAAATTTGACTATTCATTAATTAAATTTTTCCCTTCTAGTTGAGTAAAGCTGCAATGTTACAAAAAGGCGCCGAATACATCAGACAGCTACGTTCCGAACGGAATCAGCTCAAGGACGAAATGGAATCTTTAAGGCAACAAATCGAAACGCTAAACACTTCAATAAGGTATGTCGATTTGACTGGCTTCACGGCAAAACGTTTTGTTTCAGCGCTTTCTTTTGCAGCAACTGTCAATCGATGCTGCCGGCTACTGGGGCTCCAGTATCGCGCAGGCGCGACAGCCGAATGCAGGAAATGTTCGACAAGTACGTTAGCAGGCGTACGATGGAGAATTGGAAATTTTGGATTGTAAGTATTAAGGACTAATCTTGAAGATTACTATCAATTATTGATTTTTTATTTTTAGTTTAGCCTTATATGTAGGCCTCTATTGAATTCGTTCAATAATTTCGTTTCTTCGTCCAGCCTGGACGATCTTTATAGTTCGACGTTGTTATGGGTGGAACAACATTGTACTCTTGTAGATCTCAGACCAGGTAATACTTATTTATGTTACTAGTTACTACAAGCGATTTTTTGAAATCGGCAATAGTGTGAAAAAAAACTTTAAAAAATCCTTATTCTCCCAGAACAAACCGCATCTCGTTATCGTTTCTCGTTTTCGATATATTTATCTACAAAATGTGTCAGTTTATCTGACCCTGTATAGTATAAATTGAAATAAATTACAAAATTCTTTTTCAGTTGTCTTAAACTCTTTACGGTACCTGTGCACCAAAACCGAAATCCTGTCGGAACCGGAAAAGTTGCCCGATGAAGCTAGAAAGTTAGTTTTAATTAAAGACAAATAACACATTGTTTATAAAGTGTTTTAGGTGTAAGCGCATATTTGCTCATTTAATTTTTTTTTAAGACTAATAGTTGAAATCACAGTTGAAAATATGGCAGAAAATTAATAAAGTGTGATATAGTAAAGTGGTTTAAGATTTTTTGGATGATTTAGTTTTAAGGTCTGAATCACTTTACAGTTTTTTTTTTTAGAAATACACTTGTGGACAAAATTATCTTTTTGCTTATTTCATGGGCCTGAGCCATACAAAAAATGAATTTTTAAGTCACTCATAAAGTGTCTACGAGTGTAAATTCTTCCAGCAAATTAAAATTATGTATTGTGCCTTTTTCGGTATAGGTTTTAAATTTTATCTTACTTTTTACCTACTTATACATAGGTAACTTTTAGGGGTACAGTTTGTCTGCGAAAAGTTTCTATATTTGACAAGTAAAGCGGTGTACAGAGTGGTCTAATTTGGACACTTTTAATATTTCTGAGTGAGATAAAAAAAAAAATGAACCTTCCTTACTCTGAGGCTCAAATTTTATGGAATCTTGATTGGTGCGAACCACATTCTGAATCAATTCTTTTCATAAACAAAAAAATTATGAAGCTCAAAAGGTTTGCAAATTGGCCCACCCTGAGTTGAAGCTAATCTTCATTACACCAACACCTGATATGGACTGTGTTACTTGTTTTCAACAAAATTTGATTTGATTGACTCGAAATAAATCACTTTTCAATAGGAAAATGTGAAAACTATAATAGAAATGCCACTAACCTTTCATTAGTTAGTTGAAAAACACTGTTAAGTACTGCATTTTAGAACGATTTTAGTAAAAGATGCTACAAAATGAGCTCTAGGGTACTTATATAACTACTGTACTATATAAAATTGTGTTTTTTTTTTTTTTTTTGTTCACTTATTTAATAATTTTTTTTTTCCATGTTACTTTTTATCATTTAAATATTTTATGTAAAGTTATTAAAAATATAATATTGTTTATGAAGAATTGACCCTTATTTTTTCACTCTGTAAAATGGAATAAAGATCGGAATTATTAATGGGAGTCCGTAGAAGAAATTCCAAAATGAAGGTTGCTTTTCGATTCTTTCGTATCTTGGTTTTTCTGGGTCGTTAATTGTCGGTTCTAGTTGGGATGGAGACTTTTCTTCTTCTGGTATCATAATTTTAGATGCACGATAATTTTCTACTTTATTTTTGTTCTATTTTTTTTTTTTTGTTTATCGAGGCATTTTGTGAGTTTCTAAAGAATTTGAATTTGTCACTTATCTGTCAAATTTGTTATAAAGTCATTCACATGTCATTCATTAATTTGAATTTTTTTTTCTCCCATCACTTTTTTCAGTAAGTAAATGTCAGCCCTATTTGGTGACTTTACACATAATCTGCTTAATTTGCCAACATAGTTACTAAATTTTTGACTTGGGGAATTATCTTTAAAAAAAAAAAAACAGACTTTAAATATCGCTGCTCACCTAGAATAGTCAATCAGTTGCATTGTAATTATATTTCTTATTTTTTACCTTTCGGGTATCGCGAGAGTACTGTCATAGTATTGTAAATTAGTGAATAAATTGTTTTTTAAAAACTCGTTATTGACTTACTAGTCTAAGAGCCCGTGACACAAAAGCCTCAGTCATCTGTTAGAAGGCCGTTTTTTAGTGCGAATAAATAATATGAACCTACTGAGGCTTGAACAGGAGCGGTTGGCAGGCCTTCCCCCTACCTTCACCATGTCCACCACGTTATAAGTAAGGTTCACAAGGGAAGGTTCTACCCCACAAATCAGAAGGACGAACAAAAGTGGAAATTATACATTTTCACTTCCTCGTCCTTTCTGCGCTGGGTTGGCAGCCGGTTGGCGCTCTACTGTTTATTTAAACATGTTTTTGCGAAATTGAAGTTGCTTTTTCCCTCGCTATAATTTAAAGACATAGTGGAGGTTTTTACATGAATAAAATAAAAATCGAAAAAACATTCAATTCATTCATTTACCCAGAAAACTATGTTGTCAATATCATCAATAATTGTTCAAATTGTGTTAAGTATTAATATTTATAACTAGTTAGTTTTTTTTTCCATACATTGTCACTCGTATTGTCATTTTATGTAACTAATTTGAATACCATTAAATCTTCATAATATGTACGAAAGAATATAATAACAACAAAGTACTTCAAGTAGTTCCAGCCCCAAAAGTATCACAGATTTTGTTCCTGTATTTTTTGCAACTAATGATGAAAAGTAAGGCATTTGATAACGTCAACGAGTTTTGAAAAGTGTCAGTTTAAATGTCAAAATTAGAAAAAATAACATATGTTTAAATCAACAATAGAGCGCCAACCGGCTGACAACCCATAGCAGAAAGGACGAGGAAGTGAAAATGTATAATTTCCACTTTTTTTCGTCCTTCTAACTTGTGGGGTAAGACCTTCCCTTGCGAACCTTACCTAAAACGTGGCAGACATGGCGAAGGGAGGGGGAAGGCCCGCCAACCGCTCTTGTTCAAGCCTCAGTAGGTCCATATCATTTATTCACACGAAAAAACGGCCTTCTAACAGATGACTGAGGCTTTTGTGTCACGGGCTCTCATAGTATACGGATTGATAAACTAAACTCTGTGCAACAAACCTACAGAGTATGACAATGTCAAAATGGCGGCCAGGCTTCACTGAACACTAATTTATACCATTGTAACAAAATTCCCTAATCCCCACGCCCCACTGATCGGCTGGTCCCCTGTAAGATGTCAACCTGCTACACGACCTGTCAAGTATGAGATGTCAACGCTCATAGTACAATCACGTGCAATAACGCAAATTTTATTTCGTTTTCTTTGTTAATACATTATCTCTGTTAATACACGACCAATATACAGTAATCAGTTTTCTCTATCGGTTCTCGTTTAATTCTTCCCGTGTACTCAACTTCTCTAAGAATTATCTTACAAATTGGCGCCCAACGTGGGGCCACGGCGAGTTTCAAGACTGATAGAGTTATTATTGTGTGCCGATCGCGATTTTCCTGTAGTTGTTCGACGAAACCCATGGTGTTTTTCGCGCTCGTTTGGTACGGAAGTCATCACCGAGAAACAGCCGAATTGTGAACAACTGTGACGCGTTAGGTACTGCGTGAGTTACCACCGGTTTTCTGTACTTTTTATCACCGAAACTTTGTCGAAATCGTTACGAATACAAGTTGTTTTGTACATCGTTTGATTTCCTAACGTTTTTGCTGGTTTTGTGTTCGTGTTATCAACCAGAACAGAGAACAGCTGTGTTACGTCTGGTATGAGCGGCAATAATACTGACTGACTTTAAAGCGTTTTGAGTGGACTGGCCTCACTATAAATTAACTATCACTATAAAGTTTCTTATTGTTTGAACATAATTGAATCCTTTTGGGGCGGAAACCGAATTTTTTAATAACTGCATCGATAAATGCTTTATTTTCCCGGACTCTTTTACGATGAATACTCATCATACAAAGTCTATCATGCCTCATAGTCGATCTTAGCTATGTCTTGACTCTCCTCAATGTGCTGAAGGACCTCTCAACGGTACAGGTTGTGGCTTGAAAGGTTAATCCAATTTTGATTGCTTCCGTTACAGAGGGCATATTGCCTAACGAAAATGTTTCAATTTCTTGAGGAGCAAGGTCAGACAACTTCCACATCTCATACCAGGTTTGTGCCTCTGACAGAAATTTGTCCAAAATATCTCCGTAGAAGTCTTGAATGGCGGCTGCTACCTCTAAAAATTCTTTCAAAGTCATGCCCCGCATGACTTTTGGATGAAGTTTATACAAGTTGTATCCTTTCGAATTTTTTTCTGAAAATCGATCTTCTAGAGACACATTTGCGAAAATTTACAAAGGTGGCGCATGTACTGGGACAGGACTCCCCGTGGCTTGCCCCCCCCTGTTCCGCTGGCTGGCGGCGCCCATGAACTTCCCTAAGAATTATCTTACAAATTGGCGCCCACCGTGGGGCCACAGTGAGTTTCAAGACTGGTAGAGAATTTATTTATTTCAAATTCTTACAAAACATCACTCTACAGTGTAAAGCGGGCCGATAAATGACCAAACGATCCTTTTTGAAGGTTTTGTTGTTTGTCACTCCGTAGGTTAGTTGGACAGAGATAGCAACAATTTCATTAAAACTCACAAAGTTTTTGTCAACTTTAAAAGTAAATAACATATTCTGGCTCTGTTCGTTTTTGTCATCTTTTTCATCGATTTGCTCCGAAATTTTGACACGTGCGTGACTGGATCAGACAGTTTCAATTTACAAATCACGTGCCTGATGCACTGCGGAGCAAATCGACGAAAAAGATGACAAAAACGAACACGGCTTCTGATAAATATAAAATTAACACAAACTATAGTAATTTTCAACTAATACACACACAAAAAAATTGCAACTCTTTGACTTTAAATAATTTTTATTTGAAAAATATATTAAATTTTATAATATTGACTAAAAATAAATAATCTGTAAATAAATTGGTTGTATCAGGGCGGGTAAAAATAAATAAATAAAAAAATACCTTTTTTTTTTAAATAAAAATAAAATGGACTTATCTATGCAACAAGATAACTCTAGTCTAATATCCATTTTTTCTCCAGAGGGTGAACTATTTACTAATAGAACACAATTATTAATGTAATGTAGAATACATTATCTGGCCATTTTATGAGACTTCAAGAAGACTTTGTGCAATATTCAAAAAAATAATATCTAGTAATTTTCCAATGTATATATCCATTCAACAATATTTGTTTCGAGATAAAAAGCTACTTGGTCTGATATTTCACAGCACAGTAAATTCAGAATTAAAACTGATTTTGTAAAACCATTCATTATTTTAGGAACCGTAAAAAAAAAAATCAATGGCACTAAATAATCATCAACAATAATATCACCTATTCGAGACGCTTAACCTCGTTGACTTAGAATGTAACTTATGAAATAGTGTAAGTAAATCTTTTTCAGGAAATAAAGTACACAAAACACCTTCAAGCAACACGTACAACAGCCTCCGATTCAAAATCGGCCTTTGAAATAAATCGAAAATCGTCAGCAAGCCTCTTCTAGTCGTTTCAGATCCGATAATGTGTTTCAGTTCGTCGGACAAACAAGAAAGTAGAGCGGCTTTGGCCGCTACACGTGTACGATTTTTCGTTTCAGAGCTGCGGTCTGATTTTCTATCGCTTTTTACACCATTAGGCCAAAAGGACTGTCTAAAAAAAATCTCAATTAATTTTTGTATTTAGGATGCAACAATCCTTACTTGAAAACATATAAGTAATGTGCAACATTTTTAGGACTAGTAATGTAGGACACGTAATCTAATATTCTTCTATTTACAATATCGCCAAACATTGTCCTGACAATTTGTCTCAATAGAGTCACTATTCGCCTTCTCAGCCATTGATTTCTGGATTTTAAGTCAAACACTTCGTCCATTAGTAGCAACATTATTCTGAGAGGAATATTGTCATCGTTCTAGGAATAAACATGTTATTTTTTATTTTACGATTTATGAATAATCTTACCTCTTCTATTGACGCTCCAACTTTACTCGTCTCAGGCAATTTACCACTTTTACTATGAAAAACTTTAGACAAACCGCCGACCACTTCATCTACAGTATTTATAAGTTGTTCGGGCATATTTTTAATAGTCTTCATGCCGGATTTAATCGGATTAACTAAGGTATTAATCTGAAAACCAAGTTAAAAATTTCTTTTTTGAAACATTAAAACGCACATACAGTTGCAGAAATAGGACCGCCAGTCTCCCTGTCGTAGTCGCCTTGTTCCAGAAACGTCATCAAGAGATCTCTGAGGCCGTAATGGGCGGTTATCACGTGAGCCTGGCATAGCTCGCCCATATAGTAGCCGAGCATTTTCATGCGTCTTTCTAATACTGCCCGGTCCATGTTGTGGAATGTTTTTTTACCTGGGAATGCTACTTTGGATAAATCCGGAAACTAAAAAGAAATAGGTTTTGAGAATAATTTATTGTAATTAACTATTTCTTGATTGCATTGTGAAACCCAATCGTCAGTGCATTGAAATTTGCAGTTTGGGAAGTTTAAAATGGCAAATTTTACACTTGACCATTCTGAAAATAAATGCAATATTCAAATCAGGGTTGGCATACAAAAAAAAACATATACATTTGTAGAGAATTTAATTGGCTTTAATTAGAGCTTAATTACAATGAAATCGTATGTAAATTGACGGAGCTGTGAGGCAAAAACTGTCTCGGTGTCATTTTTGGAAAATTTACAATGTTCGATAAATTCAGTTTTGAAGCTACTCGGCTGCAAAACTGTTGATCAAGGGAAATTGCATCATGGCTTAATTCTTGAAAACAATTTTTAGGAAAATATTATTATAATGAAATTCCAAGTCAATTAGTTTGAAAATTCCAGATTTTACAATTATTGTAACCCAAATAGGTATTATTAAATTTTTCTTTGTCAAAAATCCTACCTTATCTTTCACTTTCGTATGAAGATCATAAAAATCACTGTACCGCCTATAAATATGCCATTCTTCCAAATATCCCGACAAATATTGCCTGCTGACTCTGATGGCATAAATCCCAAAAGTTTTACCTTTTTCACAAACAATTCCTGCCTCGATAATATTCGCGGTCAAATCAAATTCGCCCGTTTTTAAGTCTTCCGTTTTGGCACTGTCTACAAGGTCCGCTTCTTTTAAATAAGGATTAAAATTAGTAGCTCCATTTCCATTCTCGGTTTTAAACATTGTAACGTCACTGAAAGATCTTGCGTGTTTTACTGTTTTCGGTGATTGCTCTACTTTAAGGAAATTATTGCTTTCTTTTTCCAAACTTTCTAAACTAACACTGTCTTCTTCAGTAATACTTTGCGGCATCAAATCAAGTTCATGTAAAAGTTTCACATAAGTTTTGCTTTTTTTAAATTGCGCCAAACATTCAATTTCCATTTTTTCAAATAATGTCTCCTTGACTTTGTCGAACCAAAATTCGTTGGGTTTTTCGTTGAGGTTTCTTATTTTAAAATGTACGCTTTGTACTAGATCTTCATTGATTTGAACCCTTTCTTCTTTTTTACCGCCTAAATATTGATCGTATATGCTCAGAGCCGTCGATCTGATCATATCGTACATGGCCAAGGCGTTTTCAGAAGACACTTTTGACAGTTTAAGCTCAGCTAATTCTTTACCAACAGAATCTTTCCAGCCTTCAATATTCAAATAAAAAAATAAATCCAATTGCTTGCCTTGGGTACCTATAAAATCCATAAAATACGACAATCCTAAGTTGTCTTTGAGTATTTGTTGTAAACTTAAATCTATTTTTTTTTCTATTGGAATGTATTCTAGGGAATTTTCTGAGTCTATACAATCTGAGTTTTCCATTTTTGCTAAACGAGCATCTATTAGCTTAGTGACATAAGATAAACTGCTTAATTGTTGTCTTACAGAAAGATCTTCACCACCAGCATCTCTGGAACGCTGAAAAAGTAAAAATTGCAATAAATATCTAAGACCAATTAAAATAATATAGAAATAGTAGGTAGCTGGATAGCTCTACAAGAGTAACAATAGAATATTGTGAGAGATAAAATTCATAAGGATCCAACTACTCTTTGTCAAACTTCCATAAGTTCCACTGAAACTTGAAATCTTCAGGAGCTAATATATGTTTCTTAGTTTTACACTATCTGTGTGACAACTTAAGAGAACTGTTAATGTAAAATTAAATATTATATTAGGTATATAGAATGTGAAAAGTTGTTGTAGAGCTATCCAAATATTCACAAAATTACCAAGTTATGAATTTCACTCCCAACCAAATCCTTAATACTTTTCAATTCTTCTTGACTTTCAGTTAGCCTCAATGTCGTTAAAAACAATTCACTAGATATTTGATTGTCTCTCAAACACTAAAAATTAATTATTAAATAATTATTGAACAGTTTGCAAATATTTAGCTTACAATCCAAAAAATCACTTGATTAATATAATCAGGATCTGTAACCAAATCAAATAACGGTAAAACGACTCCACTGGAAAAAATATCTCTCAATAAAAATCTCAAAGGTTTACATTGGAAGTCTTCATCTGGCAGCAAAACATAGAGTAAGACTTCCATAATCTCAGTTAAAAATTCTACAAAAAAGTTTTAAAACACCACGAAATCACTTTTTAAAAAACTACCTTTTTCATTAGCCATATCCGTACAAACAGAATCTCTACAAACTTCATTTTTCTCCATTTGACATTCCAAATCGAAAAAATAATCCTCAAGGCTGTAATTTTTCGTTTCGGGCGTATAAAATTTCGAATTCCCAACAGACTTTTCTACGTCCCTTTTGAATTCAGTACTTTTACCAACATACCACGTCACGTCAGTTTCACTCTTGTTTCTTTTATGAATGTTTTTCCTTGGCGACGATTTCGAATCTTTCAGGGGAGAATTTTTTGTATCTTTGAGTTTCTCTTGGAGCTTGAATTTCGCCCTGGCTTGCTTGTACAATCTCAAATGGGTGGCAGCATCGTCGACCAATCTTTGGGTTAAGTATGGAATCCAATCTACTTCTTTTATTCTACACAGAAAAAAAAACAATATGGAATTAATTATACAAAGTGGTCATATGTTTCTCAAAAGAAAAAACTTATTGATAATAGAACATCTAGAAAAAAGGAACATTGGTATGAATCATATATGAGTCAAGGTTAAGCATTCTAGAAGAAAATGAAACTCTATTTTTTTGCTGAAACAGACATTCATGATATGAATTAATCCTTTTCACAATGAATGAGATTAGAAGGGAAATCAAATTAATAAAGTCGCAATCATACTCTGTTGAAGTAAATTTAGAATGGAGATTTTTGAAGATTCTACTGACCTAATGAATCATATATGGGTCAAGGTTATTTTTTCTAAGAGAAAATGAAGCTCTTCTGTTGGTTGGAACATATATTTAGGATATAAATTCGTCGTTTCTACAGTGAAGAGAAAATTAAAGTCTGTTTTTTACTGTAACAGACATTCATGATATCAATTCATCATTTTCATAGTGAATGGGGTTGAAAGGGAAATCAAGTTAATGAAGTCACAGTCATATCCTGCTGAAGTGAATTTATAATGGAGATTTTTGAGAATTCATCTGACCTGATGAATCATATTATATGAGTCGAGGCTTTTTCCTCTTAAGAAAAAATGAAACTGTTTTTTATTAAAACCAACATTCATGATTATAAATTCATCGTTTCCACAGTAAATGAGGTTAGAAGGGAAATCAAATTAATGTAGTCAAAGTCATAGCCTGATGAAGTAAATTTGTAATGGAGATTTTTGAAAACTCATCTGATATGATAATTCATATATGAGTCAAGGCTAAGCTGTTCGAGAAATGGAAAACTGAGGTAGTTGAGGCAGTAATTATATTGGAGTTACAGTTTTCAATCTTTCATGAAAACAGATTATCATCTGCAATCAGAAGTGAGACATTATTCTAAAATGATTCAGGGTCAGCAAATATATTTCTTTCAAAGAGAGAAAATTAAAATAAAGTTCTGAAACTCATAACTCTCTTTAAGGGCCGGGATGTTTTAGAGGTTATCAGAAATTTCCTAAATATTTTTAAGGGCTCTTTGATACTTCTAATTGAAATTCTAACTAGACCTAAACTTAAAAAAATCTCAAGCTTTCTTGAAGGTTCCTGCAAGCTTGGTAGTGTTCTGGTTCATTCTAGAATATTTCTGAAATTCTAATTTGATTCTTAAGTACTCCATAGCATTTTATAATGTTCTCAAAGATTCCATTTTATCTCAAACAAATGCAAGAAAGAGGATTGAAAATTGAATTGACAGTCTTCTAAAGTTGAAAAAAGATCTAGTTTCATTCTAAAGTGCTCTAGAACGTTTCAAAAAGCTCAAAAATGTTCCGAATTGGCACAAGCGAATTCTAAAGCTTCTCAAAATGCTTCCTTTCAATTGGTTGCTTAATGTCTTTGAAGCGCCAGAATGTTCTAGAAATTAACAGAAATCTCCTAAATATTCTCAAGCGCTTTTTGGTAGTTCTAATTGAAATTCTAAATAAGAACAAGTGTTTTAGAGCGTTCTAATATATTCATGGAAGCTTTAAGTTAGTTCTAAAGTGTCATGTAACGATTGTCAAGATATTCTAAAAGTTTCCAGTTCTAGATTGTTTCCAAAAGTTCCATATGATTTGTAAAGTGTTCTAGAGTGTTCCAAAAGATTTCCAAAATGTAGAAATTTCAGAAGTGTTCTGTTCTGTTCTAGAATATCTCTCAAATTTAATTTGTTCTAAAGTGTTCTGTAACGTTTTACAATGTTCTTAAAAATTCCAATTCGTCTCAAACAAATGTAGGAGGACTGAAAATTGAATTGAAACTCTTCTGAAGCCTATCAAAGTTCTTAATTGCTCTAGAGCTTCTTTTTATGCTTGAAAATGTTCTAACTTGGCACTAGCGCATTCTGAAGCCTTTCAAAATGTTTTTCACAGTTTTTAATTGGGTTCCTAATGATTTTCAAACGCTGGGATGTTCTTAGAAGACATCAGCAATCTTCCAAATGTTCTTAAGCGCTTCTTGATACCTTTGTAAGTTATCTCATATGTTTGAAAACAATAGGTTTTAATACATAAAAAAAAAAACACACAAATATCTACCATGTTGCATGCCAGGACAAACTACAGAAAGAAATTGAGTTAAATATCAAATAATAGAAACAAAGAGGCACAAAGAATAAATGAAGGAGGAAAAAAGCTAGATACTGTTCTGACTTGAACCAATCTAAATCCATCATTTCAATTACTTATCATTCTTATAAACAATATAATAACAATAATAGAGTGTTACCTATTAGAAATATTAATAGCAAATGTTTGAGCTGTCCTTCTTATGCTCGTTTGAGGAAACTCCGAATCTGTGGATATCAAACTGTACCAAGGCTGTACGTAATCTCTAATAATGTAGCCTAAAATCTCTTGCAAGGAACTATCGATTAACTCACTCCCTGTTACCCTATTATCGGATTTTTGTACTTTCTTTGGGCTTATTAGTAGTTTTTTAATAGACCTTAATCCGCCCTCGTTTTGTGGGTTAGCTGTTAGTGGGTTACCGCCACATTTGGTGTAGAATTTTTCTATGTCGCCTAGTTTTAGGTAGAGAAGAGAAAAGGCACTAAAATAGATAATTATTTATGTTTTATCGAGTATAAAATGTAGATTTAAAGTTAACTTACCCACAAAAGAAGATGACTAAACTAGTAAAACAGGTTAACAGCCAAAAAACACCAAAAGTACTTATAAAAAGTATCACAATTAAACCTATCCAGCCAGCAGTGTGAGTTTCCATGATTTATATCACATATTATAACTTTTTTTTTTGAAAAAAACAAGTAGGTAATCCCAGGCAAAATTTCAATTTGGAACAATTAAATAAGCAAGGCAAATGCCACCTTTCATGTTTAATGTATTTTGTATTATGACAACGTACTGTTGTTTAAATAATATATAATTAATTATTTATTTAATTTGTTATTATTTATGTTAAATAGATGATTATGACCTTGGCGTTGGATTTCAAAATGATGGATGTCACGTCAGAGAAATTTCAAATTTTGAGGTTAGGGAAACGTTCACTGATTTTTGCTTATTTGATTTTTCATTTGTACACAAAATATATTGATTTTTTAATTTTATTTATATATTTTTATATAATTTTTTGTTAAAAGATAATTATTTGGAAAGGGGTATAAATAATTCAATTAGCATTTATTAATTAAATAATAATATGATAATCAAAATCGATCAAAGTCCATTTTGCTACTCATTGATGTTTCTTTTAATTTAAAATGATGAGGTTTTTAAACCCTATTTCTATTAACAAACCCCTCAAATTATTAAAACATTTAAGAAATGTGTCCTATATACAAGGGCAGGAACCTGAACCGAAAATACGAGAGTATTTCTATTTCATTGACCATCAAGGAATGGTAAGGACTATATCAAATTTAAAAATAAATATACACCGTGATTTACGTAGCCCGTGCATTAAAAATTGTCCAGTTTGCAGGTGGATTAGTAGAAATAGCATCTAATCCACCTGCCAGCTAATACACGGGCTACATAAATCACCTTGTATAAATACATATATTATACATTCTTAACATACTTATCAATACATTTATTATAATAATTAATTTAGATATTTGCGTCCTTGGTTGAGAAGTAGTGAATGATGGATACCTAATTAACCATCCTATCCCCATATTCCGCGTGTGGCTACATTCACCAAAATGGTGCACCTCCACGGATGCGGTGATTACGATTCACTAATGTCAATGCCAAACCACAGCTTGCCAAACCCTGTTTAATTTAACCACACTGCTACTTCTACCATTCCACCATGGTGCCTACACCAGCTGAATATAGCCACACGCGGATTTTTCTCAAGTTGCTTGAGACCAAAGCTGTCAATATTTGAAGTAAATTACTTGAAATTCTACTTCACGTACATTTAGGTACTCTTAGTACAGTACTATGGTACAGTACGAGTCTTAGTATTTACTTTTTTTGTTATGTAGGTACTTGTACTTATAGATACTTCCAATATCTATTCTAAAATACTTGGATTTTTACTTGATCATGTCAAGTATTTGGCTTGAAGTATTTTGAGTAACTACTTATAATAGGTTCCTTGATTTTTTTTAAATAATAATTATTGCAAATTTTTTTTTACGGTCCACAACTATCTTACCAAATATCAAAATATGACAAACATTTTCGAATCTTGAATTAGTATGATGTCAGTAAATTTTCAGTTTACTTGATAATCAAAGTATAATTTTTAATAAATTGTACTTGTTCTTCAAGTAAATCTATTAAATATATTTCTCTTCGAACTTTTTGAAATTTTGTAAGAAATAACAGTTATTAAAAGTCCTATTTTTTTTAAAAAAACAAGAGTTTTATTATCTGACAGTAGACGTCCCGTGTATTCCGAAGATACGGAAAATTTGATTGGTCAATAGGCCATGGATTCGCGTTTGGAATCCACGGGACGTGTGGAATTCGTGTCATTAATCAGTTTAATATCAGGCAAGAATGAATGTATTATTTAATGTTCGAAGAAAAAGTATAATTTTCTACTCGCAAATAATGACTACTTTTCACTTGAATGATTCCAACACTCGCCTTCGGCTCTATCATTATTTATTTATTTTATTTATGTTTAAGTGCACTCTACAGAACAAATTTCTAAATGGTACACTGAAGAAATAAACCTAAAAAATAATAAGTGTATACAAATTTACACAATTATTAAAGGATATATAGTTAGATATAAAGAATATAGTCGAATTATGTACACATTTCTGTTTTTATTACATTCAGAGTGGTATTAAAAAGATCTATATGGGAAAAGTCCTGATTGTAATTAGTGACTAGAGGCGTCATGATGCAATTTAAACCATAGTTAGTTCTATGGACAGGTTGGAAAAAGAGCTGCCCCTGTCGGGTTCTTCTTCCAGGAACCAGAAATCCAATTTCTGTCAGAAGTTCAGGCGAGTTGACAATGTTCTGCAGAATTTTGTAGAGAAAAATGAGCTTGGCCTTTTTGCGTCGATTCTCAAGGCTGGGTATGCCGGAGAGCTGTAGACGAGTCTCATACTCAAGGTTCTGGTAAGGAAATCTCAGTTTGTAGAGCAGGTATTTGACAAATTTATTTTGCACTCCTATCCTCCTAATGTGGCATACGTGACTTGGGCTGCAGTATTCAAGAGTGGATCGAATGAGACTGTAATATAGACAGATAATGGACTTCGTATCATACATGTCTCTGGTGTTTCGTTTAATGAAACCTAGAAGTCTAGAACCGAGTCTAGAACTTTTTATGACTATGTTGTCGATATGTTTGTTAAAAGACAGGTCTTTTTCAAAGGTGACTCCTAGGTCTCTGAAGGTGTCGACTGTTTCCAAATTGGCGTTGTTGATGGTGTATGTGGGCAGTATGGGATTTATGGTCTTGTGAAAAATCATGTGTTTGCACTTAGTAACATTGAGTTTGAGTAGATTTGATTTGCACCAAGCGACCAACCTGTCCAAATCCGACTGCAGAGAGGTAGAGTGCTCATCCAAAACTGCGAAAAACTTTAAGTCGTCAGCGTATAGTAAGCAGAGGGATGATTGGAAGCATTGGATGATATCATTTATGAAGAGAATCGGTCCGATGTGTGATCCCTGAGGGACCCCGGATGGAACTATGAACTTGTGGGATACTGCACCGCACACACCGACTCTCTGATATCTTTCCGTTAAGTACGATTCTATGAATTTTAAGAAACGTGCACCGAAGCCCATATCTGAGAGTTTTTTTAACAACAACTTATGGCACACACTATCAAAGGCCTTTGAAATGTCCATGAAGATCACGTCCACCTGTTTTCCTGATTCCAAAGCTTTCGTTAGGAACTGTTGATAGACAGCAAGATTTGTAGCAGTGGATTTTCCCTTGCAGAAGCCGTGCTGTTCGTTAGCAATGTAGTTACTAAAGCATGAGTACACGCATTGTCTGTTAGAATGGATTCCATAATTTTGGGAATGTGCGATAGTAGAGATATGCCTCTATAATTATTCACATCAGTGTTATTTCCTGATTTATGGATAGGGAAAAGTGTTGAGACTTTCCAACTTCTGGGAAAAATGCCAATATCAAAAGAAAGTTGGAAAATATGCTTCAGAGGTTCTATCAGAGATGTGCAACAGCCTTTAAGAAACACTGGGGAGAGACCATCTGGTCCAGGACTCTTTGAGGTATCAAGATCCAGAATTTTTCTCTGTATTTCCTCGGCCGTGAAAAAATGATCGGAGAGGTAAGGTCCAAAAGGGACTAAGCAGTGGTCTTCCTTGATCTCAACATCCTTGTGGTCAGAGTAACAATTCTTGAGGTGTGTAGCAAAGAGTTCAGCAATCTGTTGAGGGTTCGAATAACGGATATTGTTAAAATGAATTTGATTCGACAAGCCTGCATCTCTCTTTAAAGATCTTATAAATGACCAGAATTGTTTCACATTTGACGGAATCAAATGCTGAGCTTTGGTAACATGTAACAGGTAGCACATATCACTATGGTACTTCACGTCTTTCCGGGCTTCAGAGTAAGCTTCATAGTCCGTTTGCCGTCTTCATCTTCTGTACTTCTTGTAGAGTCAATTTTTATGTGCAATTAACTTTTTTAGCTCAGAGTTGAACCAATTGGGATATTTGTCTACCTTGATGGTTTTTTTGGGAACAAACTGATTAATTCCTTGCTGTATAACTTCGTACAAACTAGCAACCGCTTCATTAGAGTCGCCATTATGTAAGCACAGATTCCAGTCAATACTGTTGAAGTAATAATTGTTCAGTTCCGTATAGTTTGCTTTTTTAAAAAGGTAGATAGTAGCAGGATCCTCGGCTTTTAGCATTTGTATACTTTTATATGAGAAACTAAGCTCCAGAGGTGGATGTATATCAACCACCCTACACAGTGGAAAGTCACTGGTTTTGATCACAGGTAGAGAAAGTTCAATTGCGAAAATGAGATCCAGGGATCTATTGTAGCTGTTCTTCACATTGTTAAGTTGCTGAAGTTCCATGAAGAACATACTATCTATCAGAGTTTGCTCGGCCAAGGAGTGTGTAGATTCAGGTACCAGAAAATCATCCTCTGTGATCCAGTTGACATTCGGAAGATTGAAGTCGCCGAATATGATAAAACTGGCATTTGCATATTTGTTTTTCAATGATTTACATACTGTTACAAATAACCTATAAGTCATCTCAGGGGAACTTGGAGGGATGTATGCTGATCCGATCACCATCTCACAGCCGTGACAGATACAGTGGATCCATATTTGTTCAAATTCAATAAAGTTTGCTGTCGGTATAGGCGAAGACTGAAAGTTGCTGTCTAGCACTATCAAAACTCCCCCTCCTCGATTCATGTTAGTTGCTGCATAATCCCGATCGGCTCGGAATATTGTATAGAGGGGAGGCAATAATTCAGAATTGTTGAAAGAGGAATTTAGCCAGGTTTAAGTGAGGAATATGAAGTCAAAATTACAGCTAACAGCATTTCTAAAGAGTTCTTGTGTTTTTGTTCTTAGGCCACCCATATTTTGGTAGTAAAAATTAAGAGTAGATGGGATGGTCTTAGGTTGTGGGTTTCTATTGAGGGTTGTGGTTGTGGGAGTGCCTTTGACCCCGCCCAGGCTGCGTACCTCTGAAAAATCTAGTCTGATGAGTGGCTGGAGGTCTGTGACGAAAGGAATGAAATTTGCCAATCTCTATATTCATGGGCCAATTGCTGGCATTGAGCCGTTTGTCTTCTAATCTTTTATCCGCTTCAACCCTAAAACTCTGGTATTCGCCAGATCTAGATGAAAATTCTTGTACCTTGAATTGGTGGTCAGATCCAAAGGTATCTGTTAAGTATTTTGTGAAATTAGCCTCGCCAATGGTGGTCGAGACTTTTCGGACAAAAACTGCTGTTTTGGGCACTAGCTCTGCAGCAGAAATGGTTAATATACTCTCCGGTTTCCTAGTGCCGGTGATGAAAGATGCAGGTATTGCCGCTGCCGAAAAGTTTTGTTGAGTAGAAATAGAAATAGCAAGTGGACCAATATTGCTCGTGCTTTGAATAGGTTGGGCAGGTTCTGCTGGTAATTTCCTGATGGCATTAGCGTTATTCTCAGGCTTTCCAGTAAACATAAAGTTGATAAGTTATATGCTCATTGAAGAATATACTACTACTTCATACTTGTACCCTCAATCAACGCTTGTACTTTAGGTACTTTCGTAATGTACTTACAGCGGCTCTGCTTAAGACCTATCCAAATTATTTCTTCTAGTAACCAATCTACTTATTAGTTATTTCTAGACGACTCCAGAATGAAAAACTTCACCTCCTGCTTCAAAGAAACCAAGTTCCTGAGGTTCTTTTTCAACAAGCTGCGACTAAACAACACCGACAGATATTTAGAATTTCCTTATTTATCCATATGTGGCAGAGAAAGGAATTTCGTAAGATGTGACGATTATCCGATAGTTTTTACACATGTCTTAGAAGAAGATAAAGAGTTTTATTTAGCCCATAATCACGCAGGGGGTTTACTGAAATTAAAATTCGAGCCTGAAAAAGTCATCATGCTACCTGAAACTGGCAGAGTTTATCATCCTGCACCGAAAAAAGTCGGATCTGTTGGCTTAGTACGTTCAAAATTGGCTATCGAATTTAGTAGTAAATTTAAATTCGATAATGGTGAAGAGAATCCTCCGACACAATTTAGTTTTAATGGGAAAATGTACAATTTGGAAAATGATTGGTTTTATAAGTTGAAACAAGAAATTCATTAAAGGCTTTTTATTGTTATTGCACTGTTAATAGCCACCTTCAAAAACAATCCAATTTATAAGTATAGGAACTATTTTTTAATAAACTTCTCTCAAGTGCAAATAAATTCTAAAAACTAATTTGTTCGATATATTAATAAATTATAAATGAAAATTATTATTGAGTATTTTCTTGTGGTGGGGTAACAGGTCGTTCTAAAGGCTTAAAGCTTCTAGGTAAAACCCAAGAATACCCGCTCTTCCCACTTTGTTCTTTGTCCTTTAAAAAAGAAAACATGTTTTCTTTTTTGTGCAATTCCTGATTAAATGGTTCAAATAAAATATAATGCCTGTCTTCAGTAGGTGGTGTGTCGTACAAGTGCTTTTTACTCAACTCGACCAGTTCATGTGCTTTTGAAGCAAATGCTTCTTTGTTATTTGTTAACCTAAAGCAAAATCTATTATTTTTAAAAAGGCAAATTGATTCAATTACTCACAAACCACATGCTTCCTTATTAATACCGTGACTAACGCTAGCTTCAATATTGGCAAAAATCCATTGAATGTACTTTAAAACTTGCCAAAGATGTTGTTCATTTTTGTTCCAAGCTGGAAATCCGCCCAACAAATTTACTTCATTCGTTTCAGGATTTATCACAGGGTGTAGAATATTTGTTTGAAATATTACTTTCTGAAAATAACTATAAGCATATTTATTAATACAATCGAATGGTTGCTTACAGGGTGTCCACAATCTGGAAAACCTTCGTCTAAAATTATTGTAAATCTAAATATGCCGTCTTTGTAAGGGCCACTTCTGGCAAAAATAATGCCAAACCAAACTGAAACAAGATTCAATTAAGCACTATAAAAACTAATTAAAATGTTTGCTTACGTAAAGCATTCTCTCTGGACGGAATCACGTATACACCTTGGATATCTTCAGTCTGGATCATTTTGCTAAAATATGCACAATTTATTTTAAATTTTCACTGAGAAAACTCTTACTATTCTGCTAACACTATGTACTCTTGTCTGTAAAGTTTGAAAATTTTATTGAGGTCTTCGTTTTGTCTGCCAAATAAATTTTCTCTGTCTGCTTCAAGGGGTGGTATCACTCTTCTTAGGGAGCCTTGTCTTGTAAATCCAGTCGCTTCATTCTGGAAAGAATCAGAAAATAGACTAAGATTGATTTTAAGGAATAATAAGTGGTCGGCGGAGAAGCGTTTGCTTTCATAAACCCGGTATTGAGGTATAATTTATTAAGGCTAGTACGTACCACATGATTCAGCATATTTTTCTTGATAGAGAATCGAAATGGACAACATTTTTCATTGGTCGAGAGCTAAGTTAGGAGCAAAAAACTAAAAATATACGAAAACTAAAATTAACAACTTCAACCTTGTATAACTTTTAAACCGCTTAAGGTAATAAAATTATTTTTTCCTACTACCGTGTGTAAAGTACTCACTTTACGCACTATTCTGAAGACGTAAAATTTCACTTCACTTCACACACTAGTGCGTGAAGCGATTCACTTCACACACTAGTGCGTAAAGTAATGTGAATGACAGATGTCGAAACTGTCAATTTGGCATTTTTCTGGTAAATTGTTTATGCACTAGTGCGTGAGGTATTTGTTTAAATTTAATTTTTTACACATATTTGAGTGGTAGTAGAAACAATGTTGTATGCAATACGTGCGTAAAGCACCTTTTTCACCCATGTGATTGTCACATTCGTGAAAAAAGGTTCACTTTACACACTTGTTGCATAAATAACTATTCCTCTAGATTCTACACAAACATATTTTCTTTAATATGGTATATACAGGGTGTCCCATGGTGGATGGTGTATTAGACGTTAATGGAAAACTAAAAAGCGGATCATTTTGAAAATTTGGCAACCGGGATGAACGACCATAATCTACACTCTAAAAATATTTTTGTTTAGGCGGTGTTGCCGCGTCTACTCTAAACCAGTGGTAACATCGCTATTTTTAATGGCACACCCTGTATGTGATTGCATATTTGGATTCTACGTAAAATTCTGAGCAGATTTCATGTGATATATCCTGTACCTAAATTCAACTATTTTGGAAATATAGACCATTAAAAATTGACTTTTTGCAACTTTGACAGGCTGTAAAACCTGAACGGTTAATTTTAGAGGAAAACCGATTTTACATTCCTATCTTAGATTTTTATAAACTATCATTTGACACCAACTTTGAATCAAATCCATGATTAAAAATTCTAGTTAAATTTAAACTCCGCTTAAGTTTCAGCATGGTGATGTACCTTAATTCCTATGAATTAATCTTTCCTATGAATTAATCTTTCCTTATGGAGTTCAGAGACGTGCTGAGGTATGGTATTCTTATTTTTTCACGGAAACGAAGCGAGATAATTGAAAAATTCAAGAGACAAAAATGTATTTTTAGTGTCTATCTGAATAATCGATAAAAATCGTACAATAAGTACAGAATTCTGTACAGAATGATATTGTTTTCTGCACAAAACAGCCGACTTGGTCGCTGGGTACGCCCCTGGAAATTCTGGATTAAATCTTATTGGTCCAGTAGTTCTCTGATAATGGTTGAAATAAACCGTGAAAATTCCATTGAAATCGGCTAAAGCTCTTTTGGGCTATTAATAAAATTTTATTATTTTATTTTTTGAAAAACTTAACACCCTGTTTCTCGTAAACAAAGCGTTTCCGGACCTATATCCATAGGAACTTTTTAAATTATTTTCATGAATACTATCTGCCCTTGAAGTTTGTAACACCCTTTCGGAAACACCCTGTATACTATAATTTTATGAACTTAATGAGGTATTAATCGAGTATCTGTTATTTTATTAACCCCACAAATTTTCCAAAAATTCACTGGTATGGGAGATTATATTCATATTACCAACCAAGTTAACAACCACAATATTTAAAATAATTTTGGGTATTTTCTGAGGCATCCATAAAATGAAAATAATTTCACATATACAGTGATTCAAAAAAAAAAAATACAGTAAAATATGTAGGTATTTGTTTCAAACGGGCCACCCTTTATCTTATTATCATTTTTAGATTCTATGCGAAATTCTAAATACATTTCATGTATAATGTGCTACATCTAAATTCAACTGTTTTTAAGCTAGAAACAATCGAAAATCATGATATAGAAGTTTCATATGGCCTCACGACAATGACATACAATCTCTAGACAAGGCCTACATTTTTTATGGATCAATGAAAATCATTGGATCAGAACCATTTCAATTACTGAGACAGGATAAAGGAATAAACTAGCAATTGTAGAACTCTACCAAAATGTAAACAATATTTAACAATAAGAATTGAGAAGTTAAAATGGTTTTTGTAAAATAAATTACAGGATAAACCGAGGGATAAACTATTAGCATTATATTCAGATTTAGGACCAGTTTATTTACCTATCAGGTATGCAATCTAATAAAAGATTATACCACGAGTCAATAATGATAGCTATTATTCCCGAGGATTATTACGAACTGAGCCGCGTTAGCGGCGAGGGAGTAACATTCCGAGGGAATAATAGCCATTATTGCGAGTAGTATACTCTACTTTATTTACGACAAATTAATTTATTTGAGTTTTTCAATGAACAAATTTTATCCGTCTCATAATTTTCAATACAAATCCACAAGCACTACACGTTTGACACTGACACTTTTGTGGAATAATGACCATTAATCCCGCTACTCGTCATTAATCCCTGGAGGAATAACATATGTCATTATACTGCCAAAATCACAAATATAATACGCACATTATACATTAGTCGTAAATAAAGGATTAAAATGCAGTCTGTAATGCCATTGTTCGACCAGTTATTCGCTGACCACTAGAATTATAGAACGGTAAATTTATCTTGCAGATAGTTGCCAGCAAGTTTATCTGAAAATGAATACTTAGCCCAGGCCTTAGAAAAATATCTACCCATAGATTAATAATAAATATGTATGGGTTTTCCATTATGGTTGTATGTACATAAAGGGATATCTCGGTTGCTATTGGAGTTAGAAGGATGCAGTTTTCTCGAACATAGGCTACTTTTTACTTGTCAAACAAAGATGCCATCAACAAAATTGTCATCGCCCTTGTTCTTTTCAAGGACAAAGTGTTTTTGAAAATGTTGCATTTTGGGACACCCCTTGTATCTTGGTTCTCTCAGAACTAGTCCAAAAGGTGACAACGGGTTCTCATAAATCTTTTCATGTATGTATATTCCAGTGGCGAAATCAGTTTTTCTATAGAAGTGATAGTTTCTTTTACAAGAACTTGTATCATTGAAATCAGCAAAAGCAGAGCTATTCAATGAGTTGATGATATATAGGGTGTATTATTTGTAAAAACTTATATGTTTGGTTCATAATTTGAAACTTCTAGAAAAAAAACTGACACCTCCACTGGAATCTACGTTAAAAGATCTATCAGAAAGCATTGTTATCTTTTCGGTCAATTATGAGAGAACCGAGATACAAGGGGGTGTCCCAAAATGCAACATTTTCAAAAACACCTTGTATTTGTGATGTTTGCTTTCAGCAAATAGTTTGTTTTTCTGCTCCAGTTAGTTACGTAAAACTATTTCACGTAGCCTAAGTATACATAATCATAATGACATTACATAAAATCACATGGCATTATGCAGTACTTACTGGCATTACATTGGAGTTACAGGAATTACTTATTTAATGCGCAATACATGTATAAATTTTGGTCCAGTTGTTACCACACAACTTCTGCAGACCGCGTTTTGTCGTGTTTCAACCGCTCTAGTTGGTTTATTATTGAAAATAGGTCGGTATATAACTGAGACGAAAGGAAGCCAATTAAATTTGCCAGTTTTTGAGCAAAAAAATATTTTAATACTCCAATATATAAAGGAGTTATCGCAGATTAAAGCAAACATATATTATACTCATCCGTGTTGTGCCTACAAAATAACTAATTTTTTGAGCTCTACTTTGATATTTTTCCAATAATATATATAGGTACCATTTAAAGAGAATATGTTTGTCTAGAATCTAGAAGAAAAATCATTTTATTACCTTAGGCGGTTTAGAAGTTATACAAAGTTAAAGTTGGAAATTTTAGTTTCCGTATATTTTTAGTTTTTGGCTCCTAACTTAGCTTTCGACCAATACAAAAACTCATTCATTTAGATTTTATATTTGCAGAAAAATATGCCAAATAATCTGATACTAGTCTCAATAAATTAAACCCCAATACCGGCTTGCTCCTTAAAACGAAGGCTTTTGCGCGCTTTGCCGCTGTCCTATAATGATACTTTTTTGATCAGATGTTTCTAATCCTTACACATGTTTTTTTATTTTTTCTTGGCCCTTAGATTCACTGATTTTTTTTTTTTTGTTCTTAAGTGTTTTGTAGCATTCTAAATGGTTTCCAGTAACTTCTAAATTGAATGCTACATGTTCTGAGGCGTTCTAAAATGTTTATGAGGTTTCTACATTATTCTGAACCTCTCCAAAGTGCTTCTGAGGAATATAAATTGGTTTTTGGAAATTTTGGAGTTTTTTTAAATTGGTTCTGGAATTTCTAGATTGTTCTATAGGTTTCTAAAATGTTCTGAAAGTTTTTCACTAATATCTTAATTGTTCTAGCAGGATTTAAGTATTTTGGAGCCTTATTGAAGCTCCAAAGTGTTCTAACTTGGTTCAAAAGAATTCTAAAACGTTTCCAGTATGTTCTAAATTGAAACCTTAATGTTCTGGGCTGGGATTCTGTAACGATTAGAGATATTTTCTCCATCCCTATTAGCACATTTATCCTCTCTCTATTGATTTCGAAAAGAGAGAAGAACACAAGTGTCATAGTGATAGGGATAAGGTTTTCTATCCTTTACAGTCCCAGCCCTCATGCTTCTTACACAGAGAAATATTATATTGTATAGAACATTCTTGTTATTGGGTCTCGATAAGCTCACAAGAAGTTGCATAAATTAAGCAAATACATGTGTGTCATCCATGGTAAACTGATTAAGCACATAATATATGAAATTTTACCTTCGAATCCCCATTCTTCATGGTTGTTGAGGCAAACATAGTTGAAAAATAAAATAAAAAATACTCTACTGATATCCTTGCTAAACATAATCATTAAAATGTGTATTTAGTGTTATCGACAGATAACGATTACCATTATATGTTAATTGTGGCTGTTGCACATCATTTTATCTTTCAACCCACATACTTTTGCCAGATTTTTCTCCTGGGAGGGAAATAATTAAAAAGAATTGTTTTGTTGACTGTGGTGATGTCAACAAAATCACGTGTGTCGTGTGTGGTAGAATTTTGCAACGTTGCCACGAATTTAAATGTCAGTGCTACCAACCCAGGACAACCATGGGTTATGAATTTCCATATTTATTTCAGTTCTGGGATCTTGAATTTTGCTTTTTCTAATTAATGCTCTTGAATTGCCGCTATTTTTATTTCAGAGGGTCCCAAATTTTCATCATTTTTGCGTTCAAAAGTTAGTGCATGTTTTTTCATGGCTATACGAAAACGCTACACACAGCCACTATTCCACTCTAGAGTAGAAAACGCTAATTTAAGCTAGCGCCATCTGCTGTAAGTAAAACAAAACAACTTGAACTTGAAAACATAACCAAACTTTTTACTTATGTAAATATTTTCTATTTCCGAAATTTTTATTAAATTTATTTATAATAATAAATATAATATAATAAAAAAAAGTTCAAAATGCCTCTAATGGAATACTTTTCGTCCCTAACAGATAACCCCTATTTCGGGGCCGGTTTCGGTCTTTTTGGAGTAGGCGCCGGTGCTGCAATATTACGAAAGGGTTACCAAACGTCTCTGATACTGTTTAGGAGGCACTACATGATCACTTTAGAGGTACCTTGCCGAGACAAGTCGTACCAGTGGCTGTTGCAATGGATGACCCACAAGGGGGCCAAGCAAACCCAGCACTTGAGTGTCGAAACTAGTTTTGAGCAAAAAGACAGTGGTCATATAAAAACCAAATACGATTTTATACCTAGCATAGGAACGCATTTTTTCAAGTAAGTATAAAGCAGTGGACCTGATTTGTTACTGACACCTTAATTAGATATGGTAGAACATGGATAAGGGTTGAAAGAAGTCGCGAACAACACACCTTAGATCTACATATGGGTGTCCCATGGGAAACAGTACAATTAACTGCATTTGGTCGCAATAAAGCCATATATTTTAATATATTAGAAGAAGGTGAGGTATAATTAAAAATCAGCTTAAATGCCACAACTTAATTTTGGTTAGCTAGACATATGGCACTGAAGCAACACGAAGGAAAAACAATCATGTACACTGCTATGGGTAGTGAATGGAGACAATTCGGTCATCCTAGAAGAAAGAGGCCAATTTCATCTGTTATTTTAGACACAGGAATTAGTGAAAAAATATTAAAAGATACCCAAGAATTTATCAATAATCCTTCTTGGTATTCTGACAGAGGAATTCCATATAGAAGAGGTACAAATCACCCACACTAAAATTTCAAAATACTAATCCTTCCTGTAAATCTAGGCTACTTACTCTATGGACCGCCTGGTTGTGGCAAATCCTCCTACATTACAGCCTTAGCCGGTGAGCTAGGATTCTCAATATGCGTCCTAAACTTATCAGAAAGAGGTTTAACAGATGACAGGCTCAATCATTTGCTGAGCGTAGCTCCACAGCAGAGCATGGTTCTTCTTGAAGATATCGATGCTGCTTTTGCCTCAAGAGAAGACACTGAGCAACAAACTGCTGCCTATCAGGGTCTTAACCGTGTCACTTTCAGTGGTTTATTGAATTGTTTAGATGGCGTTGCTAGTACTGAAGCTAGGATAGTTTTTATGACTACAAATTATATTAGCAGGTAATTTGCTATTTCCGCAAAATTAATTCAAATTATTTAATGTTGATTGATCTAGGTTGGATCCAGCTTTAATAAGACCAGGCAGAGTGGACTTGAAAGAGTACATTGGCTGGTGTTCTATATCCCAAATCGAGCAAATGTTTTTGCGTTTTTATCCGGGCGATGATGTTGTCTCCCAGTCCAAGGCTTTTGCTGAAAAAGTAATTTCTGAAGGCAAAAACGTAAGCCCTGCACAAATTCAAGGATTTTTCATGTTCCACAAGCACACAGACGCTAATCGTGTGATTGATGATTACCAGATGATTTGGAAACTTTAGATTTGTACAGTGTGAAAAAATTGTAAATAAATTAGGACATAATGTTTTTCTTTTTGTTTATTTTGACCCAAAGTTTAATATCCGGCCCCTCACTATTTAGGAAAATATTAGCAGGAAGCAATTTATTAAAATTTAATCAATACTTATATACATTATGCAATGAATTAAATATACATTAATTACCTAAGTAAAGGTTGATTGAAATATCAAATTAATTGTCCTTTTTTTTTCAATCCCCATCATATGGATTTAATTATTATATCATAACAATAGAACTTACACTACAAAACTGGTTTTAACGAAAACGACAGTTTTGGCCTGGAATTATTTTTGCCTAATATCTTCTTCTGTTCCTCTTTTGCACGTTTCTCCTGTTCTTTTTCCAATCGGCGACGTTCCTCATCTATTTTTCTTTGTTCTTCCACCATGGCTAATCTATCTTCGGCCTTGAGAAAATTTAAATGGGTGCAAATTCAAAGCTTCGAAATTTTTATCTCTTACCAATTTCCTTTGGGCTTCTTCAATTTTTCGTTGATTTTCCTCCAATATCCTTTGCACCTCCTCATGCTTATATCTCTCTTCCTCCTATAAAACAGGATAAACTTAATAAAATAAAGGGCCATTCTGTTACTGGTCCCACCTCTTTTACACTACACACTTGATTAATTATTATAAAAATGACACTCACATCACAAGTTGCATTTTAAACGATTTAATTTGCAATTATTAAAAAGCAACTTTGAAGAATTATTGAAGTTTGAAATGTTGGAGGGGCAACTTCAAGTATACAAATCTCCAATATTGCCTAATTTGGCCTCGGAGCAATAAATTTCAATTGCCCTTCCTTTCATTCTAGAAAAATGCAAAAACATTTTTATTACAACAAAATATTCAGCTTAACATTTTTCTAAAATAATCAATATTAAGTAAAAAAAAAAAAATAATAACAAAAATCCAAACTTCAAATATTCCTTTTTAGTTCAATTAAACATATCTTTCACCCACAGTCAAGGTTGGAACCAGTCTAATAGAGGAATGTTGCTGAGAAGACGCCACAATGGCACTTCCCCAGTTAAGGCAGGGTACACTTATAAAAAAAAAATGAGTATAAAAATAATTTGATACCTGCTACGATGAGCCATCCACCGTACGCCGCTCCAAGTTTGCTTGCTTTGCATGGTAGGCCGCCCTTTAGCTTATTATGCAGCTAACGGCATATATAATTTAACATAACTTGAGGGAAAGTTTACGTAGATGGTTTTTTGTGATCTACATAGCTATATTTGACTGATGAAGTGATTTTTTTTAAAGCCCAGTCTTTATAGCTCTGCCTAAGATTATTATTAAAAATAAAAACACAAAAAAAAAATGGAATAAATTCAATATGGCCCATCAGTTAATTCACTTTCTTGTCACTAAATCAATTGTAATGAAGCCTAAATAAATAAAGAGAGAAGTCAGTGTATTGGAAGGAACGAATGGGCTATTTTTTTTTTTAGTATTGAAAAAAAAATATTTTCAAATACATAAATTTGAAGAAAAAAAAACTATTAAAAAAGGCCATAATTTTATTTTTACCTCTCTTTTCCTTTCTTCCTCCCTCTGTTTTTGTCTTCTCCTTTCCAAATCTTCCATCATCTGCCTCTCCATTATCTGTTTAGCTTCTTCCACCCGTTTGGCCACTTCCCTTTCAATTTCCTCCCGCCTTTTTTCCAATTCTTCTTCCACCCTCTTCTTCACCAAGTCTTCTATTCTTTTAGCTGCCTCCTCTTCGACGATTTTTTGTTCGGCTTCCTTTTGACATCTCTGTCTTTCCAACTCCGCCAGCCTTTCAACCTCGTCCATTTTTCTAGACTTGTGCTTTTTACTGTTGTGTTTGTCATTTTTCTCTAGGGAAATAATGCTGCAACCTGAGGATGATGTTGAATCTGAACGTTTTCTGGAAAAAAAATCAAAAAATGGTTCAGCTACGAATTTCTGATTCAACTTTACAAGAAATAATTAACCAAATCAACTGTTGAAGCTGATATTCAGAAGGAAAATAATCCAATAGACCATTTCAGTACAGATGACTATGACAATTCACACATAATCACTAGTTTTTTATGATAGTATTAAGACCAATCCAAGAGTACTTTTTCCAGTTTTTCCGCTCTTTCTTTTAACACTGAACTTAGTAATTAACTTTTGCCTTACACCGTAGATATTTGTTGTTAAACAGGACGTAAATTTATCGTTGTCTTTTCCCATACATGCCGAATTATCTAGAAATGAAAATTTCAAGAAAAAACTAATCCGAGGGCTAATCTTATTCACAACTATTTTGATTTTGTCAAATTTAGAGCTAAAATATAGCTCAGATGACAAACATATATTTTGTTTTTGAGCATTGGAGTACTTTTTTTCTCTCTGCTATTTTGATTTTTGACTCCAAATGTTGGTTATTTCAGACTACTAAATTATGAACATTTAAAACAAATTCAAGAGCCTGGAATAGGAAAATTACTTATTTTGATAATCGGTAATGATAAATTCTTTACATAATTTACTGCTTGAAATAATCCTAGATTTTCGTTCGATTCATATTTGTCAATAATGTGGCCACTGAGTTTTTTTTATCATTTTTTTTTCAAATCAAGGCAGAAGGCAGTTTTTAACACCAAAAACCCACTGGGTGTTTGTCAATATTGATGGTGGGTTTTTTTTGTGTATGCTAACCCTCGGGCCTTATTCTGTAAGTAACGAACCGTTCGATTCGGTAGAATTTTATCGATTGTGACGTCATTTTCGGTTTGGTAGCGTGAAAACCAAACCAAAAATGACGTCACAATCGAAGAAATTCTACCGAATCGAACGCTTCGTTCCTTACAGAATAAAGCCCCTGGGAGAGATAAAGGAAAATCTAAAGAGATCTATGAGAGATCTGAGAAAGACTATTGATTTTTTTCCACTGAAATAAAAATATTGTGCCCCATATTGTACCTAATAAATGGATCTCTGATACTACCAGGAGAGTAATAGATCAAAAGAAGGCATATTTTGATAAGAAGAAGACTTCAGGAGTTGTGTTCTGGCTGTGCACTTGAGTATTCTATGAAATCCCTGAAAAATTAGGTAGATCTAGCAAAATATTGGGAAATTAAGGGAAATCTGTAGGGGGATCCCCGGTAATTTGGGATATGTAAGGGATATATGTGGATATCTTAATGTTGTGACTAATCCCTCGGAGGCTGTTCACTCTTAACAAGCTTAGGAAAAAAAATTCTACCATCCCTATTTAGGCACCAAAATTAGCATTTATTTATATGAACGTTCTGCTGACCTTGCTCTTCCAGCATTAGGGGCATTCAAAAGCTTAATATCGAGCTTAATATATTTTGATGCATTTGTTAATAAAGTTAAGATAAGTTTGGATATTTAAGATTCAAGTATATTTCTTGAGATTATTGTTTCAGCCAATGGACATAAATAACCAAGAACTGCTTAATTGAGTATAATATTCGGGAGTATATTTCATTAACTCGAGGGGCTTTTCACCTACCAAAATTTGTACAGCGATTTCCATTTTTCTTAATATTCACGGTATTTCTATGTATTTTTGAGTTTTTCTAAGTATTTCCAAATATTCCCTAGTATTTCCACGTACTTCTGAGTATTTATTAGTATTTATAAGTATTTCCAAGTATTTTCAGGTATTTCCAAGTATTTTTCTATCGCACGCCGTGCGGAAAAAAAATCCTGTACGGCGTGCGGGAAAAAGATAGTTTCCGAATTAAAATACATGCAGGAAAGTGACGTTTTACGCATGCTTTTAGACCTAAACCTTTTCTAAAGCTGGGGAGTAGCAAAGAACATTTTTGGTATTTGTGGACAAAAAGAAAAATTCTGCATGAGGTCAATAAACACATATAGGGTATCAAATTTTAGGGACACTTTTTACAAACAACACAACAATTTTTTTGACTGCATAATATCGGGTCTTCAAAAAAAAACCAATCAAAGATTGCTTTGGTTACGAAAACGTACGTCGTATTATTGTTTGTTTATTGGTCAGGATTTTTGACATGACATTTTGACATTAAATTTCATTGAGTGACATTGTCAAAATTAAAGAAAAATATTGCTAAGACCTACGTTCAAAAAACCATAGCAATCTTTGATTGTTTTTTTTTTTTGAAGACCCGATATGTTACAAATAAGTCTAGTTTCTACTTCGGTTTTTACAAGAGAAATCTGTTCTCGGACCAGTTTAATAATTTCAAATGAAAGATCACATGGTATTTTTTCAACAGTGTCATCTCTTATTAGCTCGCGGAGGATTAGCAAAACTCTCCTATAGATTTGTCAACAACTGCTTTGCGCATGCACACCTGTTGACGTCACTTTGGAGAGACCACATAAATGGATGGCAATTCGACAAGGAATTTTTTTTTTTAATTTCAAACTATTTTTAATATACTGGGAAACAGTATTCTACACAACAAGGAAATTTTTATGCCAAACATAAATAAGATAGAAATGACACTCACAATATATACAGGGTGTTCCAAATTCAAGCAGTATCATTATGGCTGGCATTGTGAAGCGGTGGAGAATGTTTGGCAGCGGCATTCTGCAGGAAATATCTATATCTTGGGCGATTATAACTTACCTAATGCTGCGTGGACTAATGATGAATTTGGAGCAATTGTGCAATGCCCTCAGGGCGACCCAGCCGTTCAAGTGGCTCAGGTGTTTGGTTATCTTAGACTTTTCCAAATGAATGGCATTCCAAATGATAGAAATGTATTTTTAGATTTAATCTTTTCTAATAGTAAAGAGGTTGTTGTCACACATGCCTCTGAGCTGCTTTTAAATGACAGTCATCATCATATTGGGTATGAGTGTGTATTATCGGTGTCCAATACAAAAGAAAGTACCAATTTAACTTATGAAGAATTTTATTACGACTTTAGAAATGCAAACTATAGGGAACTTAATAATTATTTAGCTTCTATTAATTGGCAAGAATATTCAAATATAAGCAATGATGTAAATGCCATAATAAATATTTTTTATGAGATTTTGGCCACTGGTATTGCATATTTTGTCCCAGTAAAAAAATTTAAAACTTCTACATTTCCCAAATGGTTTTCTTCTGATCTTAGAAAATTGACTTGCCAGAAAAGACGTGCACACTCTTTTTACATTAGTAACCGCTCAGATGATAATTATGCAAAGTTTTCAGATTTGCGTGTCAAGTGTAAGAGGCTCTCTAATATTTGTTTCTCTAATTACATGCGGGGTTTTGATGAGAGACTGAAAGTTGATCCAAAATCATTTTGGAAATTTATCAATGATAAGCGTATTGTCTTCCAGGCTCACTCTTTTATGGGGGGGAGAGGGCTTCAAATGGGCAGGATGTAGCCAATTTATTTGGGAAATTTTTTCAGACTGTATATGTAGCTAACCAGAACTCTCCAGTACTACCTGATTTAACATTGGATAATAACATAAGTAGCAATATTAAGTGCTCAGAAATAAGTAAGTCTGATATTTTCAATCAGATATGCAGTCTCCCCAATAAACTTACATCAGGGCCGGACAGAGTGCCTGATTTCCTCTTGAAAGAGTGTGTTTGCACTATAGTTTTACCATTGTATATCCTTTTTAATAGATCCTTGATTAGTGCTGTGTTCCCAAATGAATGGAAAAAGAGCTATGTGGTTCCTATTTTTAAAAGTGGTCAAAGAGGAAATATTGAAAATTATCGTAGTGTTTGTATTCCATCCGCAATACCAAAGCTCTTTGACTGTCTTGTTGGCAAGCAACTGAGCTGGATGTGTAAAGGTTTAATTTCTGTGGAGCAGTATGGCTTTTGTCAAAATAAATCCACATTGACAAACTTGGTAGATTACCAGACAAGCATTTTGCATCATATGGAGGGGCAGAAACAAGTAGACTCTATATATACAGACTTTGCTAAGGCCTTCGATAGGGTGGATCACCGGATACTCTTGCAGAAGTTAACCAAGATTGGTTTTCATTCTCATTTTGTTATGTGGATACAGAGCTCACTGACTGAACGTATCCAACATGCTAAAGTAGGTTTTTATTTTTCTGAGTCAATCTCTGTTACATCGGGTGTCCCGCAGGGCGGCCACTGTTCTCCTCTTCTCTTTAATATTTTTGTTAATGATATAACTGATTGTTTTATAAACAGTGAGTGTGCAAAATTTGCAGATGATTTGAAATTTTGGAGAACGGTGGAGAGCATTGTGGACCAGTTGCTTCTGCAGGAGGATCTGAATCGCTTGTGGTGTGTAGAAAATAAGTTATCTCTGAATGTGGATAATTGTTGCTATATTAGTTTTTCAAGGAAAGTAAATAAAATTCAAACTAGTTACTTTATTAACAATCAGTCTCTGAAGTGTGTGTCTAAAGTGAAAGATTTGGGTGTTATTTTAGACGAGATTATCTTTTATTGATCACATAAATTCGGTTGCAGTAAGGGCTTCGAAGATGTTGGGTTTCGTCGTGAGAAACTGTCAATGCTTCTCTGTGGGGGCTACCAGGGTTGTCTACTGCTCCTTGGTAAGGTCAACATTGGAATATTGCTCTGTGGTGTGGTCACCATATTTCCAGATTCATATGGATTCTTTGGAGAGGGTGCAACATAAATTTCTTAGAGTGTGTGCGTTTAAAAATGGCTTTGCTATGGCTGACCACGACTATAGAGCACTAGAACAACAATTGTCATTGAGTCCTCTGGGCCTTCGTAGAGATAGTTTTGGTGTAGCATTTATATACAAATTAGTACATGGGTTAATTGACTGTCCAAGTCTCCTTTCTTCAGTTAGTTTTAATGTACCCACAAGGGGGCTGAGGCAACACCCAACATTTCTCATACCTTTTCACCGAACAACATATGGTGAAAATAATCCTATTGACAGATATATGTCATTAATTAATAACTTAAATATTAATATATTTGATATGACCCTAGGTCAATTAAAAACGTACCTGAAGAATATGTGATATTTTTTGTATAACAGGGTCAATTCTGGTTTGTGAATTATTTGTTGTGCCTAATTCTATTTTATATGTTTCCATATGTTAACTACTCATTATCAAGATCAAGATATTTTTCTTAATACCTACATACTTTTACTAATACCTACTTACTTAAAAGATAATTTTTGGCTGTACTTAATATGTTTTATATTATTGTGTAGTATTAATTTTTGTAGTTAAATAATATTTATTATTTATGTAGTTATAGTTATAATATAGTACCTAACTTATGCTTTATTCTTTATATTTTTTCTTAAATTGTATTTTAACAGTTAATGGGGTTTTCCCGTAACTAAATAAATAAATTATGATATTGGAAACGGTAAGAGATACAGAGTCGGTTAAATTAGGGCAATGTTTGTCAATTTTATGCTTCACAAAATACCGAGCAAAATACCGTTTTGAAAATTTAAAAATTCCAAATAGTTCCGTAAATATTGGGAATAATCCGAAATTTTACAGAAGCGTTTTCATTTTTTTCAGAGCTAATTTGAAGAGTTATACCAAAATAAATAATAAATGTCACTTCATCATTACCACTTTTTCTCCTCTACAAGATGTCACCATCAAATTCAAAATCTGACATTTCGTCTTTGGGCCACCATCATCAACTTTATTTTTTATTATAAGCACTTTCCATAAGAACTAAATGTGTTAGAGAGAGACAGAGAAGAGAATTTTGGTAGGAAATTACTAGGAAGTAACAAAAGAAATATTTTATTTACAATCATACATGTATTTATTTACAATCATACATGACTTTACTGACTTCAACCCGTGGGCCGAAAGTAAATGAAATTTTTAAAATTTATTGTATTTTTTGACTTTTACTTTCGGCTCACGGGTCGAAAGTTTACTTTCCTCCCGTGGGCCGAAAGTAAATGAAATGGGCCACTTTCATGTGCCGAAAATATGGCAAATTATGATATTTTTTGACGCAGATACATCAATGCAACCGAGAATGAACAATATTTTGCAAGATTTTAGTCAGATTATTAAATAAATTAATAAATAAAAACTAAAAATTCGAAAAATCACGAGATTGAAAACGCTCTCTGATTGGCTAAAGCCGATTTTGAAATTTTTGTTGCCACATGTAGATATGCGAAATTTAAATGAGTTAATAAGGATTATACCTATCCTTTATTTTTTTATAATGTAGTTAGAGATGTGAGTGTGAAAAGTTTCACCTGAAAAGTTTCAATAAAATTTCATTTCATTGAAAAGTTTCAAGACAGTTCAAAACTTTTCAAAATTTCGTGAAAAGTTTAAAGATCATGAATCATGCATTGTGACTTTGTCCCAGGTTTGTTAAAACGAAAACGCATGTCATGGTCGTGGGCAAAAAAATAATTAACGAGTGACGAAAACAGCATTTTTTGCAACGAGAAAACAGTTGTTTTCAAGTTGTAAAAAATGATTTTTGACAAGTAAAACACTATACTTTTTCTAAGACCATGTTTTGATTTTTGCTGTTAAACTTATGTTGTTTTTTACAAGGGTTCCTACTTGGTTTGATAGCTGGCGCCATCTATGAAAAGTGCTCGTTTTTAATTAATTTTATACTTATATTTTGCTTTTATTACATTATATAAAGCAAAATTGTAATATACATAAATGAAACACAGTCATTTGAGTGATGGTCTATTTATTTATTACTGAAAATATTCAATTCTCCATACCCAAAGGAATGGTACTCTAGTCACAAAAAACCCATTGTTAATCTAACCATACACTAATAGTGAGCTAGCGCATACACGACTATTTAGAGACGTTATGCACATATATCACAAAAATTTACATAATTTTGTTATGAACTATGTTTTTTGATTGTGCTCCACAGAATTGAAATATAATTGGATTTGAAAAAATGTATTTAACATGTAAAATTTTAATCATTCACTTGCATCACTAGTGAGGAAAGTTAACGTTATGGGATATTTCATCACTAGTGACGAAAATGACGTTTTCGGCTAATGTAAAATATGACAAAAGTTGTTTATTTTTTGATGGTCATAGAAAAACAGATTTTTTCACTATTACGCAATTTTTTTTATTTCCTCAATCCTCAACCACAATATTGTGATTTAATGGAAAGGAATAATTGATAAAAATTATATTATTCATCAATTCAATTTATTGAATACCTATCATTTCGAAAAAATAATTTTAGAGGCCCTATTCTTCCTGTACTCAACTTTTCAAAAAAAAATTGAAAAGTTTCAACTTTTCATGAAAAGTTTCACGAAAAGTTTCAAATTTGAAAATTTCATGAAAACTTACATCTCTAAATGTAGTAAAGGACGAAAATAGTTTCTAGCTTGTGAAATGTGTAATGATTTACTAATGAGAAATTTGGCATCCTCGCATTTTTGTTGATTTTCTGGTTTGTGACGTCACAAAACAAGTTCACGTTTTCGCGCCAATTTAAAAATTCGATTTTTAAATAAATTTTTTTCAAAAATAAGCGTTTTTTCGGAAAAAAAAAATATACAGATAGTATTAGAATGACTAAAAGAATAATTTAAATAAGTTTTTGAAAAATGTGAAAGTGGCCCATTGTTAAATATTGTATTTTTTTTAGTTTTAATTCAAATAAAAATTTAAAAATTCGAATGATTGTAAATTATATACTATACATACCTCGGTGAAAAGTTTCATTACTGTTTCAGGATTTTAGTTAGACCTCGGCTGCGCCTCGGTCTTACAAAAAACTCTTGACAGTAATGAAACACTTTCCACCTCGGTATGTAATATACTATTTTGGAATAAATGCGGTATGTCATATGTTTTGGGACATCAGAAGCTCTTAAAATCTGAAATAAAAAATTCAGGGTCATATTTAAAAAAAAAAAGTTGATGATGGTGGCTCAAAGACAAAACGTCGGGATTTTAAATTTGATGGTGGCATCTTGTGGAGGAGAAAAAGTGCCAAAGATAGGTGACATTTATTTTGGGATATCTCTTCAAATAAGCTCAGGAAAAAATAAAAACGCTTTAAAATTTCGGATTATTCCCAATATTTCCGGAACTTTTCAGAATTTTTTAATTTTCAAAACGGTATTTTGTTAAGCATAAAAACTACAACCCTGTATCTCTTACCGTTTCCAATATCCCGATGATACTGCTTGAATTTGGACACCCTGTACACACTTTCAATAAGTTCTCACCAAGGTTCTCACAATTAAATAAAACTAACTTGGACTGTAAAAATTCAAAAAAAGTAATTTATGAGAAAAAGCAGCGCTCAGGAAGCTCATAAACATACTGTTTTCTCACATCATTCGGCACATATTACCAAGTATTTCAAAGTATTTCTAGGCATTCCCCAAAGTATTACCAAGTATTTCTCAGTATTTCTGGGTATTTCAAAAGTATTTCTAGGTATTTCCAAATATTTCTAACTATTTCCAAGTATTTCCAGGAGTTTGTAGACCAATTTCCTTGGGTGAAAAGCCCCTCGCTTTAACTATTACATGCGTGGAGAGTAAAAATTGAGAACTTGAAAATCTACATTACATGACAACTTAAACTTTACAAAAACATCTACTATTTAGATTGAACCATTGGATGATAGAGAATAGATTCCATAATACCAGACAATATTCTTTTATTTAATTGGAAAAAACATTCAGTACCTACTAATAAGGCCAGTGATTTCACACTGATTAGGGAATTATGTAAACAAATGTATGTTATTGTTATCAACAAAGTCGTTATAAAAAAAAGTAACTATAAATTATTATAACATGAAAGACATCAGACATCAAAACAGTAGCTCTGAAGACTATTTTTGCATATTATGATAATATGGATAATTACCTAATGTTCCTAACGAATTTTTCCTTCCTATCTTGCCTTTCTGAGCTCCTATCGTGCCTCTCTCTATCCCTGTGCCGTTTATGAGTGCTCAGACTCAAATCAGACCTATCTTTCGATTTGCTTCTCTTATGATGTTTACTTCTGTGGTGTTTTTTAGGGGTCCTGCTTCTGGAACGCGACCTTCCCATTCTGGATTCTAAGTCTCCTCTTATCCAGAATACTAACACGCGAATAGATAAACTGGAAACCACTGACTGGAAAGCGAAAGTAGGGAAAATTTAGAAAAAAAAAATTAACAAAATGTCTGCAATAAAAGGGCCATTGCAATTTATTTGTTGAAATCGGAAAAAATTGACAAGTGACATAAAATATAGGTGATTTCGGAAAGCCTGTTCCAGAGTGAATGAAAATAGGAAATATTTTTTTAAGCCGTTTCAAAATCCTATAGACATTAAATTTGAACAAATAGTTATTATTTTTATTATTCTTTATTGGTTACATATTCCCAGTTTTATATAATGTTTTTTTTTTATTTAAAAATATTAAGGTCAGCTTTGAGTCTTGACCGAGTGAGATAGCTATAGAATAGGATATATTATCTTAGATATCTGCAATTTTGTTAAAATAAAGTTAAACAAACCAAGAAAAACATACTGAAAAGATAAGACGTGATAAAACTAAGTTTAAAAAATTAAATATTTTCAATTAATTATATAATTTTATCTAATAATTAATAATTATAAATAAGGTATACAAAATTAATCAAAGACGTACGTTTCAAAAAGAAGAACGTTAGGATGATAGGAGAAGAATTTCAAATTAATAACATTTATGTTGGCAATAAAAATAGTACAGTCAGAAAGGAAGGAAAACCGCCGTTATAAAAAGAGAAAAGTTGGAAGTGGGAGAAATATAAATTTACGGTTCCGAAGGGCAGGTATACGACGGCAGCCCCCGACACCCAACCACACAAAATTTTTAGCCATTTTGTTTTCGATTTTTTAAATACCCCGGCCCGGCTTGTGCTTGTGTGTGAGGTAAGTACCAAAAGACCACCTGTATATAAATTATTTATTGGCAATTCGATAAACAATTAAGCAATAGTTTTAGCTGAAAGACAAAGGAGTTAGAAAAATGTCTAGCAAAAGGAAGAGGGTGCCAACGAAAAAAGCCGCAGCCAAGAAAAGGAAAGAGGAAACCGACGAATCTGATATTAGCGATGGTGGCGAAGGTGAAACCACTCAGCCTGATGAAGTTTTAATTGCAGGTGAGGCAGAAACCAATGGTTGCATTTTAATTGCTATCATCAGCAAAAAAAGTTCAATGACGAAAGATGCTTTATATAAATTAAACAAACACCCGTCTAATCAGAATCATTTTTTTGTCTTATTAACCCTGAGTATTCGTTGCCAATAATTGATGCCAACCTTATATTATACAAGATTGTGAATTTAGTTTTAGATTGCTGAAGTCGGTGGTTTTAGGAGAGACCCAAAGCAAATCTGGCTAACGGGATTTTTTTTTCTGGAATTCGTCTAAATCAGTTGAAATTTTCAGGAATTGTAGTCCTTTGCGAGGATAAGATTCACTGAAAATTTCAGCTTTCTATCTATAAGAGATTTGGAGTCATGATTTTTCAAGATTTTTGGAAATCCAAATCAAAAGACTAGAGCTGTGCAATACTTAATCAGGTACAAGTACTTTTCACTTGTACTCTAAAGTCTAAATACATTTTGAGTTACTCTGTACTCAAGCGAAAATACTTTTTTATTAATGTAGGTACCTTTTTACTTGATCCGCTTGAGAATTTAAAAAATACAAGGTACATTTTATAGTACTGAGTAAATTTCGAAATACCTCTGTACCAGGTGATTGTCTATATTTTGCACCCACACCTATCTCGCTTGTTGGAGAGATACCCAAAAATGTCAAATGTGTAGATATAAAGTCTGTTTCTGCAGAAATCCCAAACCAGTCAGAGTGAATTTCATTGGTTGAAAACAGTCAGAAAACTAGTTTCAACCAATGAAATTTACTCTGATTTCTGCAGAAAGTTTTCAATGATGTTAGTCACAAGTATACAGGGTGTATCACAAAAGTGTGGCGAAGCAAAGTTAAACTTTTTTAAATGGAAGAAATATATTATTGTCCCATTGGATTAGCCTTTCAAACCTGATTCCAAATATACTAGGTTCTTTAGGTTTATTCCTCATAGTCCAGCCTCTGAATACCTATCCCATTTTGAAGAAATAAAATGGATTTAGGTTTAAAGAAAAACAATGTCCTATAAATCTCAAAAATTCTTCAAATTTTTCCAAAGAATTTTTGGGATTTACAAGACATTTTTTTTCTTCAAACCTATCATCTGCCCAAAAAATCGACCACATACAATCCTTAAAATGGATTTTTTATATGAATTATTTCCTTTATATTTTGCTGGTGGTTTCTATACTTTTTTTAATAAAATATGCAATGGACCTTTCTCATGCAATGAAAAACAAGGATAGTTTATTAAGATTTCTGCAATAAAGAAAAAGACACATATAATGACACGAGATACCTGTGTGGAATGACTTTAATTGGTTCCGCTTGTCAAATTGTGCAATTTCGGTTATGTTTCTGTTTTTGTTTATTTTTATACGTAAATATGACAAAATACGTATTAACATTAATTAGAAAGAAAACCCACCGCAGCAAAAATGTTTGCAGCAAACCTTTGATTGTACATTATTATTGTATTTGATATAAAAATCGTTATTTTATGAACCTTCAAATCTCTGTCCCAACTTAAATCGTCTTCATTCGGGTTGAGAGCACGTAACTATTGTTTTCTTACAATTTGATTGCCTGGGAACTTGTGAAAAGAAAGGTTTCACTCCTTTTTCACCTAATTCTGACAAGAACTCATTCAACTCATTTGAACTATTGTATCATAAACAGTTTTTGTATTAATTTTCAGCAATATTGATTGATTATTGAGGTTAGCTTAAATACGTCAGGGTCAGACCGTGTTCAGTAAATTGACGATTTAATTATCTGTCACCCACAAGATGCGCGCGCAGCACAGGTAAAATGAGAAAGGTCCATTATTCCACCCATTTTTGTCCTATTTTCTCCTGGACTATAAGGAATAAACCTAAAAAACCTAGTATATTTGGAATCAGGTTTGAAAGGCTAATCCAGTTAGACAATAATATGCGGTGTTTTCCCATTAAAAAAGACTGAAATTTCATCGTTTTAGTAAGAAGGTAGCTAAGCTACCTTATGATTTAGATTTTGGAAAACTTTGGCAGGCCATAACTTTTTTTCTATTATAGATAGAAAGCTGAAATTTTCACTGAATCTTATCTCAATAAAGGGACTACAATCCTTGAAAATTTCAGCTCATTTGCACTTATAGTTCCTGAGATAAAATTGTGTTAAGCAATTTGGGGTGATTTATCAATTTTTCAATTTTTCTGAGTGCCTTTTTTCATAGATTTCGGCTTCAAATTTGAGAATAATTTAGTGTATGGAGTTTGTGGGATGTTAATTGGCCATTAGGATACAAAATATCAACAAGAAAAAATTTGAAATTTCATCGTTTCAGTAAGAAGGTAGCTACCTTATAATTTAGATTTTGGTAAACTTTGAAAGGTCATAACTTTTTTTCTATTATAGATAGAAAGCTGAAACTTTCACTGAATTTCATCCTTTTCAAAGAACTACAATCCCAGCTCATGCGCACTTATAGTTTATTTATTTATTTATTTATGGTACATCTTACAAACATCAAGCAAGTTGATAATGACAAGTAAGGGTTACTATAACTAACAGAATCCCTAAAATCTACCTAAAACTAAAACTAAAATTACGAAAAATACACTACTACAAATCATCAATATAAATTAAAACAAGATTTTAGCTTTTGGACATCCACATTGTGCATGTCAATATCAAACTTATCAATTAATACATTACACTGATACTGCATTGACGTCAGTACTGACCAGTTGAATGTATCACAGTAAAACAGATCAGCGTTTTTTTTTCTTAAATTTATTTTAGGAACATGGAAGCTTATATTATTGATAAAAAGGCAAGACTTAAATTTTATGTTGTTTATTATGTAATGTATAAACAGTCCTGAAGCAATTTTTCGCCTTACTTCTAGAGACTGAATATTATAAGTAGTCAGCATACTCCTGTAAGAAACGAGGTATGGGTAAATGTTATTAGTTTTATAGTAGAGGTATCTCAGAAACCGCTTCTGGACCTTCTCCAAAAGATCTATGTTGGCCTCTGCCTCAGGAGACCAAACAACAGAGGCGTACTCAAGGTGAGACCTAACCAGAGTATTGTATAATATTACTATTGTTTCGATATTTTTGAAGTGCTTTGTGTTTCTTATAATAAAGCCCAATGCTCGATATGCCTTATTGACAACATAATAATAATGATCATTGAATTTCATGTTCATTTGGAAGTTAACTCCGAGATCCTTACACTTGTCTTTTCTCTGCAAAGATCTATCGTTTATTGTATAGGTATTTGTGATGTAATTGATGTTGCGAGTATACGTGATTGTTTGACACTTGTTAATGTTGAGATGCATCCTGTGATCTAGAAACCAGCGAGCAACAGAGTCCAGGTCCTCCTGCAATCTTGTGCAATCTTCTGCTTTGGTAATTAGTTTGAAAACCTTAAAGTCATCAGCATATACCAAGCTTTCAGAGAACTTTATGCAGTTGGGCAAGTCATTAATAAATATGACAAAGAGCAAGGGACCCAGATTGCTTCCCTGTGGCACCCCTGATGTCGCTGAGTAAGGCTCTGAGCAGCAGTCACCCATTTTAACACATTGTTTCCAATCTTTCAGATAAGACTGCATTAAAAGACAAGCAGCAACCGAGAACCCAAAGTCACCCAACTGAGACAGCATTGCATTGTGGTCGAGCTTATCAAATGCCTTAGCACAGTCTGTCATTATTACGTCTAACTGATTTTTTTTGTTTATTGCTTCCATTGCCCGTGTAGTGAGGGTACACAGATTTGATACTGTGGACCTATCCGGCAGAAAGCCATGTTGACAATTAGAAAAGCATTTGCTGAAATTTGACATTATATCATTACAGAGGATTGTTTCAAAGATTTTCGCTACAGTGTTCAATATACTGATAGGCCTGTAGTTCTCGACTTTTCTGTGGGAACCAGATTTATGTATAGGGGTAATCAAAGATTCCTTTAGTATTGTCGGAAAAGTATTTGTCTGTATAGAGAGGTTAAATAAATGACTAAGAGGTTTCAGGAGTGCGTCAGCATAGCCCTTAAAAATGGAAGAAGGCACATTGTGTGTTCCGACCGACTTTTTTGCCTTAAGCTTTTTTATGCTTAGCTTAATGTCCTCCTCAGTTGTTTTGGAGAAGTGGAAATTACCGAAATTAATATCTTTATTTTTATCAGCTGCAGATGGTTTCTCATACACAGAGGAGAAGAATTGAGCAAAGGCGTCTGCAATCTCTTGTGTGCCACTGAAGGATTTATTATTGTAAGACACTTCCGTTGGTGTACCATTATTCCTGCTTTTAGCTCTTAAAAAGGACCAAAAACTCTTTGGGTCACTATGCATGATTGATTCCATAGTTCATGAGATAAAATCGTGTTAAGCAGTTTGGGGTGATTTATCAATTTTTCTGAGTGCCTTTTTTCATAGATTTGGGCTTCAAATCTGAGAATAATTTAGTGTATGGAGTTTGGGGGATGTTAATTGACCATTAGGATACAAAATCTCAACAAGAAAAAAATTGAAATTTCATCGTTTTAGTAAGAAGGTACCTTATGATTTAGATTTTGGAAAACTTTGAAAGGTCATACCTTTTTTCTATTATAGATAGAAAGCTGAAACTTTCACTGAATCTTATCTCGATAAAGGGACTACAATCCCTGAAAATTTCAGCTGATTTGCACTTATAGTTCCTGAGATAAAATATTGTTAAGCAATTTGGGGTGATTTATCAATTTTTCTATTTTTCTGAGTGCCTTTTTTCATGGATTTTGGCTTCAAATCTGAGAATAATTTAGTGTATGGAGTTTGGGGGATGTTAATTATTGACCATTAGGATATAAAATCTCAACAAAAAAAAAATGAAATTTCATCGTTTTGAAAGGTCATAACTTTTTCTATTATAGATAGAAAGCTGAAATTTTCACTGAATCTGATCTCAATAAAGGGACTACAATCCCTGAAAATTTCAGATCATTTGCACTTATAGTTCCTGAGATAAAATCGTGTTAAGTAATTTGGGGTGATTATCAATTTTTCAATTTTTCTGAGTGCCTTTTTTCATAGATTTTGGCTTCAAATCTGAGAATAATTTAGTGTTTGGAGTTTGGGGAAAAAATTTGAAATTTCATCGTTTTAGTAAGAAGGTAAAGTTTGTTTCACCAAGGTTCATACTTGACCTTGAAACTTGACAAAAAAGGGTTGTCCTAGATGAATTTATGTGACACATTCAATTTTTTTGACAAATTAAAATGAATGACGTCTGGTTTAAGAACCGACGAATGTTTTTGACGTTATTGATTTGTTTCAGTCAATTTTCATTTGTTAAACAAGGAAGACAAATGCTGGTGGCAAGTACAAACCCTGGTGAAACAAACTTTAGCTACGTTATGATTTAGATTTTGGTAAACTTTGAAAGGTCATAATTTTTTTTCTATTATGGATAGAAAGCTGAAATTTTCACTGAATCTTATCTCAATAAAGGGACTACAATCCCTGAAAATTTGAGCTCATTTGCACTTATAGTTCCTGAGATAAAATCGTGCTAAGCAATTTGGGGTGATTTATCAAGCCAAGTGCTAAATAAAGGAAAAAAAATATATATATTTTTCAATTTTTCTAAGTGCCTTTTTTCATAGATTTTGGCTTGAAATCTGAGAATAATTTAGTGTATGGAGCTTGGGGGATGTTAATTGACCATTAGGATACAAAATCACAAGAACAAAAAATTTGAAATACATACACATTAAAAATAATCTTCTGTCTAACAGACAACACATTCCAAACATCATGCCTAACCCTGATAGTATATCGATTGCATTTCAGAACCACCCTCAGAGCCCTGTTCTGTATTTTTTTTGATCTGCTCCACCTTTAAAGCAGGCAATGCATACAAAAGTGAGTGGAACAAAACTGTAAATGAGGTAGGGTATTTATACAACAGCATCCTTGTGCTAATTGACAAACTATTTCCCACCCTCGAAACACAAACCGACCTTTCTAGAAAATTGTTCATTCCGTTGTAATAATTTTCCATTCGAACAATTTTCCTTTTAAACAATTCTCCCTTTGAACAATTTTCCTTTCGAAAAATTTTCTTTTCGAATTACTTTCCGTTTGAATAATTTTCCTTTCGAAGAATTTTCCGTTCAAACAATTTTCCGTGACTCAGTCAGCATGAGCCGGGAAGTTTAAGTTTACATCCAAAATTACCCCCAAGTACTTGATTTGGTTTTCGTGTACCAGAGCACCATTATTCATGCTGATATGTATATTATTTACATCAATATCCCTTATTCTTGATCTTTTACCAAACACACAAAACTAAGATTTTTCTATGTTGATGCAAGATTGTTGTCACAGAGCCACCCATATAATTCGACACTCACAATTTGTTGGTTGCAATTGGTTCACATCTCTGCCAACAATGTACAGCATTGTGTCATCCGCAAGCAAAACAATACCTGAGAGAATTATTTATAATATAAGACAGTGTTTTTCTTATAATTGGAATTGCTACTTTAACAATACTAGTTGGTATCTTGTCTATGTTTATTTTTAATTTTTCGAGACAGTTCACATAACTTATCTGCAGATATTGGTTTCAAAAGCATTGACTAATTGTTGTTTGACTCATAATATTTATTCAGTATTCATAAGGTGTAAAATTAAGTCATGTTCTATAATTGAAAAATTAGGTCACGGCGATGTCCTGGACGACCTGAGCCCGCTACCTCAAGAACTACTGAACACCCTCCTCAAACCAGTCGGTCAATTGGTGTTTTTCGGCGGCCTGAACTGGGAAGTTTGCGGCAAACGAGAGTTTAAGGGCGTCAAAATGGTTCCTAACCTTTGGATACCTCACAAGTTTGGCGAATGGAAGGTAATGTATAATAATAATAGTTTGTTTGTCAACTCCTAGGTTTGATCAAAATTTTCCCATAGATTCTTCATTTATACTGTTCCTAAAGCTTTCCTCAATGCATTGCCAATATAGATCAGAAGAATATAAAAATATAAAACCTTTCCAAAAGTATGAAAAGAATATATTTTTCATAATTTGATACCATTTAATAGAATTTTGAATGAGTAGATACCAAGCTAAGCCGACAATTTTTTTTTTCTAGAAAATTAGGTGTGATATATTTTTTATAAACATTTTTTGTAGGTTCGCCTAGCAGTCAGCGGATGTACGGCAGCTCATAGTGTCCTAGTAGACGGCGAAGGCGTCACGTACACCTTCGGCCGTAATTCTCAAGGCCAATTAGGTCTGGATAACACTACCAGCGTTTCCAAGCCGACAGTGGTACCGGCTTTGGAAAAAATGAACGTTATCAGTGCCGCTTGTGGCCGTCACCACACTTTATTCCTCACCGACACCGGAACCGTCTACGCTTGCGGCGACAACAGGTCCGGTCAATGCGGCGTTGGCAATTTACAGCCACAAATTTTGACACCTACCAGGATTAACTATAGAGGGCCTCCTGTTCTCAAAGTAATTATTAGTTGAGGGTTTGTAGGACTATGATAATTTAATATGCCTTTAGTTTTAATTTTAAACATTTCACTATAAACCAAAGGGCTACTAGATCAAACCAAAATAATTATGATTTCTTGGATAAAATATTCCTATTGCATCTTATTTGCAATTTTAATAGTCTTTTTCAATATGTAGTTTTTTTAGGCAGTTGATTTGAATATTAGACAAATCATATGCAGATGGCAACACTATACAATTAGAATTAATTTTTTTAGGTCGGATGCGGTGCCGAATTTTCCGTAATCCTGGACATCAAAGGCGGTCTTCACACTTTCGGTCTGCCAGAATACGGCCAGCTGGGCCACAACACTGACGGTAAATACTTCAAGACTTCGACGAAGCTCTGCTACAATTACCAGACGAGCCCCAAACGGGTCGTACTCTACATCGAGAAAGGCAAAGATGGTCACGTGTCGCCGGTAGACGTTACGGAAATTGTGGATTTCGCCTGCGGTCCGAATCACACCGTTGCTATCGATAGTCGCAAGAGGGCGTTCTCGTGGGGCTTTGGTGGGTTCGGGAGATTGGGACATGCTGAACAAAAAGATGAGATGGTGAGTAGTTTATTTATATCTCTTTCTTATACAAGCTGGTAAAAAAAGACACGAATACACTCAGTGCGCACTAACCCTTCCAATAGAGTTCATTATTAGTTAGCCAACCTCTGATAACTTGTATTTTAGTCAAAATTAGAACTCCAAGCTTCAATGATTTCTTTTCAATTTTTTTTAGAAAGATTTTAATTAGATAATTATATTCTAAAAATAAATATTTCTCCTAAAACATGCGAACTCCAATTTAGGTCTTATATATGTTTTATATATTTTGCTAATCATGGGGGTGGATCTGTCACTAAATGCTTTCTGTATGGGGTATACAAAAGAGTTTGTCCTCTTGACAACTGAAGAAATATGGGCTTCCCATTTTAAGTGATTTGAAATAATGACACCCAGATCTTTCTGCTCAGTGACAGCTTTAACGGTAGTGCCGTTTGCTGTAAGGTATGTTTGGAGCCCCAGAGGTGGGTACTGTTCAATATTTGAGATAATTATTTTGTCAGTTACCAGCAGTAAGTCCAACAAAGATGATTGAGCGCCCCGAAACCTTATGTCTTCCGTGACTAGCTGTCTACAATTCCATTCCTTGTAGGCATCAATAAAATCCACAGCGTTAACACTGTTTTCTCTCAGTGTAAGACTTTTCCAGACAATCTCAAGGAAGTTTAAGCCTCCCCAGATAACAGCGTCTATGTTTTCCTCAAATGTTTTCAAAGATTATTCTTTGCAACAAGCTTATCTTCAATACCTATAATGGCCTCAGATTTTCTTCAAGAAACTTCCTCACATACCAATCCAAGTGAAAATCTATCCTTTTTTCCAGTTTTAAAATGTTTTCAATCTTTTTTTTTCTAGGTACCAAGATTGATTAAATATTTCGACAGTCAATCACGTGGGGTACGCTCAGTGCACTGTGGCTCCACCTACACTCTCGCTGTGACAGAACATAACGGTTTGTTTTTATTTGGCCAAACCAAACGTACTGGAGAGGTAATAAATAATTCAATAATTGAAAACATTTTTATATAATCATAATTATAGGCCAACATGTATCCGAAACCAGTTCAAGACTTAGCAGGCTGGAATATAAGTCATGTAGGCACAAGTCACACTTCAATAGTGATTTCAGCTGATGAAACTTGTATCGCTTGGGGTGCTTCGCCCACTTACGGTGAATTGGGTCTGGGCGATATGACAAAAAGCAGTACGACGCCCAAAGAGGTGACCAGGATGCAAGGTATTAAAGTGACGAGCGTCAGCATGGGTTATTGGCACACCCTTATTATTGCTTCTGAAGATAGTCCCGAGCACAAAGCCAAATTGGAAGCGATGAAACTGTATGAGGTTTAAAAATGCTGAGTTACTTATTGGCATTTTTCGTGTCTCTTGCACGGTTTACTGCCCATTTTTCGACTAAGTACCCATTAAGTTATTTTTTCGGCCATTAGGTATAAACATTTCCTCAAATTACGTAAAAAAAAAATTGTACCGAGTCTAGGATTAATTATTATAAGTAGATTTAGAGATTTACCTTAAATCATTTAATTCAATTTAGTCTTTCAGTATTCTCTTCCGATTATTTTATTATTATATTTTTTTTTGTAGGAGGTGATTGTTTTATAATTTTTTTGTCTATAAGTCCATTTTTTTTTTTGTATTTTAAACGATGCTCTTTTAATAATAAAAATACACATTTACAACAGCTTGTTTATTTTCTATTAACAAAATGAGGAAATTGTACAATATTTTCAATATATTTTGCTACAGCTAATAGCATTGGTTCACTCAAATTCCTTCCCATAAGTTGAATACTTATTGGCAAACCATTTTGTGATAATTTAATTGGAATGGAAACTGCTGGTATACCTGAAAATTTAAATAAGTAACTACATCCTATAAACCTGAAAATTCTTACCAGCCATATTGGCAGGCTGCGTACAATAATCCTGCAAGGCACACTGGTCCCTATTAGTTTTCTGTACAAAATCCTTATAAACTGGTGCAGTCGTCAATGTAGTGGGCGTCAATAAAACCTGCACATCTTCCCATACCTTATGAAAATCATCAGCTATCAATCTCCTTATTTTTAGAGCTTTATTGAAATATTTTTCGTAATTTCTAATTAATAAAAAATAGTTTCCAGTCAAAATTCGGTTTCTAACAACTTCATTGAAGCCCATACTCCGGCTGGTGGCGTATAATTTCTCTGTAGACTCATTTTCATCAGCTCTGTATCCAAACTCGATGCCATCATACCTGGCCATGTTGCTAGCGACTTCGCATTGATTGAGAATTGAATAGCATACTATACTGTGTTCGGTGTTTGGAAGAGACACCTAAAGATAGTTATTTTTTAATTAAGTTGTACAATTTCCTAAGACAAAATATTGTGATTATTCAACTAGAAGAAAGTGAACATTTTAACATTGAAAACTAGTTTTCTCAGATTTTCTTTTGGCCCGTTCATAATTCGAATAGGGAGATAGTTTTTGGAGTTCTAGGTCTGAAAACTTTGTATTTTTTAAGGTGTCGAGAGCTAATATGTCAAATTTTGATCATTACTGGGTTTTGATTTGCTACACAAGAGCCCAGGTTTTTGAAAATGTCTGTTGGGTTTTTGGGCTTTAGCGGATTATTGGGATAGTTTTTGTGTTTTCGTAGGGTTTTTGTGTTGACTCAGCTACACAAAATTGTCTATTTGTTTCCACAGTTTTGCACCTGATAAACTTCAAAATTGAATTTATCGAACATTGAAAATTTTCCAAAAATGACACTAATACAGTTTTTAGCTCACAGCTCCTTTAATTTTCATCTGATTTCAACGTTGTTAGGCTCTAATTCGAGCCAATCAAATTCTTTACAAACCTATCAATTAAGATTTCAATTTAGATTGAACCATAGACAATTCAATTTATGGAACATTGAAATTTTTTTCAAAAATGACACTGGGACAGTTTTCGCTTCCAAACTCCGTTAATTTTCATCCGATTTCAGTGTAATTAGGCTCTAATCGAAGCCAATTAAATTCTCTACAAACTCGGTGTGTTTTTGAAATGGGTTTTTGTCTATGCCAACCTTGTAAGAGCCGGTAATAGTGCAAATTTGGATTAATGGATCAAGAGCCAATAATAGTCATATTCTTGATCATAGTTTATTTAATATTGGCTCTTGATTGACAAAAAATATTCTACAGGAGCAGAGACAAAATCATTAAATTTAATTATTACCACTACCAGCTCGCAATTCCCTCAAGAAAAATTTTCCAGCAATTCAAGACGCAGTAATAGTTCAAATCTTGATTAATGCCTGACATTAGCTTCAATGATTTTTATGCAGGCAAGAACCTAATAAAGTCTGAATTCTTATTTTTATCAGGTCTTGATTAACTTGGCAATTTTTATAGAGGTAATCAAGAGCCGGTAATAGCCCAAATTATGATTATAACCAGCTCTTAATTAGGTATCATCTGGAATGAATACCCTGTAGATCTTGAAAAGGATGAATGAGATTTCCATAATTTTTTTGTATCTTTCGAATTGAACATCAAATAATATTCTAGAAGCATATAAACAATCCCACCTGTTTAACAATTGCTCCATCATTCTCCAACAAATTAGCAACTTCATTCCAAACATCATAAACCTCAGAAGTCAAATGTTCATTGAAATACTCTTTCGGTATACCAACTTTCAAGGCCTTCACAGACATTTTATTTGCATTTGGAAGCCTAAAACAACTACCACATTAATAAACCAATCAAACAACCACCTCAAATTCCTACCTAATTTTCCTATAAGGCTTTTCAAGCGTCGTTGAATCCTTACTATCAAATCCTGCCACAACATTCAACATACTAACACAATCGTCTACAGTCCGCGTCAATATGCCTGGCACATCCATAGAATTAACCAAAGGAATTAAACCCCAACGTGACACTAAGCCATAAGTTGGTTTGAGACCTACTACACCACAATATGAAGCAGGATTCCTGGTTGAACCACCTGTATCTGAACCTAGGGCGCTTTACATACCATAAACACCTTTTTCAGTAATTAAAACAGTCTTACCCGTAACAAATTCCAGTTGCTACAGCTATTGCACTACCGCCACTACTACCACCGGCTATATGAAAGTTTTCATCATCCTGATAGTTCCAAATGTTTTTCGAAGGTCCATAAATCGAGTCTACAGTGCCAGATCCCATAGCGAATTGATCCAAGTTTGATTTTCCCAAAAGTATTGCACCTGCATTTTCAAGCCTTTCGACAACTGTTGCATTGTAGGTTGGGTTAAAGTTTTCCAGCATTTTTGAGGCACATGTTGTGGCTACTTCTTTGGTACAAAAATTGTCTTTAATTGTAATTGGTAGACCATCAATTTCCGATGCAGGTTTTTTTGTATTGTAACGTTCCTGTGATTGTTTTGATTGGTTTTTTGCCAAAGATTCCGTTAAGGCTATAAAAGCGTTATATTTTGCGAGTTGTTTTGCACGATTTAGGGCAGCTTCAGTTAAAATTGGGGGCGTAATTGCGTTCTCTGAAAGCAATCTGAATACCTGAAATGTTGTTCTCGAGTAATGTTATTAAGCAAGGACACAGGGAGCTACTTACATTTTTAATGTTTGTGTTTAAAACTTTATCCATTGATAGGCTTTAATTAGGCATTCAAATAATTTAAGAACTTTTATTTTAAAATTAAAATCTTGTAATCTTGTTTATGTTTTTAAAAATAAGTGAGGTTAGGTTGTGTTTAGTTTTGGCTCATTTGAATCGATTCATAGCGATTTCCGTTTGTTGCTCTAAAGTACACTCAGTGCAATTTTTATAATTCATTTTTCATTTCCCAGTTGAACGGAACACAATTAACTTCCCTTTAATGGCATTTTACCCATAATTACATGAAGGAATTGAAAACTTTAAAAATTAATTCTGACATTTTCAAATTCCATCAATTTTGTACGTTCCATGTTTCCAGATTAATATTGGTGCCTAACTTCATGTTAAAGTGTCAATCAGTCAGTAGTCAGTAGTGTCAGTGATACGTCATAATAATATTTTTGTCGATTTGTTGTTTATTTTTTGGGAATTAATTTCAAAAGCCAAAAGCACGTTTGCTGTTCAGTTTCAAGATATTGCAAGCTACAAACTAATAAACAAAATATGGCCGATGAAGAATTCGACGATAACGACGTAGGAGACGATTTTGACGACGATGTGGAAGACGACAATATCGAGGAACTGGAACAACCCGAAGAAGAAGGGGACAATATCGATATTCTCCAACCAGGTAAGAGAAAAAAGCCCCAAATTGTCCAAACAGATAATATACGATAATTTTAGGCCAAGCAGGAGGTGGAGTACCGAAAAACAAACGTATAACAACCAAATACATGACCAAGTACGAACGAGCAAGAGTATTGGGTACCAGAGCCCTACAAATAGCCATGTGCGCCCCTGTCATGGTAGAACTTGACGGAGAAACTGATCCCCTTCAAATCGCCATGAAGGAATTAAAACAACGCAAAATTCCCATTATTATTCGAAGATATTTACCGGATCATTCCTATGAAGATTGGGGAATTGATGAACTTATCATTATAGATCATTAGAAATTATAATTATTGTATTTTTATTATTGTGTGAATGAGAAATAAATTGATTTTTTTGAATTAAAATTTTTTTAAAAATTAAAATCCACACAATCAGGCCTATGATTCTATGATGTATCCATTCCTGTTATTTTAACAGCTATGTTATAGCTCAACATCTATACTTCTCTCTATTTTGATGTATAGAATAAACAGTGACAGGCAACTTAACGTTGCTGTTGAAATAACAGAAAATGATAAATCATAGGCCTGAATGACTGGAAATGACTTTAACATAACCTCAAATAAGAACTTATCATCGAAGCGTTTCATCCACATTTTATCTCAAAAAATAAAATAAAAATCACGATGGGTGATGCAGAAAAAGCCCCACTATCCAATGAAGAAGCTCTGAAATTATGCGGGCAAAATCCGCTGGAAGCGAAGGTAAATTCTGGTCCCTCAAATCTATTTCCCCATCAACTTATTCTATTTCAAGGATTTCATCCTGAATCAAACCATGTACAGGATCAAAGACCCCAAAGTAACGCTACCCTTTTACTCGCAAGTTTTGGGCATGAAGCTGCTGACCAAATTGGATTTTCCTTCTATGAAATTTTCGTTGTACTTTATGGGTTACGAAGATAGTGTTCCAGGTGATTTGGGGTCTGCTGCTAGAAATGAATGGACTATGGGCAGGAGGGCTACTTTAGAATTGACCCAGTAAGAATTTAGCACTTTTGTTTCCTCAACTTATCAGTCCTATCCATGATGGGCCGGCAGGGGGGGGGGGGGGGGGGGTAATCATATGGAAAATCATACTTGAAAATTTTCAGCTAGATTTTTAACATAATTTGCGCTGGCTCCCTAAAAAAAGATTGTGGCTTCAGAACCCCCCCAAACTCCATAAAATAAGATTTGGGGCCAGATTTTATGAAAAATCCGAGGGGTAAACAACTAGTGGAAATCATTGTACATTTTTTTGGGAATCACATAGTAATCAATCACTTGGGAGTCCCTGGGAATTGCTAGGAATCTCCTAGGACTCCATGGGAATCACATAAGAATCCATTGGCAATCGCTCATAATCATGTGGTAATCGCTGGGAATATCATCTTATTCTAACCCACAAATCGCATATCATACGTCATTTTAAACTGAGTGCTAGACAATTTGAAATGGATTTAATATCCCAACGAGTTTTCCAATAACTGAGCTAATAACTGAACCCGAGACTATGAAGATTTTAGAACTTGAAGAAGAAGAACGGGATTAGGTCTGTTCTCACAAATCACAAACCAGTCAGAGCGTTTTTGATTGGTGCAAATCGCCAACAACTAGTGTTTTGACTATTTCCAACCAATGAAATTCGCTCAGACTGGTTTGTCTTCACACATCAGGGTTTAGCAGTTATTGCGATTCGCTACAATTAAGAGATTATTCAGGGCTCAACTTTAATTTGGTTCTTCAGAGAAGTAGAGACGTTTGTCGATCGAGTATCAAGAGCTATGGGAATGTCCCTGAGAAAAATACAAAAGAAAAAGTCGGGAATCCAAGGCAATAAGAACTTGAAAAGGGAAAGTATCTGAATCAGAATCAGACAGAAATAAGTTTGTCGAGTGAAATCGTAACCCTGATTCAGATGGAGATCCTAGTGAAATCAAAAAAATATCCATTATTTTAAATCCATATTATACAGTGTAGACACGCTAGTATCAACAACTATTTATACCTACAACGAAATCTGTGTGGGTGTGGGCAACCATGAAAATAAAAGTTGCTAACTTTTAGAAATAGTTGCAAATACAGAAGTTGCCAATTTTTCAGTGGAAACGTGTTTTTACAAGAGAAAAGACTGTTTATTTTGGTCATATCAATGCGAAGCTTAACAATTAGACATTGTTTTCGTGATAAAATCAGCTGGAAATCGGATGATTGTAGGGAATCATCGAGGAACTTCGGTAATTAATTGGGAATGATATAGAAATCCCCAGAAAAAATGGAAATCACCTGGTAATCATACAAAAATATCTAAAAATCATTGGCAATCAGTCGCAATTCTTGGGATGGAAATACATGAGATTCATTGATCAGTGATTGCCAAATATGGAAATCATTGTATGCATAGTAGTTGACCCCTCGGATAAATCACCCCAAATTACTTAATATGATCTAGGCGTCTGAAGAAAAAATAAGAAAATATGAAATTTTCAATTTTTTTTTAAACGAGGGGTGATTTTCGTAAGTTTGACAGCTAGCAAGGAATTTTCCTTTTGAGGGATGATAAAGCATCCCTTGAACAAGCATTCCTACAAATTTGAACGTGAAACACCATCTAGGTGTCTGAAGAAAAAATAAGAAAATATGAAATTTTCAATATTTTTTTTTATACGAGGGATGATTTTCCTAAGTTTGACGGCTAGCAAGGAATTTTCCTTTTGAGGGATGATAAAGCATTCCTTGAACAAGCATCCTTCCAAATTTGAACATAAAACATCATCTAGGTGTCTGAAGAAAAAATAAGAAAACATGAAATTTTCAATATTTTTTCATACAAGGGATGATTTTCGTAAGTTTGACGGCTGGCAAGGAATTTTCCTTTTGAGGGATGATAAAGCATCCCTTGAACAAGCATCTTTTCAAATTTGAACGTGAAACACCATCTAGGTGTCTGAAGAAAAAATAAGAAAATATGAAATTTTCAATATTTTTTCATACAAGGGATGATTTTCCTAAGTTTGACGGCCGGCAAGGAATTTTCCTTTTGAGGGATGATAAAGCATCCCTTGAACAAGCATCCCTATAAATTTGAACGTGAAACACCATCTAGGTGTCTGAAGAAAAAATAAGAAAATATGAAATTTTCAATATTTTTTTTTTATACGAGGGATGATATTCCTAAGTTTGACGCCTTGCAAGGAATTTTCCTTTTGAACGATGATGAAGCATCCCTTGAACAAGCATCTTTTCAAATTTGAACGTGAAACACCATCTAGGTGTCTGAAGAAAAAAAGGGAAAATATGAAATTTTCAATATTTTTTCATACAAGGGATGATTTTCCTAAGTTTGACCGCCGGCAAGGAATTTTCCTTTTGAGGGATGATAAAGCATCCCTTGAACAAGCATCCCTATAAATTTGAACGTGAAACACCATCTAGGGTGTCTGAAGAAAAAATAAGAAAATATGAAATTTTCAATATTTTTTTTTATACGAGGGATGATATTCCTAAGTTTGACGCCTTGCAAGGAATTTTCCTTTTGAACGATGATGAAGCATCCCTTGAACAAGCATCTTTTCAAATTTGAACGTGAAACACCATCTAGGTGTCTGAAGAAAAAAAGGGAAAATATGAAATTTTCAATATTTTTTCATACAAGGGATGATTTTCCTAAGTTTGACGGTTGGCAAGGAATTTTCCTTTTGAGAGATGATAAAGCATCCCTTGAACAAGCATCCCTACAAATTTGAACGTGAAATATCATCTAGGTGTCTGAAGAAAAAATAAGAAAACATGAAATTTTCAATATTTTTTCATACAAGGGATGATTTTCGTAAGTTTGACGGCTGGCAAGGCATTTTCCTTTTGAGGGATGATAAAGCATCCCTTGAACAAGCACCTTTTGAAAGTTGAACGTGAAACACCATCTATAGTCCGACAAATACCATTTTAAAGTCACGTGATACTGGTGGCAAAAACCATATGTCCATTGATTATGTCGTTGATATCACCTACAAAAAGCTACTGGTGGTTAATTACTATTGAATTTTAATATATGTTCCCACTAGCATTTTACAAACGCGTTTCTGAAGTAGTATTGACCAATCAGAGGGCAATTTTAATACTTGCAATTGTTGCGAGACTCACTTTTGTTGCATCTGCTGTCTGTTGTAATACATTCTGAACTTAAACTGAGTACCCGTTTTCTATTTGCTTCTTTTCGAGTTGGAAAAAGGTTAATATAGTCAAAATTATTAGCTGTGTTTGTTCGTTGTATTACTTTCGAAAATAACTTTGACAAAGTAATTGATGGCAGTGACGCATTCTATTTCAGGTAAGAATATTATGAACAATAATTAGACAGCAATTTTTTTGTCAATTTTACTATCACCGCTGTTTGAGATGTATTCAACAAGGATAGAGAAAAATCACGTGACTTTAAAAAGGTATTTGTTGGACTATAGGTGTCTGAAGAAAAAATAAGAAAATATGAAATTTTCAATATTTTTTCATACAAGGGATGATTTTCCTAAGTTTGACGGCTGGCAAGGAATTTTTCTTTTGAGGGATGATAAAGCATCCCTTGAACAAGCATCCCTATAAATTTGAACGTGAAACACCATCTAGGTGTCTGAAGAAAAAATAAGAAAATATGAAATTTTCAATATTTTTTTTTATACGAGGGATGATATTCCTAAGTTTGACGGCCGGCAAGGAATTTTCCTTTTGAGGGATGATAAAGCATCCCTTGAACAAGCATCCCTATAAATTTGAACGTGAAACACCATCTAGGTGTCTGAAGAAAAAATAAGAAAATATGAAATTTTCAATATTTTTTTTTATACGAGGGATGATATTCCTAAGTTTGACGCCTTGCAAGGAATTTTCCTTTTGAAGGATGATAAAGCATCCCTTGAATAAGCATCCTTTCAGCCACCCGATACATATGGGGATTTTGGAAACCATTGAAGATACAGGATGGACCAAATGAGGAAAAAGTTGCGCAATCAAGTGCCTACAAATAATCTGTACCTATTCAATTTCTTTGAACTCGAAATAGCAACAGACATATGTATACAAGGCAAAAAAGAAAAAAGTGCGTTTTATAAAATTCTTGTATTGTACGTTTCATCCAGTCCCAGTCCTATACCTACCCTACCCTAGATGTTTCGTGATTGTTTCTGTCTTAGGTATCTGTTATAATAAACAAGATATGAAGGAATTTATAAAACTCACTCTTTTCTTTTTTGCCCTGTATATCTGTTGCTATTCCAAGAATCATCCAAACAATGGTGAACTTTTTTGGGTATTTTGCAATTTTTATTTTAAAATTTCCTAGAATGGACAATGTATATTTTGAGTCTAATGCAAATCCTAGAGATCCAGAAGATAATCATCAAATTTCATACCCATTTCTGATAATTTTACTTTAAAATGAATATATTTTATCTTAAATATTTCATCTTACAATGAAAAGTGCAGGACATAGAATAATGATTTCCAAAGTTGGATTTTGCGGTCAAATCTTCTCGTGCCATAAATGAACAACGATTTTTTAATGTTTTTTTTTTTTTTCCTCCATTTTCTAGTAACTGGGGTACAGAAAACAACCCGTCCTTCAAGTATCACAACGGCAATCAGGAACCCAAGGGCTTTGGTGAGTCACACGGCTTTTGTCAAATACAGGCAAAATTAAAAACCCCAATTATTCCAGGTCATATTGGTCTAGAAGTTCCCGACGTCTACAAAGCATGCGAACACTTTGAAAAACACGGAGTCAACTTCATCAAGAAACCAGATGATGGGCAAATGAAAGGGATTGCTTTTATTACAGATCCGGATGGTTACTGGATCGAAATTTTGAACCGAAAAGTTACTACGGACATTGTCGAGGCCTTTAAATAATTTCTGAATAAAAACCAATATTTTTAATTTATATGTAACATATTATTATTATTATTATTATCTGAAACCATAAATAAATATCACATACCTAAATCCTATTGACAATAAATTTTTGACTAGAATTATACCAACCAGAGGGTTAGTAAATAAATTAAAAAATAAATGCAATTTCTTCTAAAAATATCCATTTGGTTAGTAAAAATTAACCAAACCACAATAATTTGTCATAGACTTAAGTAAATATGAAACTATCAAATTATTAATAGGGAATTTGATTCTGATAATATTGAATCATATCGTAAGTACGCGTTCTAAAGTTCAAAAAGCTATTCCTGATTATTTGTAGCATATAATTTGCAGCCTCTTTGTCGTTTGCGCCCGGATTAAATCTACCCCGTAAAAGTTTGATGGTTTGCCCTCTGAAACATGGCAATCCTGTGTCCAGCATAAGAGACACTAGCGAGATTATGGCTTCTTGATGAGGCCTGTCAATAATTTTTCACAATAATGTATTTGCGTCACAAAACAATTCAAAAGTAATTATTTACCTGACAGCCAAATAGGCGTGAACGCACAAGTCTGAGAACCATTTAAATGGTGCCGCTTCCATTTTTCCACCCATTATCATTACCATTTCATCGGTTAGTTTTATATCAGGCTCGAAACCTAAATTGCCTCCAGGTGAGGATTCAAACATAAAACCGAAATCTACAATAATTAAATAATTAATCGTTTAACACTGTTGGTTTTAATACCAATATGAATAATGTGGCCTTCAGTGTCCAACATAATGTTGCCGTTGTGTCTGTCTTTGATTTGCAACAAGAACCCGATGACGCTGTAAGCGGCCATCGATATAATGAAATTTCTACGGGCGATTTGGAACTCTTTTGTGCTGTCGTCGCCGTACTTTTTCAAAAAATACTCGTACATTCCTATGTCGGTTTGTCGTCCTAGTTGGTCACGAGATTTTGCATTGGGGACACACTCAATCACACCACACTGAAATTATTAATTTGAAACTTTATAATAAAAGGTTGCATTCAAATCTTTTCTCTACTGGTAAAAGGAAAAGGCTCGTCAGCTTCAGAATAAAATAAAATATTATGGAGGGATGTGGTGTGACAAATGAAGAATGTTCCTCAACTGAAAAATCTTACCCCTGGTGCAGTGGCAACAACCCTATAAGGAAACAAGTACAAATCCAACCCGACAGTCTGAAAAACATTTTTGAAAATTCCAATCACTTGCAAAGCCAACATGTCCTGCCTGACATCGTCGCCCACTTTAAATATCGCCGCTTGCCAAATTTCCGCATCCAACGAGCGCTCGTATGTCTAAAAAAATTAAATCAAATACAAATTAGATTTTACGTCGATAGTACCTCGTTTATAGAAACTGCCATGGCGATATTTTCCAGCTCTTGAATGCCGCACCTGGCCACTTTGAATCTGGCAAGGTACGGGGCTTTGGCGGCACTTTGCATCGGTATGCCGCTTTTGTAGTCGATATCCAGTACCATGGCTTCGGGATTACTTGGCAGGTAGCAACCGGGTTGAACCTAGACAATTTTAACAATGATTTTTTTTTTGTTCAGAAAGTGCAATTTTAAAACCAACAATTATTATTTGTCAATACTTACTTATAATATGCTACAATTATAAAGATGGCACAAAAAACGTGCATACAGCAAAAATCTAAAAAGTTGCTTGTTCTTACCTTAATTTTACTTAATGCTTCTAAACAGGCACGACGTCTTTCGGGTCCCTTAGGATAAGGTCTAATTTCTCCGGAAATATTTGTAATTTTGTCGAAAAAGTCAAACTCCCTTTCGTAGAACATTTTCGCCGGTCCCGAAAGCTCACCCACAATATTATTTGTTAAAGATTCTAGTAGTTCAAATAAAATGGCTAAAAAACAAATACAAATATGAGACTATTATACAAAAATATTCTAATAAGCCTTACGATCTTTAATTTGCATATCCTCGTCAGTATACATATTCGTTTTCATATTCCAAATAAGCTGATGGGCTACTATTTGAGATTTTTTAGCTATCCACTTGATGAACTCAGTTACATAACCCATCTGAAAACAATTCAAAGTCAAAGCCCGGAAAACAATGGGCAAACCACCTAGGAATTCTTTGCCAAAACTATGGGGAATTTTTGCGAAATTTGTGGGAAATTGGAGGAATTTATGAGAAATTGGGGGAATTTATTGGTTTTAACACTGATGAGCGTGATAAAAATAGAAAAATACATTTTTTATCATAAACAATTTTGGGGTTTTTTAGGGAGTTTGTAACAGCTGTAGCAGATAGAAGAGTTCTGAACCTGAAACTAAGTTCATAAAGCCAAAAGGGAATTTTCCGCGCTGTAACGACAAGTAACCAGGTATGATCATACTATGACGTCATGGTATCTCATTTGACATATTAAACGGTGAGGTATGAGGTAACCCTAAGTAGAAAAAAAAATGGTATGATGTAACTACAAGTAGAAATGTTACATGGTTACAGCGCGGAAAATTCCCTCGAGTCAGCAGAATCATAGCCTTTGGTGCAAACACCCTTCGACAAAGCGACATTAAAGCGAAGAACGACACGCTGACTACGTCATCAGTGGTACTTTTGCGTAGTGGAGAGCTTGAGATTTGAACTACACAGACCTTATGGGCAATCCTGTAGTGTTTTTTATCCTTGCGGTTTCAGTTCATTTGAAATTTCTCCAGGAACAACACTGCATATACCATATACCTATCATTTATGAAGGCTTTGGCATGTCCCAAGTGAAGGAAAGTTTGTCTGGCTAAAAATTTGCGGTTTTTCAGTTTTTCACCTGCCAGACATATTACCCATACTCACTGATCAGCCAGACTATTTCTTTTTTTTTTATTTTGGCTCTATCTTTTACTATTAGAACTATTTTTATCACTGGAAATACGAGTGCAGTAAATTTGTCTTTTCTTCGGTATTTTCTAACGCATTTTCCTCCTTAACCCATCGAACCCCCCCCCCCCCCTACATATATGAATTTTTCTTAGAATAACCAACCGGATAAATTCTATCGGTGTTTGCTGACTGGGAAAATAAGTACCGAAAATATTCACTGCCTCCTAGACTAATACTGATGATTATTTTAATCATAAATAAGTTACCTACCTACTCGTTAAGTTTACTAGAAAGTCAGAAATATTAGATAGGTAGGGTAGGTACTAAATATATTTTATTTTGTTAGAAATTTTTCATTTTTTCAATAAAATTCATGTAACAGGAATAAATACAAAAATATGGTGTGTTTTACTTTTCATAACCTTGAGTAAGTAGTTAATGAATTCGTCAATCTTGAAGAGAATTTCATTCATCTGTCAAAACATAATTGCACACTAATGGGTGGCATTTGACATTTTTTGTGACCAGTGACATTTTTATACTTACGAGGGTATATACTAAAAATTCAAATTTTTGATTCATGGAATTCTCCCATAAAATACAACTCGAGCAATGGAAATAAATCTATAATTTTTCAACTGAAAATGCACTCGGGAAAATTTGACAAAAATTTTCGATAATTTCCATTGCTTTCGTTATATTACTATCGAATAAAAGATTTCCTGTAGGTAGCTCCTTTGAAACATTATTGAAAAAGAAACTAAAACGATTATTTGAAGGACGAGACGAGATTAGTCGAGAATCTCGTCTCGTCTCGCTTCTTTTAGTCTCGTCTCGACTCGTCTCGAAGTCGAGACTAAATGGCCTCGAGACGAGACGAGATTAGGGCGAGACGAGACGAGAGTGTCATTTTAGTCTCGTCTCGCGGCATCACTACGGGCAAATGACAAGTACCAACTGCCATAATGACAAACACTCGCATTTTTTCAAATGGAACACCCTGTATATTTTTGGCTTATTTGATTTATTTTTTCCTTTAATTCCATATAGGTATACCAAATATGTTGATATTTGGTTCAGCTATTTCTGCGTTATTTAAGTTTAAAATTGCATTAGGTAACTTCACCATTGATAAAAGGAACCGAGAAGAGACCTAAATTGGGGTAATGTGAATTTGTTTAATTTTCCTCAGTTTTGGAATAAATAAAGTTCTTGACTTATCAACAAATAAATGTTTTATTACACATTTCACACATTGATCTACAACTCTACTCATATAAATAGGGGTTTTCACTTAAAGCAGAAAATTCCCTGAAAATTCCCATTTTGGAAACATTCTTGGGAATATTTCCAAAGAATATTCCCAAAAAATAAATTCCTGGAAATTTACCATCACTAACCAGATACTGAAAGATATTCAAAATGGTATAGGCTCCTAAGAGCATCTGCATGTATTTTAAGATTTATACACAACATAAAAAATAAAGAAGAAGGTAGACGAAAAGGCGAACTTGAAGTTGATGAAATTGAACACGCAGAAAGTTATGGATAAAAAAAAAATCAAAGCCAGTGTTTTGAAGATGATATTAAAATAATAAAATCTGGAAATCAATCAAAGAAAAATTCTAAACTATATAAATTCTCCCCATTTTCAGATGATGCCCAAATTTTAAAAATCGACAGTAGAATCAAGTATGCGGATATAGAATTTGATTCCAAATTTCCCATAATATTACCACCTAAAGATACAAGATATGTTGAGTTGCTTATATAGTAACTACCCTGAAACTGTTAGGCACATTGGCCAAAAAACAGTTCTCAACAATTTAAGACAAAAATTCTGGATAATACGTGGTAGACAAAGTGTTAAAAATGTTATCTGTAAATGTCAATTCTGTAAGGTGAAGAAACTTAAAGTTTTACATCCAGAAATGCCACCATTACCAGAATGCCAGTTAAAAAATGATTGCAGGCCATTTAGTTATTGTGGAGATTATTTTGGACCATTACAAGTGACAGTAAAAGGAAGCACAGAGAACAAATATGGAGCGATATTCACATGCTTGAATTCAAGAGCTGTTTATATCAAAATAGCAGCTTCATTAAGCACAGATTCTATACTGTTGGCATTAAGAAGATTCATTGCAAGACGAGGAAAACCACTAGAGATTTAGTCAGACAATGGGACAAATTTTATTGGGGCTGAAAGAGAAATGAAAAAATATTTGGATGAAATCGACGAAAACAAAATAAAAAGAGAAATGACATTTTTAAATATAAGATGGCATTTTAATCCACCAGGCGCTCCTAGTATGGGAGGAGTTTGGGAAAGAATGGTGAGGTTGGTAAAACAAGTCCTATATTCTATATTAAATAAAAAAAGACCATCTGACAAACTCCTTAGCACATTTTGTTTGGAAGCAGAAAGTATAGTAAATTCTCGACTAATAAGATATGTTTCATCTCATGAAGAATAAAACTTGAGTGCTTTAACTCTATGCATTTTTTAATTGGAACAGCTAGTACAGACAACATGCCAAATATTTCTAAACCAGAAAATATCTTTGGAAGAAAACAATGGAAAATTGCACAAATTATGGCAGACAATTTTAGGAAAAAATGAACAAAACAATATTTAGCGACTTTGACAAAAAGACAAAAATGGCATGTTAAGTGTACACCTCCAAAAGTGGATGATATTGTAGCTTTAACATACACAGAAGCAAGAAATAAATGGAAATTAGCTAGAGACACAAAAATATTTCCTGGAAAAGACGAGCAAATTAGAAGCGTAGAAATTAAAACGCAGCTACTTCTTCACTTGTACGCCCTGTAAATGGATTACTTTGGTTGGAAGTGGAAGAATTGTCAATCAGTCAGAGTGGATAGATGTTTTTAAAAAAAAAAATCACGAATATTCTAGGGTGGTTTATTCCATAGACCTTGTTCACCTTGGTGGAAATTAAAGTAAAAAAACCTCGAAAAAAGCTTTGAAGCTTCAACAGCTAAAAACTATTCAAGCTGCATTGAAATTATAATGATTTCTAGAGGATTTAATTGACTTTATTTCAAGTCTAATTACGTTAGGATCGGATTGAAATCAACCAAGATGTGAGGTAAAATATGGTTCAATGGTCATTGGTTCAATGTCATTTTGGAGAACATTACGCTTCAAAAAATGATATTGGAGGACAGACAAAAAAATTAAATTAAAACCAGAAAAATTATGTGCTGTCTTTTGTGCTGGGGTATTTTAATTTTTGGATTCCGAGCGTGCATTAGGGCCTTGTTGAATTTACTAACATTTTCCTACCCTGACGAGCGAATATCCTAGCAAACAAATTGAAAAATCAATCTAGAGCTATTGGCTCAAAATAACAACTATAGCTGAGTAGCCTCCCGTACGGGCTGGTGAGACTGGCTAACAAAAACTCTTCAGTATTGAATATAGGTAGTGTTGATTCAATGTAGTGTGTGGAATTAAAATTTTAGCACAAGAACAGAAGCGGTACCTAATTTAAACTTTGATTGAATTAAATTATTGAATTAATGACTCACAATTATCATAGAAATGACAGAGTATGTTTTGATTTTTGAGGAATGTTCGATCGAGGGTTTCTCTGCCGTTTTCTTTGCCCTCGAGAATTCCATACTGAAAACGGTACGATTTACTTTAATAATAAAGTAGACGTTTCACAAAGTTTTCGTTTCTTTTACATATCACAGCTTCCCTTAAATTTCCTAAATATTCGCTATGTCGGGCGCACAGCCAGTAAGTAAAATTGAGTAGGATTCCACAACGTAGGTCCTATTGGTTTTAAAAGGTAATAAAAATTCACACCGTTTAATCTTACTAAACGAACCCGGGGTTGTTATACTATAGTTTCAACATTGAGCGTACTAAAAATGGAAAAATACATTTCTAATCACGAACAATTTTGATGATTTTCACGGAAATTGTAACGGGCATTTGCAGGGAATTTGCGAGCAGTTTGAAGGAATTTCCAGGAAATTTGGAGGAATTTGTGGAGAATTTGCGAGTAGTTTGAGGAATTGTTTGCATAAATTCGGTGGAGGGTGGTTAACCCCTCGCTGAAAATTAATAAAACTATTACCTTATCATGCCTTAAACTTTGGACAAGTTGCGGAATGTAAAACAGCACTGCGTCAGCTTGGTAAGAGCTTAAAACCCTGACCGCATATTGGGCGGAGATTGGATGAGACGGAAATTGTCTACTGAAGTATGCCAGTGCCTGTAATTTTAATTATGGTTATTTCTATGATTCCATGGGCGATTTATTTTCAACTTAGCTAGAGGTACAATCATTTTCATAAATAACTAAACAAGTTCTTGCCTGTATTGGTGATACTCTAGCCCAAGTCAGCATGTGCACCAACTTAGGACTGTCGGCCAAAATAGCCTCGGTGGTGGCCAAGTATTGCAGAGCCTCTGGCACGTGAGTGACTGAAGTGGGATTCATTTGAACCTGACTCTTGATTTCGCTGATTATGGCTTCGTTGGTCTTGAATCTAGTAGGTAAATAAACAGCTAAGACGGGCGATATTTCCCAGGCCAGACGCGTATAATCGTGCCACTGTTTGTCGGTTATCGTTTTAGCTCGCCAGGAGGCGATGTTTTCCTCGCCTGGAATTATCAATTCAGGCCTGAAATAATTGAGTTTTAATTTAATTTGACAGAAAAAATAAAGTCCTATACCTAGAAGTGGGGTTGTGCCAAACTACCAAAAACTCAATTTCTACTGCCAACAGTTCCAAAATCAAATTACGTTTTTTCAAGTAGCATTTCACAAAATTGTCGGCCATTGGTACTTTTCTTGCCGATTTGGCTGATCTCTTGCTCAAAGTTGCCGTACTTGTGGAAAGGGGCATTGTGTTAATCCAGCCTGAAGTTGGCCTGGCAAAATCGCTCGGTTTTGCCATTTCGTTGTTTTGCACGCCAGAGATCGGAGTTGTAGGACCTAAATCTAAGAATTCTCTTTTTACAGTAACTTATACATTAATTTTAATAGACCAATATGCAATATTTTCATAATTAGATTTGATTGAAAATATCAAATACAATTCTTACCTCCTACATCACTAACTTTTAAGTACTTCTTATCGGAATGTAAAGTTTGCCAAAATCGAACTAGTGTAGTAATATCGTCTCTCAAGTCGTTCGAATTTTGAGTGGGGCATTTGATGGGCTTGCAAAAATAATCCAAACACGAACAATAAATTCTTTCTCTCAAAACATTCTTGGCTAAACTTTTAGGCAAAATATCGCCTTGCAACAGTGACAAACCACAAGTCATGAGTCTAAATTTACAAGAAAAACATTATTTGCAGATTACTTTTTGTGTAGCTTACTTAAATCTAACTCCAACAGCAGATGTATGTCTTGTAATAGCAGGAGGATCAGTACCGACAGACATGGGCAAAGAGTGATGAATCAAACTAGCAATCATTTCCATTTTTTCATAGCTGCTATACTTAATCGTTTCAACTAATTCGCAAATAAATTGCACCCATATCACGTGAGGCTTTACAAAAGGAGTATCTGGATCTAGATCACAACCTATAATTTTTTGTATTAAAAACAATTCATATTTCCATAGTTAAAGTTCACCTTCGTAAACAGCCAAAGGACTGGTTTGTGGTCGCGTAGTAGAAAACAACCCAAGTTTTTTCTGAATGGTACATTTCCAAGCCGCAACCATTTCCTGAAGAAATCTCATTTCCAGCTCTGGTTTGGACGTTATAAGCCATTGCCAACATTCCACTGCCGTTCTCATGGCTTCCACACTAAAAACTTCAACTTGTGAAGAGGCAATTGCATGAAGTAAGGTTCTATTGAATTCTGATGTGTGAATTAAAAGAGCTGTAGCTTGCCATAAAGCGTCTCTGTGCAAAGAGTCCGATTGCTGGCTACAAGCGCTTCGAACTCTTTTTAATATTGCTGTTATTAGTTCTTCTATTTGGTCTTCTCCATATATTGTCAGCATACCAATTACCTAAAAGAATTTTCGCTATAATGTTAGCTAAAAAAGTGGAAAGTTTCTACCTCGCCAATATATTTTGATCTCATGGCAGAGGTGGATATAATTTTACTAGAGTCATTTTTAACACATTTAGGACGCTTCTCCAAAGTAGATATACTCAGAGGGGCGCTGTATAAATTCAATGGGCCAAATTGTAAGATAGATTCCAGCGCCATCGATAAACCAGTATGGTGCCACATACCTGGAATTGTAAGTCAATCAATTAGTTACTATACATATAAAAAGACAAATTACCTGATGTTGGTATTTGATTAATATACTCTTGTATATGAGACCTAGTCCATTGCGGAGCCCATCTCATAGCTTCTTTAATAATCCTTTCAGAATTGGCAGCAAAATCCTTGATTATAGACTCTCTAGCTTCTAAAGTGTCCATTAATTGTATAGAATACGGAGTCGTAGGTATTCTCAAAGTAGGTGTTTCTTGATTCGGATCAATTTCCAGCGAATACGAGAGAACTTGTAAAATATCCAGCATAGTCCACAATACCCGTCTGCTCCATAACAAATGCGGAAATTTATCAACCAAACTAGCCAAGAACTTATCGGAAACCCTCCTGATTTGCTTATGAGTGTGATTGAAATTTACAAGTAGGAATTGAGCGTGCTGTTCCAAGTCGGCTTCGCGCGCCTCATCTCTGGGCTTGTTTTTCATTACTTCCAGAAATTTTTCAAAAACTCTATCGCTTACTGAAGCAACGCAATTCCACATACCACTTTTGTCTTTTTGAAGTGCCGAATCGCTTAGATAATCGGATATCATCGGTACTAGACTTGGCTCACCAGAATGCTGAACCCTAATTTTATATGCGTATTTAGTTTGATGAATATTTAAGTTTAGGTCTTACCTTAGAGTCTCGACCCAATACACACTCAACAAAAAAGTACACTGAGCAAAACTCAACTTGTTGTTGACGATAGCAGTGACGTCTGCTGGGTGCCTAAGCAAATCTAGAATTTGGTTTTTAAGCTCTTGCAGTTCGGTAATAGAAACGCTGTCGTTTCTAACGGCGCTAGTGTATTGAAGCTCTCTCATTTCAGAGCGACTTGAAGTCGGCGAAACTAAAGCTGGTGATTTTACGGCGATTTCTTTAACACCCTCGTACCACTCTTGAGGCCAGAGACCTAGAGATGTTTTTTTTTTATTAATACGGTGGTACTTTTTAGTCAAGTGGCTTGCCTGATTCCGATGCAGTGAAACCCATTATGACGCAGTACAGCCAGAAGTCTCGGAAAAGTTTGTGTATTCTTGGTTTGGGATTTCTGATTGGAGGTAGTCGTCTGAGGAGCACTGCGATTACTGGGATAAGTACCCCCAGATTACCGGCAGAGCTTGATGCTTTTAATGCCCCTAAGGAGAAATTATTATATTTTCATGCACAACAAAAAATGAATCATAAACAGTTTAAAAAATGAGACAGGAAAATCTGGCATATTATCATTGCAATAAATTTGTCGCTCTATTGTTAGTGGAACCTCCAGATAATGTATCCCTATTTCACGCGGCTTCTGGAACATGGCAATACAACCTTTTCGCCCAAAGGTTTGGCAATTATCAGCTTTTTGTATATATTGTATCAGATAGCCAGGCGGTACTAAAAGCCCTGAACTCCTACTGGATTACTTCAAAACTGACGAGGAACTGAATCGAGTCATTGCTAGGCACCAACAGGGTAACCTTACTCTGGATACCGGGGCATCAGGGCATTATTATTACGTAGATATTATCCATTATTACAAGATAACACAACATCATCAGTCTGGTAGAGTGATGAATTTCATAAATTATAAAGTTATAAAACTATCTTTAGCTTAAACGCAATAATATTAATAGTTTTAGCTAGAATTAACTTTATCTAAAAACAATCTTGACAAACTTTACAAATGTTACTTGGAAGATACAAAAAACATAGTTTGAAATAGAAGTAGGTATTACAACAAGCAATCATCATTAGTATAAATCTACTTATTTAGACAGAGATTGAAATGACAGAATTGAAAAAAGCATGGACACACAATGTGCGAAAAATATTAGATGCTTCTTAAAAAAATAAACAGTATCATACCCATCATGGATTCTTTAATCTTAAAAGGGGCCGCCTCTAGAACTACACAAAAACGCTATTCTTTATCAAGAATTTAGATTACAACAAAAAATTCTGCTTACCTGGTGACTTATCACTGGCCCTTTTGCCTTCCAAACCCAACTGAACAAAAAGTTCCAATAAACGGCCCAGCAGCTCATTCATTTGTTGTTCTCCTTGAATATTGTCAGCAATATTTGCCAAGGCATTGATTACAGATCTTGAAACGTGCCTGTAAAACATTATCATATCATGATAGACTGCAAAAGACAATTTAGGGTTCACAAAATCTCAACCAATCTTCTCAATGATGGAAAATGGGGATGAGTTTTGGTATATCGGATCTTATTGTTCCACAACTTTGTTGTTGAAAATCTTTTATTATGAATACTAATACTAGTTGATGTTCAAATGGAATTTGTAGCGAACTTTAATTTTATGGAATTTATTTATAAAAATACTGGAAATAGAGAGCGTTGGAGTCTTGACAAAGTTGAGAAGGAATCTGTAGACCAATAATTATTGAACCTGAAGCTGTTTCTCAGATATTGTCTGTGAGCCCTCAAAAAAATATTTGAGTGTAGACCAGTTCTTTGAGTCATTATTGAATTTAAATATTCCTCTCCTACCTATATTGAGCCTTGTCACTAGCATTTCCATAAGTAGAGCTGCCACTCTCAACCGTAATCATAGTGAACATTTTCATAACGACCTCATAGACGTGCGGTTCACATTGCGCTATAATCATACATCCCAACTGATCAACAATTAAAGTATCCAAAGCTGAAGGCACCCTGCAAAATCTCTGCTGAAAAAATTGCAATATCGTATCTGTAGTTTTGGGTGTGCCCTTCATTGAAACGGCCACGTGACCGAGCATGATGACGATATTGGTCGATATCAGGGTGGATTCGCTGTCACTTTTTTCGGCCGTAAATAGTCGGTTTGAAACTGAAGCAACCAAAGCCCGGACGCAATCTGGGTCTGTGGCGTGGGCCGCTTCGAGGGCGTAACATAAATTTTCTATTGCGGCGTCCCTTAGTTTTTCAAAGGCCCCTTGAACTGGTGATGTTTGTTGTTTGGTGGTTTCGGCTTTTAATTGATTTCCAGTAGCTGAAAAACAATAATGAATTGAGAATTATCGTAATAAGATTCTTACCGATTATTTTCAAGTTTTCTTTGCCTTTTTCATTAGCTTGTCGATGCAATTTTGATAATATGGGCGATGGAGCTATTAGGAAATCCCTTAGGCAATATATAGAAGTTGAGGAAATGTTTGGGAATTTTTGAGCTAATTTGCCCAAGCCTTCCAAGCAAACCATAAGTAGGGGCATGTGAGCTAAAACCAATCTGTAGCCGTGGTTGGAGTTGATTTTTTCCGAAAGTCTTCCACAAAGGCTGTCTGCACCTAAATATAACAAATTGAATTAAACATGGTTGTTATATAAAAAAAACAATATTGAAGAAAATTTGCAGAAATCCTTGTTAGTCGATCAAACCATTGAAACAGTAAAAAGTTAATTACTTACTAAAAATCATGGGTAACATATATTTATTAAATTCTTGGGACAAACAAAAAAATTACATAATTAGTCAAAGTGTAGACTACAAAAAATTTATATTTTTGAACTAAAAAAACACCAAGAGAAGTTTCAAGATAATAATTGTGTAAATTAAAAATTCTCAAAACTTTTCCCCTATTAAAACATCACAAAAAAGCAAGACAAAAAAACATTCTTATCACCTAGCACAGTTGTTAAAAACTGCACCAAAGTTGTAAAGTTATATTCCAAGTCAACTGCAAGAAATAAAAACAGAAATAATAAAGAAGATAGAGGTAGGAGAGTGCATAGAAAGACTTAATGTTATTGTATATAAGGATAGATACAAATGCAAATTAAAGTAAATTTTTAGGGTTACATAATTTTAAAAAGTTGAACTGGATTTCATGTTTGTGAAAGTGAATGTTTCTTGAGGAAACCTCAACAGTTTTGGTGCCTTGGAAAGAGTCTCATTAATGTGTGAAGTATGGACTGAATCTGATCTGTACGTGCAAGTGGAAGAATTAAAAATAATTTCATTTAATAATTTTGTCCTGTCATACAAAATTCAAAATTTGACACCGAGATGAGCGCATACGCGTACCAAAGAGGACATATAAAGTCCGTCGATTTTAATCTGATACTCCAAAAAAATGTGAGCCGGTGATTCCCTACGTTAGAGCGCCAATGGTCACCCGACGTCACACCTGTTTTTACCATATATTTCACCCCCTCGCTCCTCCATACGGAAAGTGTCGGATTAAAATCGATGCACAATAGATACCATTAGAAACCCGAATAACAACAACGAATCGATATTGGCAAAAAGGAAAATACCAAAAATTCATCTTTTATCGCAAAATTCCTCAACTTTCGATCGTGACTTCACGGTACTTCTTTACTGCCTTAATGTAACCAACCAACTGGATTCTGCAGGGCCTTCTACACGTGCAGAACATCATCCATCAAGGTAGGTGTCGACCATTTATTTGGAATTCATTATGATATCGCAAAAATATTCTTAAATTCTAATTTTGATTGATCTTTCGCTATTATTTGCAATAATTTCTCAACAAACGTACATCATCCTTTAATCCAATCTCAGATAACTGAATGAAATATCGCTAATCTTACGTAGAAAATTTATTTATTTATTTATTTATTGGTTCTTCTTACAAACACCATACAAAACAGTAATTACATGTAAGAAAATGTACCTTCTTAGTAAAAATTATGAACATTATTTTTATGAAACAGTCCACTTTGAACTTTCAAGTCTATAATCCTAAATGAACAGAGCCTATGCTTATTTACTTTCTGAGGAAATGGCCTCCTTTAAAAGTTATTCGTAAATAAAAAATATCACTTGAAATCAGTAAGATTTTTTTGAAAAACACTTACCAGTCTCATCTCCAATAGCCCAAACCAGTAAGTCTACACATGCGGCATTTGCCATAACATTGACTTTGAATTTATTGACCAAAGCAAAATTGCTTTCTCTGTCTTCTTTTTCGCTGGCATCATGATTGCGACTCTGTAGTTCGGTTTGGCCATTAAGATATAAACCTAAAGCAAATTTTAAACATTAGCAACAATTATAGAACAAAAATGTTGAATTGAAAAATCAGAAATCCCACAACTTTCTTGAATAGAAAAACAATCAGGAACTCTTCTTTGGAGATTAGTGATGTCTCAGAATTCAGGATTTCAAGTTTCTTGAGTATAAAAAATCTGGGAAACCAATATTTGCAAAGTAACCCAGGGCTTAGAATTTTAAGGTCAGATCCAAGAGTATTCGTAAAAAACAGAAAATGTGCAAAAAGAGGATTCAGGATCTAAAAGATTCAAAAATCTGGAGGAATCGGAAGGTCTTGAGAAGCTTCTTGGAGAAGATTTAGGAAATTGCCTCACTTATCCTTCAGAATTGTAAGGTCTCAATTACAGTTTTGCAAGGGAAACCATATTTTCAGAAAAAAAAAACTAGTGAATTTGTGAAGTAATACCTAATTCAGGATTTTGAACTTGAAGATCCTATGAATTTTCTATGCAAAAAAAAAAACAAAAATTTGTGATTTTGAATTGAGAAATCAGAAATTCCAAAATTTTTCTGAATAAAAAAACAATCAGGAACTCTTCATTAAATAAATATTAGTCAAAAAACTCCTAAAGGATTCAGGTTTCTAAAATCTAAAAATCTGAAGAACAAAATATTTGCAAAGTAACCCAGGGCTCAGGATATTAAGGTCAAATCCAAGAGTAAATTGTAGATTGTATAAAAATATCAAGGGGCAAACCACCTAGGAATTCTTTATCAAAACTTTGGGGGATTTAGAAGAATTTGTGGGGAATTTGAAGGAATTTATGGGAGATTGGAAGAATATATAGGAAATTGGGAGAATTTATTGGTTTCAACACTGAGCGTAATAAAAATAGAAATTTCTTATGACGAACAATTTTGGGAATTTCCAGAGAATTTGTAACAGGCATTTGCAGGGAATTTGGAGGAGGACTTTGGAGGAATTTGCGGAAAGTTTGAGGAATTGTTTGAACAAATTCGGAAGGGTGGTTTACTCCATAGACCTTGTTCAATAAAAATTTGCTTTTACGCTCTCTTTTTATTTCCATCTTTTTCTTCTACAGGTCGATTAAAAGGATGCAAATACACTTAGTGCAAATTGAGTCCACTAATTCTTAGCCAAAACTGTGGGGAATTAAGAGGAATTTGTGGGGAATTTGAAGGAATTTATGAGAAATTGGAGAAATGTATGAGAAATTGGGAGAATTTATTGGTTTTACCACTGAGCGTAATAAAAATAGGAAAATAGGTACATTTCTTATCCTGAACAATTTTGGGAATTTAGTAACAGGCCTTTGCAGGGAATTTGCGAGCAGTTTGCAGCAATTTACTGGGAATTTAGAGGAATTTTTGGGTTATTTGGGAGAATTTGTGGAGAGTTTGGAGGAGTTTGCGACAAGTTTGAGGAATTTTGCATAAAAAATTCCACTTTAAGGAATTGTTTGCAGATATTTGGGGGAGAGGCGGTTAACCCCTTGAAAAATATTGTCAACTAGCTATTTAGGAAAGGACGGCCTGGTATTCAACCTTAATTTAACTGCCGATTCGGTCAGATGTTTATTGCACTTCAGCAATAAAATCAAATAAATAGCGGGCCAAGCCGAGCAACAGACAGACTTGAACCACTGTTAGTACCGCCACCCTGGGAACGCCCCTCTGGAGTCAAGTCTCTCCAGTGCAAGTACCGCCACCCTGGGAAAGCTCCTCTAGATGAGGATCAGTTAAACAACGATCAGCATTCAATTACTGTATTCCTTTTACCCGTTGAGTTACTCAGAGCTGCTCAATGTCAAAAGCTTGAACGTTCCTTTTAAAAGTGTGTTAAGCAGTCGAGTCGCTCATAGCGCATCCCCCTTCCCCCTGATGCACCATATTTGCGGGAGGTGGAAGAAGCCCTTTCAGGTAATGACGGTAAGTAATGTTAATTTTAAAAAATAATGATAAAATCTGAATTGTGTGTTTTGGAGTAACTCCGAGGAGCTCGTTCGGTGTAACTCGATGTATAAAAGGAATACAGTAAATGTAACATTAGCAATAAACCGACATTCATGTAATGACTCATAGCAAATATACTTACACAGTTTTATAATAACCTGAGCGAGTTTCTCTCCATTTATCCACCCTACACCCCCCGTCACCAGAGAATTTGTGACAATATGCTGGAAAACTCTTAAACTCACAAAGCCATGCCAAAAAGCAAACGAGTTTCTAACAAAATATAAGGAATGGAGATGTCGACAAATAGTCACTTTCAAGACAAGACATAGAAACAATCAAAGCTCTTTACTGGATCTATTTTTACAAGTGACAAAAAAATGATAACACAAATAGAACCTAGGTCACCATTAGGTAAAAGTGATCACATTGATAGCAGCCAGCGCCCAAATAACGCTTAAAATAAATCAAACGAGGAAAATAAAAAAACGCAACTTTAAGATTGAAAACTATGACACCATAAACGAATATATAGAACTACTATCAATCAAAGAATACCAACTCTTCGAAAACACTATCACCTCAACAATAGAACATTTCTTTCCAGAAGAAACATGCCGAACTGATCATCGAAAACCATGGCTCAATCAGAAAATCTTTAAAGAAATTGACAGAAAGCGAAAACTATGGGACAAGTATGTTAAAAATAAAACCGACGAAGGCTACGGGAGATACAGAATACAAAATAACAAATTTAAAAAATTGATCTCTGAAGCAAGGAAAAGCTATGAAGAAAATCTTCTGGAAAAAAATGACAAACACTTCTATTCTTATATCAAGTGCAATCTAAGCAGCCAGGTTCATGATTTAATCTTATGAGATCCAATAAATAATGATCTTATAAAAGACTCAAAGACCACCGGAAACACTTTTGCAAACGAATTTCATTCTGTCTACACCAGAGAAAATCTTACAAACATGCCAACTCTGCCCATAGAAACAATGAACAATTATCAACTCACTGTCATTAACATAACAACAGAAAAAGTCACCACAGCTCTAAGTAGCCTAAAAACCTATTCGAGTCCAGGCCCAGATGGGATACCATCTATATTTCTAAAGAAATGTGCTATGTCTCTAGTATCCTTATTAACCCAAATATACCAAGATTCAATAGACAATGGTACCATACCAGAGAACTGGAAAAAAGCTATAGTGATACCAATCTACAAAAGTGGTGACAAAGACCAATTATAGACCCATCAGCCTGACATGCACACTGTCCAAAGTATTTGAAAAAAATTCTTGTAAAAGAAACAACATCCTTTCTCTTAGAAAATGACATTATACCTCCTACACAGCTTGGCTTTATGCCATAAAGGTCTACTACAACAAATCTTCTCAGCTGCCTGGACGACTGGTCTACAAACCTAGACGAAGGCAAGCCAATCGACGTCATATATCTCGACTTTCAGAAAGCCTTCAATACAGTACCACACGAGAGGCTCTGTGTTTAACAAACTGAGCCATTATGAAATAAGAGGCAAGTACCTACAATGGAGCAGCTCTTTTCTTAAGCAAAGAATTTTCTATGTTCGAGCAAATGGAACCAGCTCTTATTGGTACCCAGTCGTCAGCAGAGTACCACAAGGATCTGTACTTGCGTCTCTTTTTTTTACAGTGTACATTTCTGATCTGTCAAAAACTATTCAAACCAAAGTCAAATCCTTTGCAGATGACAAAAAACTAAATGGAAATCCTTAACACAACTGCATCAACTAAAGGAAGACATGAGCACTGTAGAAAAATGGACAACCACATGGCAGCTGAAACCTCGGCTGAAACTAAATGAAAAAAAGTGTACAGTTTTACACATAGGACGAAATAACCCTAGATTTAACAACAAAATAAATAGCGTCGAACTCAGAAAAGTCTCAGAACAGAAAGACCTAGGAGTCTATGTCACCGATGATCTGACATGGGAAACCCATATATCCCACACAGTAAAGAAGGCCAATCAACTAATATACCTTATGAGGCAAGCTTTTGAAAATCAAACTGTAAAAATGATAAAAAAAACTGTACATCACTTACATCAGACCAAAACTAGAATATGGCCACACAGTTTGGTTCCCTTACCACATCAAAGACATAGATCTCTTAGAAAGTGTGTAGAGAAAAACCAAAATTCTATTTGAACCTAGAAATCTGCCATACAAAATAAGACTACAAAAATTTCAGTTGACAACATTCAGAGAAAAAAGAGAAAGAGGAGATCTAATTGGAACACATAAGATTCTAAATGGCTACTACTCTACAGACCTAAAACTGGAAGATATGCTCCAAATCAATCCAAACTCAAACCTCAGAGGACAGCACTAAAAACTAAAAAAAGAGAGAACTGTTCTTCTGGGAAGGAAAAACTTTTTAACCAATCGCGTAGTCTATAAATGGAATTCCCTAAGCCCAGAAACGATAAGTGCACCAAACAAAAACATTTTCAAAAATAGACTAGACCAAAATCTTTGTACCATAAACAACACATTAGTGCATTATTTTTAAAGAAGTACCAAAAACAAAAAACTACAAGTGAAAAATCAAAAGCGATGGACTCATCGGTCTTAGGCCGCTTTCCATTGCCAAGAACATAATAATAATAATAATAATAATAATAAAATATAATATCACAGCTCTACTTATGAACAAGTTTGTTCATTTTGCAGTAATAAACTTCTATAGGTACACAATTACCAAACCAGGCGAACAGAATTATTTAAAAAGTTTACCAAACTACATACATACATATTTTAAAAATTCAATATAAACTTTTTGATGGTTCTAATTATCAGGTTAAGAATGTATGATATTGTAATAGACTTGCTTAAGAAAATAAAGTGTATTAAATAAAAACAATTTCTCACCTTTGACAAATTCTTGCACATCTTTAGTAAAAGGTACAGGTAAATTATATTGGGGCTGCAACAATTCCCGCATCAACGTAACCATTACCAAATTAATGGTTTCTGAAAATGTTTTGTAAGGGAATATTTGAATTTTTCCTGTCGTTGAAATCTCCAAAGATTGTTCATCGATAATAGTCAACATTTCCTTGGTGAGCAGTTTCTTGCTCAAAGCTAATATAGTGACCAAATGATGCTGGGGGAAAATAATAATGGCTTTTTTATCATTCGGATCACTAATTCGCAATTGAGGAAATTGATTGAAGCAAGACCCAAACTTAGCGAAAAAATACGTAGTAGGATCGTAACTGGTAGAATTTTTGTTAATAGAGCCTCTCTTAAGCGAATTTGAAGTGTAAGCAATATCAGTAGCGTCATATCCTTGAGTTATAGCTAAAATATCAAAAGTAGCTGCCAAATTGCCAGACAAACTTCTTGGAATGATACTTCTGAAATTACTAAAACTTTTAGTGTAAGTAGCAGTTTTAGGTACAGAATTGCGTCCTAAAGGTGGTTCAGGTTTAGGAAAAATTCTGCAAATCAAGGGCGGATCGTTAAAAGAAAACTTTCCCATAGCTCTGGAAAGCCCAATAAGTACTGGCAAAGTGGTTTTGCATAGAAACAATTTCGAATTGCTGTTGCAATTGTTGGGATCTTGCAACTTTATAATGTTGTTGGTTAAATTAGCCATGCACTCGACTTGAGTGTCGATAATTTCTTTTCTGTAGTCTTCGCATCTTGCTGCAACATCACAGAGGAGAGTGTGCAAGCAAAAGCTAAATTTCTCAGCCATAGGAAGCCTATCTGTTGGATGATATCTTAGTTCATCAGGCCATGTAGCTTTTTCCAATAGTGTAGCCAAACGTAACAAGTATCTAACAATTTTTTCCTTGTGTTGCAATTTGGATTCCAGAAAGTAAATGCCCAGAGCGATAACAGCGTCCTGCTGACGGCAATTGATCGAAATTCCGCCATTGGACGATTCCATGGGGCACATACCGTATAGGATTTGTACCTTGAAGTAATTGACCAATTAGGTTTTTAATTATACTTGGTAGTTTGTACTTACCTTTTCCCATGGTGTGTTTTTGATGTTTCCCAATGACCTGGCCAAATGCATTACGGTTTTGTGGAAAAATAATTTGTCGTCTTTCGTCATGGTTTAAGTGGGACGTTGAATCGTTATTTGTTTAATTATATTTCAGCATTATATTACCACTTTTGACTAATAACACAATAATTTTCCAACTCAAACAACAAAGTTGAAATCAGCTGTTCAATACATTTGTTGACTTTTATTTAGCGGCGTTGACAAATTGTGCTGAACGGTCATGGGCGGTGGAAGGGAGCTTGGAATTTAAAAAAGTACTTTTTTTCTGTGACGGGAAAAAAGTAGACGTTTTGTACCTGTTGACAGGGGCAAAAATGTCACTTTTTTTCCCACGGGAAAAAAGTAATTTTTTTTTCCCACGGGAAAAAAGTAACAGATACCAGTCAAATTTTTTTCTCAAAAGGAATAATCTATAGATGGAAAATGGTGAGATTTTCCCGTCACAGAAAAAATAGTGTATTATACACGGGAAAAAAGTAAGATTTTAGCGCTCGCTGTGTTGTCTGTTGTCTCCCTCTGCTTCGCGTCGAGAGACAAACCACTAATACCACTAGTACTTTTTTCCCTTGTATAATAAATAACTATTTCCTTTTAAAAGATTCAGGAACAAGCTTTAGGCGTATTTTAGCGAGAGTTTTAACCCAGTAGTATGTTGTATTTACTTGGGATACCACATTTTAGCGATCATGGCTGACATACTATGACGTCACAACATAAAACACAACATAAAACTCGGCTGTAAACATGTAACCATCCTACAAGGGATAGTTACTTGTTGTAGTATGTCAGTGCATCTTTTTCTAATACACGAAAATGAGCATATTGGGCAAAACAGCTGACTACGATTACCGACACAGTTCTTTCCATTATAAATAGAGGATAGTTTATCCCCATTTTTCCATGGTTTTCTGTGATTTTATTAGAGGTTTTTTTGCAAAAAAAAAAATCTTCACTTGTGCACAAAAGTGTAATTTTATTTATTTTTTTGGCATGACGTCCCCATAAAATTCAAAAATACCACAATCTATCGAAAATATTCGAGAATCTTCACTGGATAAATACTATTGAAACATGAAAACGCAAAATTTTGTAAAATTTAACAAACCCAAATAAACAACGATCATGGCGTCCTCTTTTAGACCCTTTGCCAAATACACTCCAGCTGTTATTCGGGTAACTATGACGTCATGAATCGTAGTATGTGTAGTATGATGTTTACTGGTCGCTAAAATACGCCTATTAAAGCCCTCAAATAAAAAAAATCAAAATCAAGCCCTATTCTACTCTAGAGTAGATTAGGGCCACTGTAGCGTTTTCGTATACTCATGTTATCAAAAAACATAACCTAACTTTTTCAGTTTTTCAATCCAAAAAGTAAATACACTTTTAAATTATTTATTTTAAATAGAATTAAAATTAATTAAAGCATACAAAAATTGTATTAGTATTATTCAAGTCTCTTCGCAATATTAGTAAATAAATATGCCTCCTAAGAAGGCCGGTGGTGCAAAATCTGGAGGTAAATCTGGCAAAGCTGAAGATTCCGGCGATAAAGGTAAAGACTGTAGTAAAAAAAGACCTTCTGAATTATAGGTACTGCCTAAAGTATTTCTCTATGTCAAAATGTAATTTTAAGGAATAGTTATCTCCAAGGCTTCCTTAAAAAGGGTCTGTGCAAACGGCCATTAATAAGCTAAAATTCAGTACAGATTATTCTGATTATTACACTCATGTAATAGAAATCCCATAAGACAAGTGACGATTTTCAGAATTACAGCGAAAATTCTCTTTTCCATTTGTTTAACTAGTGAGAATTACAGCGATTATAAAACTCACTGTACATTATTCCCATATGACACGAGAGGCTTAATAAGTGATAAGCCTTTTGGGATTTTCGCGCTTGGTGGCAATATTGTTCATTTGTCATTAATAATAATAAAAATTAATAAAGTATCAAAGTTTAGTTCGTTGTATAATCTTTTGAATACCACTCGATGTTTCAGGATTATCTAATACTTTTACCTGACACTCAACGCGTTACGCAGCAACACCACGACTCCGAAGGAGGAGGCGTTTCGTGACAGTTAAAAGTATTATCCGGTAATCCTGAAACCTCTTGTGGTATTACATTCGATAATTCTCCCATGTTATTGTATACATGGTTGTCTTGCTAATTTTTGATACAAACAAATGGTTCCTGATAGCAACCCTTTATTTGTATCGATTGTTAAGATGTCCAAATCGTTTAATACATATTTATTTCCATATTTTTTGCACTCTCATACATGAAATAATCCTGTAAATACCACTTGAACTTTAAAATGAACCAGATAATTTTGAAGCTTTCGTGGTATTATCCCTGACTATTTCACTAGAGTGTATTACACCGGCAGTAAATATTTTTTTCTACAAACGTCACTAAAAGTGTCATTTTTAACGGATGCTGTCAGTGTCTAAAATGCCATTTTATGAAACTGGTGTTAAAAGTGATTACTTTTAGCACTAGTGCTAAAAGTAATCACTTTTAGCGCTGATCAGAAAATATAAAAACATAGGAAATTTTAAATCAAAATAAAATATTTATTTAATTAAACGTACAATTAGCGAAACTGCAATTAGAATAAGAAACTCCATGGCCAAACTCGTTGGTAGCAGTTACTGAATTTATTTTGGTAAAACTTGTACCAGGAGGGCAAAGAGCAATGTAATTCTCCGAAGTTTTGGGCAGAATTTGATCCGCAATGTTCTTTTTATTTTGTAGCGAGTCTTCTATATACCCCTCCGCTACTGTTAGAGTTCCATCCACCGTGTCTCTTGATTATAGTAAGATTAGCACCAGAGTCCGCCAACAAACTCGCTGAGGAACGTCGGAAACAATGTCCAGTATAAAGATGGGGATCAGGCAAATTCAGAAATTTAGCGATTTCGGCAGGGATCTTACCAAATGTGTTGATTCCAACTGGAGTCTTGGCACATTTATTATTGCTGTATTTTATAAAAAATCTTGAGTGATTGATATCCGCTGGTCGAAGGGATAGGTACTTCTTATAGTAGTTTATATACAATGTACCACTAATAACGTAATTTCGTTGCACATTAGTTTTAGTGTCTGGTATATGCACAACTAATGAAGTTCCCAAATCTTCAATGTTATTTAATGTCAAATTGCAAAGTTCTTCTCGACGGCAAGCTCCAAATACACCGAAAATTGCGGCAACTTTTCGCATAAGATGTATTTCATCCGGGGCTTCTGCGAGAAATTTATCGATTTGTTCACTCCGCAATACTTTTGACTTTTTCGGTCGATATCCTTCACCCTTTCGCTTTAAAAAAGCTACAAGCTTGTAAAATCTGCTTATGCCCTGATTATTTATGTTCATCATCGCCTTTATCATTGAGTAATTTGACCAAAGCGTAGAAGATTTCCATATTTTTGATTTTTCTTCAAAGTATGCAAGGAGCACTTTTTCACTGGCCTCCTTGCCACTTTTTTTCATCACACCATTTCAAGAAACGATCGTATGAAAACTCGTACTGTTGCTTTGACTTGCTAGGCAATAATTCAAAAGTAGCTTTATTGGCAGCTTCTTCAATTTCCGCCGGGAGAAATTCATTGTCTTGATCACTTTCCATCGCCCAGAAAATAAACCACAATGAAACTGGATGAAACCACGCAAAAACCAAAAATTGTGCAAAAACCTTAAGCAAAAATTCGTGATTATTTGACGTTACTAATCAACAATGACAAACAGAGATGACAAATAAAAATAAACAAATTCGTTTTTTTTCTTGCCAGCAACCTATTTCATAAATAAATTAGATGAAAGATTTGAAATTGAGGATTGCAAGGATGCGTTAATTGGACTTTCAAAGAGTGTTTGTAGAAAAAATAGTGTATGATATTCGTGCTAAAAGTGATTTTATTTTGTTCAAAGGGATGGAACACTCCGCCTTCGGCGTCGTGTCCCAAACTTCCCTTTTCACAAAATAAAATGTCACTTTTAGCACTTATATCATAAATAACTATTGCATTCTATTTATTTTCAAAATCTTACGTAAAATAGTCATGACAAATACCACTCGAGAAAAAATTGTATAAGCAAAATTGTTCTCAAGGTTTTATTCAAGTTTGTTGCTTTTCCGCAATTTTGCTCATGACATTTTTGATAAAAGGTCTGTTTCTGCAGAAATCACAAACCAGTCAGAGCGAATTTCATTGGTTGAAAACAGTCAGAAACAGTCAGAAAACTAGTTTCAACCAGTGAAATTCACTCTGACTGGTTTGTGATTTCTGCAGAAACAGACCTAAAATCACTCGCCTGACGGCTCGTGATTTTGTCAAAAATGTCATTCACGAAATTGCCAAGCAACAAACTTTCATACCTTTCGAAAATTTTGCCGACAAATTTTCTCTTGTGATATTATACCGGGTGGGGCACGAAAAACTTTCCACCCAGGTTTTCTCAGGTGTTAGGTGTTTAATCAAAAATCGCTCAGACACATCAATTTTTGTTTTTTGGGGGACACATTTTATTGGTATTTTCACCCCCTACCTGTGAACCCCTAAGTGGGGGTGTTAGGTACCCACAAAATTCCAAATGAAAAGGGGGGTCGAGTGATACATCATTTGATAGCTAGTTTCATTAATATTATATCCCTGAAGTTTCAAGTTCCTACTATTTACTTTGTCTAAATGGCGGCTTGTGAAAGTTAGGAAAAATCAATGGAAAAATGCTGTGTGGTTTTAACCTGTTACCTACGCATAGGTGTGACAGGTAAAGTACAAGTACAGCTTAGATTATCGAAAAAAAGCATTTACCCTAACTTTGACATGCCGCCATCTCGGCAGGGTTAATAGTAGCAACTTAAAACTCCGGGGATATAATCTCAATGAAAATAGCTATCAAATGACATATCACTCGACCGCTCTTTCCTTTTGAAATTTTTGGGGTACCTGTGTGTCCCCCAAAAAACAAAAATTGATGAGTCTGAGCGATTTTTGATTAAACGCCTAACACCTGAGAAAACCTGGGTGGAAAGTTTTTCGTGCCCCACCCGGTATATGACAATAACTGACAACATGACATACAACATAAGTAAATAAATAGGAAACACAGTAAATAAGGTCATTACCTTGTATATCTCATTAGATATACAACAAAGACAAAACCCTCAAACAACAAAATTCCAACAACACTCCCTTATTCTTTATTTCCCAATTTAGGTAAAGAGAAAAAAGGTGGCACAGCGGTAAAAGTGAGACACATCTTGTGCGAAAAACAAAGCAAATGCCTGGAAGCGTTGGAAAAGCTGAAAGCCGGACAAAAGTTTCCAGAAGTTGCTGCCACTTACAGCGAAGACAAGGCGAGATCCGGAGGTGATTTGGGATGGATGACGCGCGGTTCTATGGTGGGGCCTTTCCAGGATGCTGCCTTCGCTTTACCCATATCTACAGTTAACAGTCCAATTTATACTGATCCACCTGTGAAGACAAAGTTTGGCTATCATATTATCATGGTGGAGGGTAAAAAATGATAGGAGTTTTTGGTTATTTTTGTGTTTTGTTGAGTTTTTTAATAAAATAATGAACAACAACATACTATAGTCTTCAAAATTAATTGTTTAGTTTTTAATCTGCTTACTTTTATTCCAGGTTAAATTTTCTGTAGGTAGGTATGCTTTTGTTGAAGCAGATAAAAATTCAAGAGCCTAATACTCCTAAAAGTTGAAAGAAAAAAAAATTTGAAATTAAAGAGGAAATACCTATTTACCCTTATTTCATTCAAATTCTTGAATATTTTTTTCTATTCCAAGCTCTTGAATTTTCCTCATTCAATCGATCGATATCGGTCATTATAGGTATTTTTCAATTTTATTTTAAAGCATTACAAAAAAAAACATATATATTTGTACTTGAAGGGGGCCTTTCCAGCCCCCTTCATGCCCGGGCTTCTAAGTATCGCTTATGCACATCGCGCCACTGCCTGATTTTATTGAATCAAAGATAAGAACCTATGATTGAAACATTCAAATATTCCCATTCCCAGAAAATTTCCAGAAACTTTCCTTTCACTGGGTAGGTACTTTGAACGTGATTCACTAAAGACGAAAAATTCACCCCAAGTTGAGAATTGAAGATATTTTTCAAAATTTTTGAAAATTCTAATCGAAAGAAGCTATTAAATAATACTTGGGCGAAATAAAACTCAATATTTTATTTTATATCTTTTATTCAACATAGAGGCTTAATTCCTATAAAATGTAACTGCAATTTTATCATTCCATAATAATACAAACAATTTCTTAGATAGTAATTCGTGTCCTCAAAAATTGTTATTGAATCTCGATTCTTCTGTTTAGGACGGAATAAAAACTCTAGTAGAAACGAACTTCTAATTTGTTGTCAGTGTGATAAGTTCACAATATGTTATTTGTTTTTTGCTTTGTTTTTTGTAGTCCTGAAGAAGTGTTTAATTAAACACAAAACGTTGACATTGCGAGAAATCCAGAGTTTTTATTCCATCCTAAATTGAAGAATCGAGATTCAATAATACAAATGATTGTAGAAAGTACCTAAATAATGTAAAAAAACAAAGAATTTGAATGAAAATACTAGAAAATTAAAATCACGAAAAATTATCACTTGTTTTATACATTTCAACAATAACTCGTCCAAAATACATTAGTACCTAAAATATTAGTTGTCTTTTTTTAATAAATATATTATTATTGTTTCAAACTTTCATATTTTTAATATTTCTAGAGAAACATTAGGTGCTGTTGTTGACTTCATAAATATTAAATTTTTCTAACACACCAACAATGATAAAAATCTTTAATTTTATTAATTTTGGCTCACAAATTTAAAATTCGGATTTTTGTTTTTCGTTTGACAATGCAGCATTACGCAACAAAATAATTATTGTCAATAATTAATAATGAAGCAGAAGTGTGGGACTAGCTAGAAATGAAATAATGACACAAGCTTAAACATACTAATTCAATATATTATGCGGTTTTTTTAAATCAGTCTCAATTTTCAAGCTATTACATTTACACTCTTCAAGCGAAATATTTAAATGGCAATACACAACACCATTAGAACTTTTTTTACATCTAAACTTGCAGCACCATTTTAGAACAAGTTAATATAACTAGGCTGTCTATAATCTATCACAATGCAGCTTGAACAGCACAACAGTCTGGGGTGCCGAAATATATTGTTTATAAACGCCACGAAAAGAGGTACAAAGTGTGAACTAGAAGAAACTTTGACGTCATGTTTTTCTTGGTGGAGGCGGCGGAGCCGTACACGAATGTATGCCAGAATTTCCTGGAATGTTTTCGTAGAGCATCGGTTTTACCATTTCATCTGGAGGTCTGGAAAACAATAGGAATTTTTAATAATAATAATTGTAGAATTATCGACAATAATTGCCTATACGTGGACGATGCCTATACTTTATAATTTTTTATTTAATTTGAATAAAGTCGCCTGGAGTTGACAGCATCTTTCCAGCCCTGCTGCAAAAAGGGTAAAATGAAATCATGCCATATCTAATCTGACTCATCAGATACAGCTTAGCAACCGGATACATATCCAGTCAATGAAGAAGAGCTAGCTAGAGTAACTTTCATCTCAAATGCAGGAAAAAAGGACGCCACTCTTCCAAAGTCGTTCAGACTTATATGCCTCACATCGTTCATAGTGAGACCTATCATCACCTACGGAGCGGTAGCCTGATATAGCCGAACCCAGCTACTAACAGCTAGGAAAAGTGCACGGACTCGCGTGTCTCCGTATAACAGTAACAATGAGATCATGCCCAACCGCGGCACTAGAAGTCATTCTATACCTCACACCACTCCACATAATAGTGAAGCAAGTTGCCAGTGGATCATGTCTCAGACTGGAGAAGATAGGTCTACAAAGGGCCACGTACCTTGGCAGAACTTTTCATCTCCCAAATTGTGCACACCTCATGGATCTACCAAAAGATGTGATTGTTGATAAATTCAGTTTCGAGAAAAACTTTTCCATCGAACTAAGTAAAAAAAACAAAAACAGATGGAACATGGAATCTATCCAATTTCTTAAAGCAACCACCATCAAATGGTACACAGACGGTTCTAAAACTGCTGAGGGAACTGGAGCCAGAGTATTCGGGCCACGGAGCAGATACTCGGAGCTAATGGGAAAATCACCAAGCATATTTCAAGCGGAACCTCATGCGATCGGAAGATGCGTGCAGTTCAACCTGAACAGAAGTTATCGGAAACGAGAGATTGTAATGTCTAACAGCCAAGTAGCTATCAAAGCATTGAGATCCCCAGTCATCAATTCTGAGGTAGTATGGGAATGTCTACAGAAACTAAATGAGCTGGGAAAACAAAATAAAGTAACTCTTCTCTGGTTGGTTGGAAGACATTCCAACCCTGGAACCGCTAGATATCCTGAAATTCCTAAAGAACCTAGGACTAAAAGGGCTGATTTGAGCAAGAAACCCAAACTTAGCAGCAGAATGAGGGGTACAATAGATCAACCTCGGTCTCGGTGCAACTAACACCTCCAACACACACACATACCCAAATCAATTATAAAATAAAGTTGGTTACAAAAAGTAAAAAATAGTAAGTAAGTTGACAACTTAGCCAGAAACCACACAAAAAAAAAACTTAATATTACACACAATTGATTAGTTAATTACTATGAGAAATGTGCGGGTTATCCATGAAACCACAAAAATATGATTAATTTATTGAATGATTAAAAAATTTCATTGATGTCAACTTACGAAAAATCGTGCGAGAGGCGAGACACCACACATAAGCTCAGTCGTCAAAATGCGTTTTCTACATAGGTTTCTATTCTATGTTACACACGACACTGAACATCTAATATGAGCCTGAAACAGGTAGGTACTTGATGAGCTCGTGCTGAACTAATAAAGAAATACGAAAATTGTGAGTGTGTGATTTCTGTGTTGTTAAGTGTCAAGTGTAATTTTACAACTTTGTAAACTAGATAGCAAATAATTAATAATTTTATTAATAACATACAATAATGATTGTTTGTTGGAACAAAATGAGCCACTAGAAGCAGAAAATTAAATATTGCCCCATCAAAAAACTCTTACCTGGGCAACGGTATGTCCGAGACGACTCTTTGGGGTTTTTTAGCTTCCGGACGCAGCACGACAGGACTGGGCGACTGAGGAAAATGCGTGGTACTGGCAGGCCGGCTCAAAGATCCCATACTGTTCAAACTACTGGATAATGTGCTGCCTAGATTGCCCATATCGCTGCTGTACCGAATGTTGGTGTACTCTCTGCCAGATTGTATTGATTTCTAGAAGAAAAAAAAATGTATCAAACATTAAAAAATTTTGCTTTTCTGAATTTCAACTTCACAATCCGAATTTTATTTTCCCTATATTCTAAAATTGAATTCACAATTTGAAATAATTGAATTTATCTTCTCTGAGAAGTGAGAGTAGGTACTATACTTTCTCCAATGTACTTACTTTTTCGGCCTTTAATCGTTCCAATGTGGTTTCAATATAGTGTTCCACAGCTAAATAGACAAACTTATACTGGGCCTCAGTTTGGACCATTCCGGAACGTTGAGATCTAACCATTTGTATTGTGCGTTGTATGTCGATTTCACAATCCAGGCCGTACTTTTTCAATTGGTCCACTATCATATCGATCACTATGAATGTACCTGTCCTACCAATACCTACAACAATCAGATGAATTAATTATACATAAAAAAAATAAAAAATATTGGCAATTTATACCTGCTGAACAATGTACCAAAATGGCACCAGGAGGTTGATTATCAGGTAATTCTTTAGTTAACTCTCCTTGTCGTTTGTTGACTTCTTCCAAAAAGTTTAGGACGCAGCCAGGATCTGATGGTACTCCGTGATCCGGCCAGGCAGTAAAGTGATAATGGTAAACTTTCCTTTCTATACTAGTGCCTTGCATGCAGACTAAAAACTCTCGAAGCGTATAGTGTGGCGTGGAAGATTCCAATAAATTTTTAACTACTATATCGCCATAATCTTTTGAAGAATTTTGATCAGGCCAATACCTATATAGACAATATTTTGATTTGATAAAAAAAAAACTTATATTCAAACAATTATTATTACCTTGCACATTTATTTTTCAATCGTTCAGTTTCCTTGGTGGTCATCACGATTACCCTGCAATTTTCCTGCCAGACCATCTGCCAGAAATCGGCTACAGTAGACGGGAGACAACCCTGAGTGGCAATATAGACTTTACCGCTCGGATCGCTACCCATTTCTCCTCCCACTGAATCGTCCGTTTTCCATTTGACGTAGTTTGCGTTTATGTAATCTGCCCCTAATACGGAGGCGTCGACGTTTTTCAATTTTACTCTTGTATCGTCGAATGGTAATATATTTTTATATCTATTCTTATTCCTATTCTCTGGCTTGCTGCCCTCTTTTCTCGAATAAAGATGTTTGAATTCTTGCTGCTGCAACGATTCGAATTCTTCCCAGAAACCTGCCTTGCCAAAACTGTTTGGTCCATGTTCAGACTGAAATCGAAAAAATTCAATCAATATAAGTCAATATGAATATATTTATTGAAAAACTAAATTCGATTATTGAAAATAAATGATCATTTGGGACCTCTACAACTAGAAAAGATTGACATAAAATTATTAACAGAGTTGAAATTTTTCAAGTTTGGAAAACACTTTAAGAAGAATTGGAAGTGTTTTCATTACCGGCTCTTGATTGCCTCTGTAAGAACCAATCAAGAGCCGATAATAATCACAATTTGAACTAAAAGAGCTCTTGGTTCCTCTAGAGAAGTGAATCGGCATATCAAAAACTATAGATTGGCTATTTGCAGAACTTGGAATGCCACTTATATAAGATTGACACCAAAGTTTCCATTTTTCAAGTTTGCAAAACACTTTAATTAGAATTGTTTTCATAACCGGATCTTGATTGCCTCTATAAGAACCAATCAAGAGCCGATAATAATCACAATTTGAACTGAAAGAGCTCTTATAGGTCTTAGGCTATTACCTATTTGATGTAATACCAAGGTTAAGATGACACTTGGTAAAATAACAACAATAAAAGTTTTTACAAAAAATATTAGAAGATCTTACCTGTAATTGTTTAACTCGAGAATGTATACCAGAAGCATTAATTCTGGTAGCGTTGAACGGTTGTTTCAAATGTACAACCGTGCCAGAAGTTTCGACCATTGGATTTTTCTTGTAATGCTCAATCAATTCAGCCAAAGTGTTAAACTGTTCGCCGCCGCCTACGTCATATTTATTATCCTATTGGACAAAGAATAAAATATATGAGTGCCATAATTGCGGTTCCGGACATTAATAATTCATGATTTATATGGTTATTCGGGAATTAAAATAGATTTCCTTTTCTAATAAATTAAATAGCTAATTGAACAATAATGCTTATTTTATGGTTGAGCAAACGTTAAATTGAGCATGACTTTAAAAGAAAGTGAAACGAAATCATTATACCTATAGTTCAACAAATCTTTGACTTACCTGTGTACACCTAATCATAACGTGAGTAACTTTATCATCAGTTCGAACCGACAAAACAAAATCGCCGGGTTTCGATTGACTTTCCCTCACAAGAAAACTACCATTCTTGCCTCTATCCAAAATCAATTTTTCCGCGTCTCTACCCGACAAATGCCCATGGAACCATCTGCAACAAAACCACATTTATTAGTCGTCTATATTTAATGCACTGAAATAAAAACAAGTTTGTTCGAAACGGTCTCCTTTAAAGGTGACATAATTGATACTTACAATTAACCAGAGTTAGCGAGTATAATACCTAGTTTTTCAAGGTGCAATCTAATACAGTGTGGATCCCGGAAAAATTGTTTTTATTTTTAGAAGATAATTATTGTGTTGTGCATTTTTTACATGGAATTATAAATAGTGAAATGCCAGGGATTTTTTTTTAAAAATTGTAGATAATACTGCAATTATTTAGCGCGTATGTATATTAGGTTTTTACAATATTGTACTCTGTGGGAATTTTTTTGGGGGAATTTATAGGTATCTAAGATTATAATCTTGAAGCCATATATAAGCAGATAATCCTTGACACCATCATAAAATAGAAGAAGGTATAGAATATGGAATTAGTTAAATCAGGTTTTCTTCTTACGAGATTATCGAAGCATTGGGTTTTATTGTCATGTGTCCTTTTTAAATTTTATTATGTAACATGCAGCAGGCTAGAATGATTAGAAATTTCTAGTATAATTTCAGCTCTAGAGATAGGTGGCAAAAGGATTTTAAAAGTTAAATTTTACCTCCAAGAGAGTTAAGACTTATTTTTTCAAGACCTTATAGCTCTAGGATGGTTAGTAATCAATGTTCACAAAAACATTAATAAACGGAAATAATTAAAATTTTAATCTTTTAGTTCAAAAATCAACTTGGGATTATTTTCCGGCTGTTGGTTGGATTTCAGTGAGTATAGTTTTGGGGAAATAGAACTTATCCAATCAAGAGCCAGGAACAATCAAAATTGAAACTCAAAATTCAATTTTCTTCGATTTTAATTGATAAATTGTTCCAGATCGTTTGATTCGAATTTTTGATTTTGTTTACAAATAATCGATCCAGGATTTCTCATAAAATAATCAAGACATAAATCTTTAGAGTTGAAAGAATATTGCACAATCTCGCAACATTGCATGCTGACTTACAATGCGCTCAATAGTCCAGTAACTTCATAACACCAGTATTGATCCAGTTGGGAGTTTTTGCAATATTCGAGGGTGGTTAAGTATATTTATGTTCCCTGTATTCAATAATTATTTTTTGACACAAGTGTCAAATACAAAAGTTTTAAGAAATTGTCAAAAGTTTCCAACTAAGTCAGTTTTAGGCATACAGGATGCGTCAACAAAGTGCAGCAGTGTGAAGTAATGTTTTTTTAAATGAAACACCCTGTATATTGTGCGCTTATTTGTTAGTCCCTTTTAACCTGCTTTCAACGATATACGGTTTGACATGTCTATCTTCAATAGTTATAGGAAAAAACATGAAAACCCGTTTCAAGGTTTCATATTGAAAAAAGAAAAACTATACCATTAGGGCTTTAGAGAATTTTTATTGTTCAAATTTTATTCATTAATATACAAGGTGAAATATTGTAATAAATCCAGATGTCTAAGTTATTATTATTTTAAAAAAAAAAATAACATGAGAGATCTAGGAAGGGATTTTCGCGTTTTTCCCATTAACTATTGGAGATAAACCGAAAGACGAACATATCAAACCGTATATTGTTGAAATCAGGTTAAAGGGGACTAACAAATAAGCGCACAATATACAGGGTGTTCCATTTGAAAAAATGTAGCTTTACACTGCTGCACTTTTTTGACGCACCCTGTATGCCTAACACTGATTTATAGTTAAAAAAAATTGACAATTTCTTTTCTTAAAACTTTTGTATCTAACACTTCTGTCAAAAACGTCAAATGAAAAAATTAGCAGGGGGTGACATTTATATAATAATCACCCTGCACAATGAAAATTATCTTATAAAAGTATAACTTATCGTTACATGGTGTCAGAAATAACGAATCCAGCATAAATAAATATGTCAGAACCAACAAATAACGAATCTGGAGTTATTGGTGTACCTCCTCCAAAGCACCTTGTTTTAAAATCCGAAAATATCGCAAGAGAATGGAAAAATTGGATAAAACAGTTCGAATGGTACGCTATAGCTACACAATTATCGAAGAAACCCAAAGAAGTTCAAGCAGCTACATTATTTATGGCTACCATTAGCCCAGATGCTGTAGAAATATTCAATAATTTTGGATTATCTTATGATGAGAAGAAGAATATTAGCGTAATAAAGGGTAAATTTGAAGAATATTTTATCCCTAAACTAAATGTTTTTTTATTGAAAGATATCAATTTCTCCAAATTGAATCGAAAATTTTGACGAATTTCTTATGAAAATTAAAATTCATGCGAAAACCTGGGAATTTGTCCAACTACATGACAAAATAGCTGTAATAGGTGAAGCACAAGTGAAATGTTATATCGATAAATAAAGTAGAGATGATATTTAAGGTAGTCAATGAAGAGGTGCCGCCCATTCTAGGAAGAAAATCCTGTCACGAACTAGGTTTAATTGTACGTGTACATTCCTGCAAGACACACAGGATTGGGTTGTTTGAAAAATTATGAATACAATATTGATTTCATAGAAAATCCAAAGTTTGAAACAAGGCCTGCAAGAAAAATACGAGAGTGAAAGTGAAAGTGAAAAAGAACTGGAAAACATGGTTAAGTAAGGTGTCATTAAGCCCGTCACAGAACCTACTCCTGCAGTCAGACCGTTAGAAACTGTTAGGCAAAAAGGTAAATTAAGAATCTGCATAGATCTAGAGATGTTAACAAAAACATTTTAAGAAAACATTAGCCACTGAAAACCATGGAAGAAATTTCAGCACAAATACGTGGAGCAAAATATTTTACACTTTTAGATTGCAAACGTGGGTTTTGGCAAAAAAAAGTTGCAGAGCAGTCTCAAAAATATCTCACGTTTTCAACACAACATTGAAAATGCATGTTTCCTTATTAGGTTGCAATCCAAAATTTTCCAATGTTTCCATTAATTTTTTAGTAATTTTTTCAACACCTTCCTGGGAGTCGGAATAAATAAAAATATCGTCCATTGAGCAATGAGTGTTTGGAATGTTTTTTAACAAGGAACTCATTATTTCTTGAAATACCTCTGGTGCTGAACAGATTCCAAATGGTAGACGAGTGCAACTATAACGCCCCCATGGTGTTGAAAACGTGAGATATTTTTAAGACTGCTCTGCAACTTTTATTTGCGAAAACCCTCGTTTGCAATCTAAAAGTGTGAAATATTTTGCTCCACGTATTTGCGCTGAAATTTCTTCCATGGTTTTCAGCGGATAATGGCTTCTTCAAATGTTTTTTTTTAACATCTGTACGATCTATGCAGATTCTTAATTTACCTTTTTGCCTAACAGTTACGAACGGACTGACTGCAGGAATAGGTTTTGTGACGGGCTTAATGACACCTAACTCAATCATATTTTCCAATTATTTTTTCACTTCATCTCGTATAGCAAAGGGTATTTTTCTTGCATGCCTTATTTCAATCTTTGGATTTTCTATGAAATCAATAATGTATTCATAATTTTTAGCAACAGTTTTTTCAAAAAAAACTCAAAACATCAGCGTTGATCCATTTGGAAGTTTTTGCATGTTCTGTAACTATTGCACTTGAAAATTCACTGCTAAGTTATTTTAAGTCCAAATCCTGTAAAATTTCAGCAAGTTCTTCTACCTAATACTTCAGCAATTGAAAAAAAAAAATCTAATCTTGCAATGAAACTGAAAGTGACACTTTTTTCAACAAAACTTAAGGCTTAATCCAGTGGGAAGTTTTTCAATGCTCTGTAGCAATCACGCTTAAAAATTCACAGCTAAGTTATTTTAAGGCTAACTTTTATGAAATTTTAGCATGTTTTAGCTAAAACCTAAGCAATTAAAAAAAAAAATTCTAAACTTGCATTAAAGGTGACAGTGTTTTCAGAAAAAACCTGACTCCCATAAAATATGGATTTCAAAGATAATTGGCACACAAGAGTATATTTTTACACAGAATATAATATCACTCTGGTAACTTAAGACCATTTTGCGGTTGTTTAGGAATGTGCGGAATGTTTTACCAAGAAAACGTCGCAATAATATTCAGAATTTGCTACTTTATAATAATTGGGTTAAACAGGTCGCAATTATTTTAATTTAAATAAAACGATACTCATTTTTCCATGCCAAGGATGTTCGATCAACAACTGTTAGTTATATTTAATCTAGCAATCAATTTAAACCACATCCCGAGTGGCGTAAATTTAGATTATCTATTAGATGTTTGACACTGAAAACTTAATTGACTTCTGATTAATTTTTCCGTCAACAAGGATTTTAGCGGTTTACCAATCTTGGGAAAATTAATTACTCGATTATAGGTTTTTGTCAATCAAGTATAAAATGATTATACTTACAATATTTAATTTGTACTGGAAAAAAATTAGTAAACGTTCTCGCTGCAATGAAAACCCAATAAGCACTAACTAGAAAATTCGCTTAGCAAATTGCGATGTTAGAAACTTAATTTATTGTCTATTATAAGCCGATACCGGTTTTTATTTTTAGACTTTTGGATTAAAGAGTTTTCTTTAACCCTCCATTAGGCGCGCGAGTTTTTATAGCATCATTAGTCGCGCTGTATCACAGAGATACATGGACTAAATCATTGACAGAAAAATTGAACCATCTGATTAATTTCGGTTTTACAATTTCTATGTATTTATTCGTGTACTCAACAATCACTTTTTACTGAAAAAGAGATTCCAGAAGTTGGATTCTGTTTTCGCAGTCGCCAACAACGCCCGGCAGCTTTACCATACTATGTGGTCTCTTCCGAGTCAGCTTGGGAGGAATTTTGTTTCATCGAGTTCCATCTTCACCTAAGATGGCCTCTTGTACCATAATATTTATATGAAAAAAATACCAAGGAAACAGTTACAATTGAGGAGCACCGCTGGTACGTAATAAGAAAAGTCGCGTTGTATCATTCAAGCACAAAGCCGAGCGTACCCCTAGTTTTTTGGAAATTCCAAATTTCCA